GGGGGGGGGGGGGGGGGGAGGGGGGGGGGGGGGGGGGGGGCTGGGGGGAGAAGAGGCTTAAGTAATTAAATGTAGATTTTGTTGTTCAAAGCAGGCCTACCAATAAAGTAACAGATTATATGACCTTTGAACCTTAAATTGGACTGGACTGCGGCCATATGAAATCACATTTTCCAGAATGTCCTTAAAAATTGTGCCACCAATATTATTTGAAACTTTTTAAAAAACCGTTTCAACAGAAATTAGATGGATTTTAAATACGTCTGCAGCCAAACTTTATCATCATTTAAAAAAAAAAAATTAATTCACCTGACTTATGCTTAACTTTAAATGTAATTCACAATACAATATTTTTTCTTAAAGACAGATTTGTTAGTGGCATTAGACTCCAAAAGTGACATGACATTAGACTCTCAGAGCCATGCGATCTTGGACTGCAAGAGAGATATGACCCCACGAACACTGTTTGACGCTAGACTCTCAGAGCCATACGATCTTGGACTGCAAGAGAGATATGACCCCACGAACACTGTTTGACGCTAGACTCTCAGAGTGATACGGTCTTGGGCTGCTAGAGTGAGATGACCCAAGAACACTGTTTGACGCTAGACTCTCAAAGCGATACGGTCTTGGACTGCTAGAGTGAGATGATCCCACGAACACTGTTTGACGCTAGACTCTCAGAGCGATACGGTCTTGGGCTGCTAGAGTGAGATGACCCTATAACACTTTTCTCTCAAATTTTGTTTTGGACGTTTGGGAAAAGTCTATTTAAAAAAAAAATTAATAGTTTGCATGCCGATTAAGTTGCCAACAACTCATCTAATTAACACTTTCCTTAACCAACAACTCACCTAATTAACACTTTCCTTAACCAGCAACTCACCCAATTAACACTTTCCTTAACCAACAACTCACCCAATTAACACTTTCCTTAACCAACAACTCACCCAATTAACACTTTCCTTAACCAACAACTCACCCAATTAACAATTTCCTTAACCAACAACTCACCCAATTAACACTTTCCTTAACCAACAACTCACCCAATTAACACTTTCCTTAACCAACAACTCACCCAATTAACACTTTCCTTAACCAACAACTCACCCAATTAACACTTTCCTTAACCAACAACTCACCCAATTAACACTTTCCTTAACCAACAACTCACCCAATTAACACTTTCCTTAACCAACAACTCACCCAATTAACACTTTCCTTAACCAACAACTCACCCAATTAACACTTTCCTTAACCAACAACTCACCCAATTAACACTTTCCTTAACCAACAACTCACCCAATTAACACTTTCCTTAACCAACAACTCACCCAATTAACACTTTCCTTAACCAACAACTCACCTAATTAACACTTTCCTTAACCAACAACTCACCTAATTAACACTTTCCTTAACCAACAACTCACCTAATTAACACTTTCCTTAACCAACAACTCACCTAATTAACACTTTCCTTAACCAACAACTCACCTAATTAACACTTTCCTTAACCAACAACTCACCCAATTAACACTTTCCTTAACCAACAACTCACCTAATTAACACTTTCCTTAACCAACAACTCACCCAATTAACACTTTCCTTAACCAACAACTCACCTAATTAACACTTTACCATAATTACACGTCACATTTGGAGACGAGCCAACCTCATTTAAACAATCACAACTAAAAACTTAACACTGTCATAAATATCAAGAAAAAACGGAATTCGGCAGACTCGTGTTTTATTAAAATACGCAGAGTTTTCTGTCTAGATTATTTGGGGCTAAGTGTTTCTGTGTTCACGGTCCTCTGGCGCCTATTTGACGTAGACAGGGATGCCTATCCTGGGAAAGGGATGACCTTGATTTCAGGGCTGGAGTTACACGTGGGCTGATACGCGGCCACACCCATCAAGATCCACTCACCGTTAGTGCGGGCTCGGCAGTACAGAGGCGCGCCACTGTCACCCTAAAACACAAACCAATGCTAATGACAGCAGCAATCGCATGAAACAGGACGTAACGGGATGTAACGTTGCGTCTCTTGTTACGCCTGATAAATTAAAGGACATAAATTTATAGAGTGTACAATACAACAGAAGTCTTAAAACAAATAAATGTAAACAATATAAATACAACAGATGTTTAAACATTTATAAATGCGTACAGTTTAAAATACAAGGGATGTTTTAAAGTAAATGAATTTACACCGTATAAAATGCAACAGCAGTCTCTGAGTCATCTGAAGTTACTATGAATGTATCATGTTCCGCCCACCAGAAAGAGTTCCGAATCTGATTGGTTATTTCAGGTTGGCTATTGATGAGGCTTGTGCTTTGTGGCCACTAGAGTGTCGAATTTCGCCTAAAGACAGCTTGAATAAACTAACACGCCAAACAATGGCCCCGTCTCTCCGATCCCAAACACGCGCAGTACTAATGTGATGTAACACCTCACGCGAGCCTCTATCTGGACAACACAAGAAGGCTACCACTAAAGCTACTTCCCTGACAGTCACCTCACAAACCGTGCTACCCCGACCTTGATCTGACAGTGTGCTACTTCCTTATCTCAGCGGAGGGGATTGGGGGGGGGGGGCAAGAGCCTCACAATGCCCTACCCGATAGACGCCTCTGTCACAGAACCAAACTCATTCGTAACAAAACACCCACTCTTCTTAACAGCTTCTGTATACTTTACCAAGCAGAAGGCATTTTGGCCATTGGTTGTCGTAAAGCACACGGTGGTCTCGGGGACAAATTCCTTTGGTAAGGAGGTGCAGCCCACGAAATTCTGCTCCACTGACGTCTCATACAAGCCACTTTGGTTTTTCACTGTCACAAAACAAAACCATCGACATGGGGCGATTAGTTTATATTAAAGTCTCAATTGATCGCATCAAAACAAGCCAGATCATTACACATGCAAATGAAATTTCGTATTAAGAAATGGCGTCAGCGGGCCGTCGAGCTGAAAGCTCTTTATGCCCTCCCCAAAGCACCCCCCCCCCTTAAGCCCTCTATCGGGCTGCGAATTGGCACGTTGGAGATGTCTCTTTGCCAGGACAGTCCCCACCCGAGTCCGCTCGATCGAGCTCCGCTGTGGGCCGCTCCAACCCAAAGACACCCGGTCGGTCCGACACTGTTTTTTGCACACAGTGCACACGATCGAATTTCTCAGGAGTTGGGATGGTAAAATTACGTCCTAATATCTTCCCCCACCCATCCCGGGGAAGCGTTGGGCGCTCTTTAAGAGGGTTTCTCCAGTGGGTTTCCACCGACTAATTTGCGAAGTAGCGGGGACGAAACGGCTGCCTAAGAACAGCCTCTCAGGGCTGCATAGTAGGAATCATCGGCTACAGGCTACCACCTTCGCTTCTCGCCTCATATCATTTAACGGCAACTTCTAATCATGATCCCTACCATATTCTCTGCCTTTACGCCCAACTGTGAATTGCCTCAGCTGGCAGCCCTGCAGGTGCTGTTTTATTTGTAGCAGGTACCGAGCACTTCCCTTGTCTGGCCACGCAGGACGCGCCCACTGGTTGTGTTCCCCGGATAACGTCGAAGGGTGTCGGTGGCCGACGCCTCTTAATCGACAAGCAACCACAGACTTGTCAACCGGGGCTCCGGTTCATTTCATTTCACTATCCACCTACAAAACTAACTCCGGTACCTTCATTAAGCCCATATTAAATTATCTTAGTTTCCTTAACTAAACACCTTTTTGATTAACTCCCTTTTCTTCCCTTACCACCTATTAAATTAATTCCCTTTCCTTACCTAACTACACATTAAATTAACTCCCATTCTTCTCTAACTAACTCTTAAATTAACCCTCTTTCCTTTCCTACATACCAATTTAATTAACTCACTGTCCTTCCCTAACTTCATTAAATTAATTCCCTTTCCTTCTATAACTGCATATTTAATTAACACCCTTTCCTTCTCTTAGTAACTATCAAATTAACTCCCTTTCCCTCTCTAAGTAACTATTAAATTAACTCCATTTCGTTCCCTAACTAACTATTTAATTAACTCCCTTTCATTCCAAAACTACTTATTAAACTAACTCCCTTCCCTTTTCTAACTTAATGAAATTAACGCCCTTTCATTCCCTAACTACTTATTAAATTAACGCCCTTTCTATTACTATCCCCCAAACCAGTTAACATTGATTTTGACCAAAGATACTCTGAATTAACCATTCCCTAATAAATTAACCATTCGCTTAGCTAAGCAACTCCTGGAACAACCAATTTCATGATTGAACACCTGTTAAATTAAGGCCTTCTTCACGAACCACTCACCAAATTAACCCTTATTTACCCAACGACCTACTAAATCAACATAATCCTTCACTAGAAACTGAACTCAATTACCGTATTTATTGGCGTATAAAACGCACTTTTTCTCCCTGAAAATTGGGGGCAAATGATGTGTGCATGTTATACAACAATATAACGTTTAGTTTTTTTTCTTAAAATTTCCTTCTTAAATTGAGGTGCGTGTTATTACGCGGGGGGCGTGTTATACGCCAATAACTAAGGTAGTTCTGTCTCAGCTTAACCACTCAATAAATTAACCCTTTCCTTCAATACCCACTTCTCTAAATGAACCCTATCCTTTCCGGCCCGTTAACCCCAGCCTCCACACGATTGGTTGACGACGGACCGAGATGACGCGTTTGCCCAGCTGACCACTCACAGGTATCATGTGCTCCCCAGCTGATCAGTTTGCAGTCATTGAAGTCCACCTTCGACCCCATGGTCGCCCTGTTATACGTGCAGGCGGTTTTCTGACAGGTTCCCAGGTAGGACAGTAGGTTGGCGTACCTGGGGTTGACTGTAATGAAGGCGTTGCCATTCGGTCCTGCATGTAAAAAAAAAATGTGAACAAAAAACAACAAATAGTTAAGTTGGTAGCTATAAGCTTAAAACGAAAGGAACGCAAGAGGTTGTTTTTTTGTTTTTTTTTGTTGTTGTTGTCTTTTTTAAATTCCTACCACATTACCAAAGCAATTAAAAGTTTCAAACGGTTTTATCAGAAGATTTTTCTTAAGGGTGGACAAGGGTTAATTGTATATCGTTGTGTAATCTTTTATATGGACCAAGAGGCTTAATGTGTCTGATAAATGCCACCATAAATGACAATCTGGATGAATGACTTCATATGACTGGATGATATCTTACTAGAAGTATTAGATGAAATCTGGGCTTGCATTAAATTGAGTAAATTAAATGGATGGACAAGATCATAACAGCTTATTGAATTTTTTATAAGATAGATTTCCGAATACGTGGGTTTTGATTAAGTGTTAAATGATTTTTTTTAAATTGATTAATTGATTAAATTAAATTAAATTTTTTAAAAATGAAAGATTAATATTTTGTCCGTCTTTACCACCAGAGTTAAACAGGTACTCTCCCCAGTTAAACAGTTACTCTCCCCAGTTAAACAGTTACTCTCCCCAGTTAAACAGTTACTCTCCCCAGTTAAACAGTTACTCTCCCCAGTTAAACAGTTACCCTCCCTCAGTGAAACAGTTACCCTCCCCAGTGAAACAGTTACCCTCCCCAGTGAAACAGTTACCCTCCCTCAGTGTAACAGTTACCCTCCCTCAGTGAAACAGTTACCCTCCCCAGTGAAACAGTTTCCCTCCTCCAGTGAAAGTAACCCTCCCCAGTGAAACAGTTACCCTCTCCCAGTGAAACAGTTACCCTCCCCAGTGAAACAGTTACCCTCCCCAGTGAAACAGTTACCCTCCCTCAGTGAAACAGTTACCCTCCCTCAGTTAAACAGTTACCCTCCTCCAGTGAAACAGTTACCCTCCTCCAGTGAAGCAGTTACCCCCCCTCAGTTAAACAGTTACCCTCCCTCAGTGAAACAGTTACCCTCCCCAGTGAAACAGTTACCCTCCCTCAGTGAAACAGTTACCCTCCCTCAGTGAAACAGTTACCCTCCCCAGTGAAACAGTTTCCCTCCTCCAGTGAAAGTAACCCTCCCCAGTGAAACAGTTACCCTCCCCCAGTGAAGCAGTTACCCTCCCCCAGTGAAACAGTTACCGTCCCCAGTGAAACAGTTACCGTCCCCAGTGAAACAGTTACCCTTTTCAGTGAAACAGTTACCCTCCCACGGTGAGAAAGCCCAAGGGCATAAAATCGGTTGCCGTAAATATATTTTAAAACGAGCAGCACAGAGCCAATACGCCAAAAGATGATTTGGCGCGCTCTGTCATTGCTCACTGAAGGGGCTTTCATCATTTAAACAATCTGAACTTCCTATCTTAAGATGATTTGGTCACCGCATGATGTTGGCACCCCAGGGCCAGTTTTCTCTTAACCACCTCCCCCATCCGCACAAATTTCGCAATTCCCATCTGGCGACTCTGTCTTTGCTGAAGCTCAGTTGACAGTACACACACATATTTTCGTCAAATTTCATGTCAATATCCGTAGTTTTATAAAAATCGAATTGGATTAGATCATTTCTTTGTCCAAAGACTGAATATCAGTAGTTTTATAAAAATCGAATTGGATTAGATCATTTCTTTGTCCAAAGACGCGTGCATTAACATGCCCACGATGAATTGTTAGTGGACTCACCGTCGGTCATAGTGAAGATTGGCTCTTGAATTGGGTAATTTTGAGACCCGATGGAGATGTCCACTCTGCAGAAGAACATTCAAGAGCATTCTTTAATAATGCAATTTAATAATAAAAAATCCGTTGGCCCTGAACTATGTAAAGAATGTAGGAGCGTATCTGGGCAAGAGATGTGTTACTTTGGTTGTTTGAGGAAAACATGTAATTCAGTCATTGTGCTTACACATTTTCTGAGGCTGTCAACAGACTGTTTATAATCTAAAGATGTCTCGCACCGTTGCAATTTGACATTGAAGGATTATTTATTTACAGACACAGACATGGACATAAAAGACTCTGTCACAAACATAACATACACTGTCACAGACACAACATACACTGTCACAGGCACAACATATACACTGTCACAGACATTACAGACAACGTCACAGACATAAAATACACTGTCACAGACATAATATACACTGTCACGGACATCACAGCTTCGGTTTCGATGCCGAAAGTTGCAGTTTTGATCACTTTCGGCGTGGTTTCGGTTTAGGCCGAAACAGAAAAAGTGAAGTTTCGGTTTTTTATTTTCGGTTTTAAAATGATTGAAACTTTTGGCCTTATAAATTGACCGAGGCCTTCGGTCTTCTACCAGATGGGAGATCGTCAACCTGTCTGTCGGCCGGTAATCCAATACGCAATATTGCTCGACGTCTTTCTGCCATCCTATAATATATCAGGGAATACTGTTCACAGCTGCAAGATGACTTGCTTATCAAATATTTCCAAAAATTAAAATTTCAATAAAGCAATTGAAGATAAATATTTTTGTGGGTGGAAAAAACAACTGGGGGAATGACAATGTTTATATTATTATTTATGTTTTAATATCTATATATGTATATTTCAATTTTGGAACCCTAGTTCGATTCAAATCATTCGTTTGTGACATACATTTTGATTAGTGATATCTTGCTATGTTTTCATAGTCAAAGGTAAATATTACGGTGAGAAAAAATCTTACGGAATGGTTACATTTCCCTTATTATTGTTTTACAAGTTTTCTTTTATTCTTTTTAATTGGGGACACCTAGGCTTATTCACTTAATACATTCATTGAAATTCATCATTATCAAGCTCATAAATGTGTGTGTAAGTGTGTGTGTGTGTGTGTATTTGTGTGTGATGACACGCTAAAATAGCTCACATTCAAGGAACAATTTTAAATTGACTATTTCAAAATTAATCCCGATTCAATTTGGATGGTAAATAGGGAGGTTTAGGTCACAACAAATTTGGTTGGCTAAAAAAGTAGTTAGCGCGATTATAGCTACAATTGCTCCAAGAAATGGGGGGGGGGGTTGGGGATGGGAGGCTTACTTCCTTGGGTCAATTATATGAGAGTCACTTAAGACTATATAAATATCCAATCAATCAATCAATCAATGAAAGACAAATAAAATTTGCCACAAAAGTTGTGAAGTCAATTTTCGCGGTGCGCAGAACGTGTGCGGAAACGAGTTTTGAAATATTCAAATCTTTCGGTTCCGGTTTTGGCCGAAAGTCTCGTTAAGCTTTTGGTTTCGGCCGAAAATCATTTTTTTAACTTCCAGTCTGGTCTAGGTTTCGGTCGAAATCAGAAAATCATTTTTTAACTTCCAGTCTGGTCTAGGTTTCGGTCGAAATCAGAAAATCATTTTTTAAACTTCAAGTCTGGTCTAGGTTTCGGTCGAAATCAGAAAATCATTTTCGGTCGATCTCTTATGTCGATGCTTTTCTGGGTCCCAGACTGAAGATGTGTAATCTAAAAGCGGCCAGACAAAGGCTTCATATCTTTCAATTGATTTCATATCTCATTTAATTGAAGTGATGATCGTTGGTGGAGGCACATAACGGGTACCTGTTGTGGGTTTTTTTCTCACTTAAGCGTCCTCTAATAACCGCGTGAGGCTCAGGAGCTACGAGGCTTTACCAACACACGCCTCCCTTATCCGATCTTTACAAACACAGAAATCACAATTTGCTGTATTTACCACCACAGATCTCACTTTTCTGATCTTTACAACCACATACCTCACGTTTCTGATATCTACCACCCCAGAACTCAGGTTTTTGATCTTTACCACCACAAAACTCACGTCTCTGATCTTTTCAACCACATACCACACGTTTATGATCTTTACCACCAAAGAACACACGTTAATGATCTTTACCGCCAAAGAACTCACATTTATGATCTTTACCACAACGGACCTCATATTTCTGATTTTTAACACCACGGAACTAACATTTCTGATCTTTACTGCCAAGGCATTCCCGTTTATGATCTTTACCACCACAGAGCTCACGATTATGACCTTTACCACCAAAGAACTCACGTTCCTGTTCTTTACCGCCAAAGAACTCACATTTCTGATCCTTACCACAAACCTCATATTTCTGTTCTTTAACACCACAGAACTCACGTTTCTGATCTTTAACACCACAGAACTCACGTTTCTGATCTTTAACACCACAGAACTCACGTTTCTGATCTTTATCACCCCGCACCTTCTGTTTCTGATCTTTACCACCACTGACTTCACCTTTCTAAAACTTACCACAACGGATCTCGCATTTTCGGTCTTTAACACAACGGATCAACGGTGTGTGTCGCGACCGTAGAAGACGTTGAAATGACTTTTTTTTTAAAAATTGCCTCATTCCCACTTACATGCCGGGGGGTGCATTGGTGATGAGGTTCTTACAGAAACTGGAAGTGAGGAACGTCTTCTGGAGGATGCCGTTGACCGTAGCCGTGGTGAGGACGGCGTTGCACGTCACCCTTGCTCCGTTGTTGATGGTGATGTTGGAGATGCCAGAAAAGGCGCAGTCGTTGTCGACGAGGGCGCCGTTCAGGAGACGAAAGGCCGGCTGGCACACTGTAGGGGGGTTTTAGGGGGATGGGGTTGAGAGAGGGAGGAAGGAAGGATAGGATAGTATAGGATAGGATAGGCAATATGGAAAATATGTTAATATTTCATTTGAAAGGCGACGTCAAAATTTGGAAGAACACAAAATTGTCAAATTAAGTTGAAACTTGACAAATGTATATTTTAGACTTATATTAGAGTTATCCACCAACACAACCCCCCCACCCCCTTAAAAAAAACAAAAAACTCTCTGCTCTCTCTACCTTACGTTTTTTTTTTCTTTCTACCTTATTTTACAATTGTCGTTTTTCCAAATGAATGGAAACACTTTCCTTTTGGTTTGTGGGGCTATTTTTAAACAGCAATCAATTTGTTTCACTCTTTAATCTCTGTTTGCACTTGTATACTTCTTGAATGACTTTAGTGAACCTTCCACGGATTCATGGCAGAACGAACTCACTTCAACCTTAAATAGTGTGTACTCCAGGGACTCGTTTTTGGGTTTTTAAAATTACTTCAGTGATTCATTAGTGATGCGTGATGCATGACGCCCTTTCTCCAATAAACCTGACTCGGGCGCAAAAATGCGTAATAAATCGTGTGTTGCAATGGCTGGATGACCCACGGTTACAATGGCTGGATGATCCACAGTTACAATGGCTGCATGACCCACAGTTGCAATGGCTGGATGACCCACAGTTACAATGGCTGGATGATCCACATTTACAATGGCTGACATGACCCACAATTACAATTTCTCGCATGACCCACAGTTACCATGTCTGACATGACCCACCGTTACCTAGGCTGACATGACCCAAAGTTACAATGGCTCGCGTGACCCACAGTTACAATGGCTGGCACGACCCACAGTTACAATGGCTCACATGACCCACTGTTAACGTGGCTTACATGACCCAATTACAATGGATAGCATGACCCACAGTTACAATGGCTGGCATGACCGACCCACAGTTACCTTGACTGCATGACATGGCCCACAGTTACCTTGACTGACATGAACCACAATTATCTTGACTGGCATGACCCACAGTTACCTTGGCTGACATGACCCACACTTACCGTGCTTGACATGACCCACAATTACCTGGACTGGCAAGACTTACAGTTACCTTGGCTGGCATGACCCGCAGTTACCTTGACTGACTTGACCCCCCACAGTTACCTTGACTGCATGACATAACCCACAGTTACTTTGACTGGCATTACCCACCGTACACAATTGGAGATGTTCAACGTCTCGGTGGGTGAGTGGGGGGGGGGTGGAGTTTTTAGGGTAATGGGATTACCTTTTACAAAGCAAGGGATTTACTTGCCCTTGGTTAGATTTACTTGCCCTTGGTTCGTACTTTTAAGACGCAATTTTATGATCACATGGTTTTTTTCCACATGTTTTTTTTCCCAATAATAGCAAATTCTTTGAGTAATTTAGCCGATGCCGTAAAGTACTCACGTGATGGTGGAGCTGTAGTAGTAGGAGTTGTGATCGCTGTCGTTGTAGAAATGGCTGTGGTTGTTGGGGTAGCTGTTGCGGTGGTTGGCGTGGTTGTAGCTGTTGTCGTGGTTGGCGTGGTTGTTGTTGTTGTTGTAGAAGTTGGTGTGGTTGTAGGCGTGGTTGTGGTGGTGGCTGGTGTAGTTGTTGTTGCCGCTGTGGTGGGAGGTGTGTTTACGTTCTGTTGCGGACACAGGACCGCAGTGCCACATCGACATTGTTGGTAGCGGAGTCCGTCAGCTGGTGAGGAAATACGGCATTAAAAGGTTAAAGGTGTTACATGGCATAAAGGTAGATTGATGGTTTTGAGAGTTTTGTAGAATGAAGAAGTGTTAGAGAGTATGAGATTTCTTAGAATGATAATAGGCTTGGAAGTTGTTCGACGGACCATAACAAAAAAAAGGGAAACCACTGACCTAAACTACATGTTTTATAATGGTTTGGTGCGTTGTTGTTGTTCATCCGTCATACTCGACAAGGACCATTCAGTCATTCGGGTAGGGGTGGGATGGGTCACGGTGATTTTTTAGGTGGCTTGCTAGTCCGATCCGTGCTCGGAATCGTCCCGGGCACCGCGGGCAGGGGATAGTTGTTGCAGTCAGTGGTCCAAGGTTGCGTTCTCGGGCTAGCCTGCGCGTCTCAGTGTTACGGCCTCCTTTCGTTGTTCACTACCTCCGATGGCGACTACCTAATGTCAGACCTGTTTGACTAATTCTTGTCTCTCTCTTGGTCAAGTAACTCAAACACTGAATAGGCCATCGTAAATTCTGTATTTATTTCCATGTGCTAAGACATCCACTTGTTACACAAATACATCTCGCAGGAACACAGTATCCTCAGGCGAACGTAACCACAGCGAATCCGACAAACATACTATCTCTCTCTACTCGACTCTTGACTACTCTAACGATCTACTCTGGACTCTCGCAACTCTCAACGATCTCGTTTCTCTAACCTCTAGCTCTCGGCTTTCTAACTCCGACTCATCGGCTTATCTCTCGACTAACTAACGCACTGCCCTTTTATATCACAACACAAACATTCAGCATACACTAAAGCTCAACACCACGAACCAACTTCACCCTCTGACCTCACGATCAACAAATCACACACAAATTCACGATCAACAACTCCACCCGCCAAATATTCACAACAATCTAGATCACAACACTCATCTTTTACTATCTTTCTGGCTTCCTGAGATTGAGCCCCCTTCTTTTCTGCTGCTCTCCGCCTGGCTATGTCCTGGGCTGTCTACACCCATTAAGTAGGGTTGATGCCGAAGGCCTTTAGTGCTGCTTTAAGAGTGTCTTTGTATTGCTTTCTTTGACCTCCTTGGGAGCGCTTGCCTATCGTGAGTTCACCGGAGTTTAGCTGATTATGGAGTCGGTTGTCATCCATACAGGCTACATTTCCCGTCCAACGGAGTTGAGACTGCATCAGGGTGGTGAAGATGCTAGGTAGGCTCGCTCCAGCGAGGACCTCTGTGCCAGGCACTTTGTCTTGCCATCTGTCGCCGAGGCGTTTTCTGAGGCAGTTTGCGTGAAAGTCGTTTAGACTCTTGGGGTAACGCTGGTAAGTTCTCCACGATTCCCATCCGTGGCGCAATGTCGAGACGACTGCTGCGCTATAGACCTTGATCTTCGTTTCACTCGAGAGTCAGTTTATCTGCCTGGTTGTCTGGACCCACCTCACATAATCTATGTTTCAACGCATATGTTATTTCAAACTTTGGTCGAATCTTAACTCCAGATATCCAACAAGTAAGCTTTGCTATTCTATATTCTAGACAAAAAAATCCTAATAGACTTATTTTCATTTCCAATGTGTAATGCTCCTCTTAGTCTATTTTCTCAATAATGTGCAATAACACGATTCCTTTACCATTGGAAGGGAGACTAAAATTTTGTTGAAATCTAAAACCAAGACGTTTCAAAAAAAAAAAAAAAAAAAAAATCAAAAAAATAAAAAAAAACATTAAAAATTATTTTCTCAATAATGTGCAAAAACACAATTCCTTTACCATGGGAAGGGAGACTAAAATTTTTTTGAAAACTAAAACCAAAACGTTTAAAAAAAAAAAAAAAAAAAAAATCCAAATATTGAACAAAGACATTTAAAATGTTTGTGGCGCCAATGGTGTCCAAAGTAAAACAGCTATTAGTCATTGCATTGTCATAGATTATGTCATTTTTATGATTTCTTTTAAAGAAAAAAAACTCCTGGCGCTAGCTAATTTGTATGAATCACATAACTTTTTAACGTGTTATTTCTTAAAGCTTTGATGTCAGAATGACGTGTATCCGTATTTAGTTCACTCAACCATTTTAAAATTAATTTGTAAAAAAAAAAAAAAAAAATTTAATTGTCTATAACTGCTCTTTTTGCAACTTTTGAAATATCAAGGGAAGCAATTTTTTTTTAAAAAAAGTATAAATTCATTTCTATGTTATACACTCCCTTTGATATTTAATGTTGCACAAACTTAAGCCATAACTTAATCCATTTGCAGATACAATGGAAAGAAACGTCAGGATGTTACCCTCAGCGTTTTCTGGTCTACTCCGATTAATTTTTTCGTCCGTCCGCCAATGACCACGACTGGACATTTTATGTAAGAATGGAAGGTATCTCATATTCATGTATATATATATTTTGCATGTATAATGTGACGATGGAGTGGGCTTCGGAGGACGAAATCCACATGGCCTGGGATTATTCTTCATGGATTATAAGCTGGTTCCCAACAGCAAATCGCCTTTCTCCACGCCACTGGATAACCCAAGGGAACATCATTTGGATGATACATCTTGGCACCAGTGACGTCGCAGGAGTTGTCGGAATGTTTCATTGTATCAATGTTATCCGCCTTTCGGGACTCCATCTCCGGGTTTGATTTCAGAGTTTCCATCCAAGGTTAACGAGTCCAATGTCACGCATGGCAGCCTCTTCTTCACTCAGTACTATTGATATAAAACGTGTGGAGTTAGGGCGGGGGTCGTTGGTTTCGAAAAGGAAGCAGGACACACCAGAAGCAAACTGAGAGATAAATCAACAGGTAACCTTAGAGTCGACGTCTGACAAAAGGGTTGGGGATTAGCTCACCTCCGGAGAAGTAGGTCATGCAGCAGCTGTTCCTGGTGTAGTAATCATAGCAGAAGGTCTGTGGACACGCCTGGTAGGATGACGTCGCGGCCAGGGTTCTGCTCCACGTGTAGACGGGGGTACCGTCACAGTACAGGGGCGTGGTGAAGGGCCGGTTGTTGTAACTGGGCTCATGGTGGTTATGCCTGTCGTCATGGTGGTTATGCCAATCATTATGGTGGTTTTGATTATGTCTATGGGCGTTGCTGGTGGGTATGAAAACTGCCAGGGCGGCGCACAGAAGGATCAAGTTTCTTGGGGATGGCATTGCTGAATGTAAAATCCCTGAAAATTGTAAATAAATTGATTAATTTTCATTTTTTTTTTAAAATTTAGGATTTTAAAAAAAACTCGCCTTGGGAATTTCAAGGTGTAAGAGAAAAACACATACCTAGGCGAAGAAAACAGCAAGGGAGAAACAATCAAGGATTAAGACTGTTGGAGAGCAGCACGATAAAATGTTGCATCTGCAGTGACGTCGTGAGATCCCACATGGCCCTCGGAGCAAGGCTGGTATCTCAGATCCTCAGCATTTTTTATTTGTTCATCGCTGTGGTCAAAAGTCTCCTGTGCTGGCCGGCCTGGTCGTCTAAAACTAAGTCGGTCCCAAACTAGGGGAATGGGTTAGATCTCCAGAAAATGCAAGGCTGGTATCTCAGATCCTAAACATTTTTTATTTGTTCATCGCTGTGTTCAAAACTCTCTTGTACTGGGTGGCCTAGTGGTGTTAACTAAGTCTGTCCAGAGCTTGTGGGAATGGAGTTAGATCCCCAGAAAACGCAAGGCTGGTATCTCAGATCCTCAGCATTTTTGATTTGTTCATCGCTGTGTTCAAAACTCTCTTGTGCTGGCCGGCCTGGTCGTCTAAAACTAAGTCGGTCCCAAGCTATTGGAATGTGATTAGATCCCCAGAAAACGCAAGGTTGGTATCTCAGATCCTCAGCATTTTTGATTTGTTCATCGCTGTGTTCAAAAGTCTCCCGTGCTGGGTGGCCTGGCGGTCTAAAACTAAGTCGGTCCCAAGCTAGGGGAACGGGGTTAGATCCCCAGAAAATGCATTGGATGGCAACGCATCTAAGTGAAAGTTAAACTCGATCGACATAGTGAAAATTCCGACAACTCCTGCGGCGTAGATCGCACGCTGCACGGTGTAACACACACAAAATATCTCCGGTCATCTACGGCATCGTGGTCTATTTTTTTCAGTCGTCTTGACTTGGTCTTGTCGTTGGGGCAAATGGGCACCTGTGAGAGAGTGAGAGGCTGGCGAACTGTGCAACTCTCCCTCATTTTAAACAAAATACAGCACACGTCATTGCTACTACTCTTTGCGTAGGAAGGACAAACAGCAACAACAACAAAAAAGCACAACTCTAGTGTGTAACTCTTCGCCTACAAAGTCAGGTTGATCTTCTATTTAAAAAAAAATGCTTATACTTTGCACGTCGAATAGTGTTGAATTCTGCATTCAAACCAAAAGGACTACCAATATCTCCACTTGTCAGTATCTCTTTGCCCACTGTACTCTCGTGACGAATTGTATTCAGTGTTGTTTGATTCCTTTCACGGAAGGCAGTTGAAATAAGAGCGATTACAAGTTACCAGTAATCTTATTGTAGCTTGTTCTACTGGACTGGCCTAAAGTAATGACAAGCCTAACTGACCAACGAAGTACTTGCCTTGTCCTACTGGACTGGCCTAAAGTAATGACAAGCCTAACTGACCAATGAAGTACTGGCCTTGTTCTACTGGACGGGCTTAAAGTAATGACAAACCACACTGACCAATGAAGTACTTGCCTTGTTCTACTGGACTGGCCTAAAGTAATGACAAGCCACAATGACCAATGAAGTACTTGCCTTGTCCTACTGGACTGGCCTAAAGTAATGACAAGCCACACTGACCAATGAAGTACTTGCCTTGTCCTACTGGACTGGCCTAAAGTAATGACAAGCCAAACTGACCAATGAAGTACTTGCCTTGTCCTACTGGACTGGTCTAGAGTAATGACAAGCCTAACTGACCAATGAAGTACTGGCCTTGTTCTACTGGACGGGCTTAAAGTAATGACAAACCACACTGACCAATGAAGTACTTGCCTTGTTCTACTGGACTGGCCTAAAGTAATGACAAGCCACACTGACCAATGAAGTACTTGCCTTGTTCTACGGGACTGGCCTAAAGTAATGAAAAGCCACACTGACCAATGAAGTACTTGCCTTGTTCTACTGGACTGGCTTAAAGTAATGACAAGCCACACTGACCAATGAAGTACTTGCCTTGTCCTACTGGACTGGCCTAAAGTAATGACAAGCCACAATGACCAATGAAGTACTTGCCTTGTCCTACTGGACTGGCCTAAAGTAATGACAAGCCACACTGACCAATGAAGTACTTGCCTTGTCCTACTGGACTGGCCTAAAGTAATGACAAGCCAAACGGACCAATGAAGTACTTGCCTTGTCCTACTGGACTGGTCTAGAGTAATGCAATGTTCCTGCCTCTACTACTCCTTGATAAACATCAGTTGATCAAAGACCAGCCATTTCCTTTTTTTGTGATAGTCAACATGAGGTGCTCACACGCCCGTGTCCACACGGACATGAAAGCTACGACAACCACATGCCACAACTCCACAAACCTGAGTGCTACTAGAAACTCGCCAATTAAAATAACGACTTCAACCAAAGTCTACCCCCCTCCAATCACACACACACTCTCAACCCTTTTGTTATGCGACCTCAATTATTGTAAAATGATATAATGTTCAAAGAGGATCACAATTACACACATGGTTTAGAACATAATAAAGAGCCTGGTGTCAGAAGGTGTCGGGCCGACGAGTCTCAGATTGTGTATGTAGCGACACATTTACAACTAAGTGTGTGTCGTAACAGTTTCTATGGCTCGTCATAAAATATCCATAAAATTACCAGAGGCAAAAAATAACTAATTACATTTTCAATCTGACCATATTTGGCCTCGGTCTCACCGTCGTTGGCCTCAATCTTTGGTCTCGATCTGAACAACTTTGGTCTCAATATGTCTCTCATATTAGGCCCCAATCTTACCATATTTTGCCTCAGTCTGACCCTATTTGGCCTCAATTTGACCATATTTTTTCTCATCTTTACCATCTTTGGCCTCAGTATGAGCATATTAGGCCTCAATATGACCATATTTGGCGTCATTCTGACACCATTTGGCCTCAATCTGACCATATTTGGCCTCAGTCTGACCATCTTTGCCCTTCTTTTGAATTCAACTTTTCCATTATTGTATTTCTCCAATTCACCCCCGCCCACCCCATCCTCACCCTTTCACCAACTGTATCCTTCCAACGTACCTTCCCCAACCCGCTCCGTCTGTAAACATGGACTCATTTTGTATAGATTACATCGTTTCAAAAAACCCACTTTTTATTTCGTGAATCTATATTCTATATAAGTAGAGACTCTTGATGGGGAAAAAAAGTATGTATACAGCAATGATGGGATTACTAATTTGATAGTATAACAATAAAATTACGCGTAGATACGTAATGACGTCGCATCATATAAGATAAGGTAAGGACGTCAGCTCAGATACGATGAGGTTATGACGTCACCTCAAATGAAAGAAGATAATGACGTCACCTCAGGTACGGTAAGATAATGACGTCATCTCAAATAAGATAAGGTAATGACCTCACCTCAAATGAGATAAGGTAACTACATCACCTCAAAAAAAAAAAAATAATAATAGAGTTGATTCAAGTTAAGTGCCACTAGTAATATATCATGATATTCCTCCTTTCAGCTCATGTTTCTGTTGGCTGCTTAGTGGAGAGCATACGATTCATTTTCTTTCTTTGATCTTTAATTTGTAAACAAACAAAAAAATTGGTATAAGGAAGTTCTTGGTGTTGCCCCCCCACCTCCCACCCCCACCCCCACCCCAAATCTCTTATTATAAACTTGTCCACTACAACCGCCCTTGTACCTGAACTCAGCCATTTTCTACATTTAAAAAAAAAATACTTCTGTGGCGAAATAAAGAGGACCTTAAAAGTTCAATGGGATCAAAACCACCTTCATGGTACACCCCCGTCCCCTTTTTTGAGTTCAAGGACGAATCATGAACCATTGATTTGTTGTGAGTCCACGTGGATCGCTCACTGACCTCAATTATATTTTGACCAGCGGATTGAACTACGCAGTAGAACCCCCTAACCCCCCCCCCCACAAAAAAAAAAAACCCCCGCCCCCCCCCCCCCGATAACTTTTCGCCCCGGGTGTGAACTGTTGTTGAAATTTTATTGCTCACCCGAACAGGGTTTGTCATTTCTCAGACCGGACAACGTCATAGCGTTACTATATTTAGAATGTCGGACAAACATTTCTTAAAACATGACAGCTAATTAGTATGTTTCAGCATATCGTTCGGACGATCCTTGTTTCTAGAGTCACTGTTGCATGTGCCGACGGCGCAATGAAGTCCCATTTTACAAAATGGAAGTAAAAAAAAATTGTGTAAAATATTTCGTAAAAGACAGTTGTAAACAAGTTTTGATTAATATTCAGCACCTCTTCACTAGCATAGTACAGCTGAACAGTGTTGACCCTTTTGTCCGACCCGAGTACCCGGATGATGACAGCAGTTCTATTAATAGATTTCCGCCATTAAATGACGAGCCTTATATTAAGTCCAATTGGACGCGGGCATCACACGATAGTGATTTAGCCAATGACCAGTTCTGGTAAACTCAATGTATATACCGTTGTAAGAGTTAAAAGTTACCTTTTATGATCGCCACACAAATTATTACAGTCAACTTACCAGTGCACCTTGAAGTCGGCTTTTCTATCACCTAGTGATTTGGATGAGCATTTCTATTTCATGGCTTTTATTTGAATGCACTCTATTACCATGTATATAAGTTTGGTTAAACATTGATGTATGGTTGTCACAGGGTGACTGTTGCGCCCTGTTCAGAGTGCTATCCATAGGTACGTCACTATCGGGGGGAATGTAACTAAGATTAGGTATGGTGATCCCCCGCAGGCAGTGGGACAACAGGGGGAATGGATGGAGCGAGTGCAACGACGAGGCGCAACAGCCGAAGACAGGCCTTGGTCATAGACAGATCCTTGCATGGTAGAAAGGCGGCAGTTGTACGATACTCCACTATAAGGAGGGTAGCGTGTGGATGGAATCTTATATAAGTCTAACTGCCTGTATTTTGTCTCACTTGTACGCTGTATATGTTCTCTGGCTAATTCGTCGTTACATGACAGCAATCAGTAATTGTCATAGTATATCTTCTGGGATAATTATATTTTATCATATCTCGTAGTGTATTCATTGTGTATCGCATATTATTTTACTTAGTATATTCAGATAATGAGTAAGCTTTAGTCATTTTAAGTTAAATTGAGGACTCTTTTTGTATATTGTATGTTTATTGTGTTTTTCTTGGGCACATCAAAACAAGGTGGTATCAGAGTTATTTAGACATTAGACTAAGTGAATTGAATTTATTGAATTGAATATTTATAAAGCGCTTGTATCCATGCTACTTTAGCACGCTCACGGGGGCTCTGATGTTCTTAAATCTATTTAAATAAAAATGTCTTTAAATGTTTCTTAAACAATTTTTTTTTTATCATTTTCAATTTTCCTCAAAGATTGGGGCAAACTGTTACACAATTTGGCGCTATCGCCTTAGAAAAGCGACCTACGTATGACTTTTTTCTGTGTCCGTCCACACTGGGAAATCTCCGTAAGGACTGTGTTGCCACTTGGCATAAGGGAGCTCGTGACAATGGTCATTCTGATCAGAATGCATTTGGTTAATTTCATTTTAACCTATATTTTCTCAATGTTCGACACGCGCCTCCAGACCAGGACACATGTTGGTCATTTCGAGATTTACTTCATCCCATCTTAAGGATGGTGGATATATCCACTGGGTAGTTGTTATCCTCTATAGTTGTTTGGATATATTATATTAATCCTTTCTTTATATTTATAATTCATTGTTTTAATTTTGTTTGAAAAGAATCCTTTGCCATGCGTCTACGCTAGCCATACATGCTTGCGCCGCTGACTATGATGAAGACGAATAAGGCTATCCACAATTGATATGAACATTGAAACTCTCTTATCCCTTTCAAATGCCTGGATCTGTTAGCTCCAGAATATCGGAAAGGTTGCTCCCTTCTTTTCTTGTATCATCATTCATATATAACTGGGCTAGTAGATCACCATATTGCCGCAGTATAATCACCACGCCCTAGCAGCTGGATTGAGGGTCAGTTCTCTGACTCCGGATGCCAAGAGCTCCGCCCGGTACCTAATCGGGAAGACCAGGCCACAGCCTGCAACGTGCGGATCCGCGTGGTGATAGGACTCTCAACCCACGACAGACACATCGCTGGGAAGTCCACACACACATCGCAACGTACAAGGGAAGAACTGTTCCACTACGTACTGCAGTGACTTTTTCAGCCACTTTCATGAAAGCCCTGAGAGGCCACGAAAGAAATGATCCGATAATCCAATTCCACATCGAAGTGATCTCTATATCGTACTACTGTAACATCCACTTTGGGTGAGCCCCGAGAAGCCACGAAGAAATGGATCACATTCCACATCGAAGTGATCTCTATATCGTACTGCTGTAACATCCACTTTGGGTGAGCCCCGAGAAGCCACGAAGAAATGGATCACATTCCACATTGAAGTGATCTCACTATTGATTGATCCAACCAGCTCATCATCAGAGCTACTCCACAACGTACCGCTCTGTAATCCACTTCCGTGAACGCCCCTGAGAAGCCGCAAATTAAAGGATTGGGGACCCCGCTTCCAACATTGAAGTGCTCTAATTGTAACGTATTGCTGTTTTTCTCCCTCCCGTGAACGCCCTGAGAAGCCGCGAAGTAAAGGATTGGGGACCCCGCTTCCAACATTGAAGTGCTCTAATTGTAACGTATTGCTGTTTTTCCCCCTCCCGTGAACGCCCTGAGGAGCCGCAAAGTAAAGGATTGGGGACCCCGCTCCCAACATTGAAGTGCTCTAATTGTAACGTATTGCTGTTTTTCTCCCTCCCGTGAACGCCCTGAGAAGCCACGAAGTAAAGGATTGGGGACCCCGCTTCCAACATTGAAGTGCTCTAATTGTAACGTATCGCTGTTTTTCCCCCCTCCCGTGAACGTCCTGAGAAGCCCCCAAGGAAAAGACCGCAGAACCCAGTTCCATATTGAAGTGATCTCCCTACAGATCATCAGAGCAATTACTGATTGATAAGTTAAGTCTGAAAGGCCTGATCGCATACAATTATGATTCAAAGCCAAGCGACTATTATGATGAGTGTTAGGCATTGCGAGAGGCCAGTATGCATAATAAAATAGAACCTAGATTAAATTAAATGAAAGTAATTTTTCATATCCTTGGCTTTCATATGGTACATTGGAACACCTGTAAATAAATATGTTCAATTTATTTGCCGAGTTGTTTTATGAAGTCTTTGATAGAAAGGCATAAACGAATAAGGTAATTATGTTCCCTTAGTGCTTGACATTATATAACATAAAACCCCTTGACACAAGCAGGTGCGACACTCATACGAGAGCGGTTCTTTCACATCACCCCCCCCCCCCCGATTAATCAATCATTTCACCACAACTTTTACAGTTCTTTCATGAATTCATCTTACGCGACGCTGCCAAAGTGAGTGCCCCCACCCCTTGAAATTCCCACGCAAAAGCTCTACACAAGCAGGTGCGACACTCATACGAGAGCGGTTCTTTCACATCCCCCCCCCCCCCCGATTAATCAATCATTTCACCACAACTTTTACAGTTCTTTCATGAATTCATCTTACGCGACGCTGCCAAAGTGAGTGCCCCCACCCCTTGAAATTCCCACGCAAAAGCTCAGTTTTGATTTCAAATGGTTCCTCTGTCACCACCACCAGGGACACAGCTACGCTCTGTCCGTTTTCGTTTGAGGGTTTAAAGGCTCACGGACTGACCTTCAGGTCACGTGGTATCCCCTAACACTGACGTCAGTCAGCCGCCTATTATTGAAATGACCGTGGGTTTGAGTCATTTCAAAAAAGCCCACCACCCTCCTCCTCCCTCCCCTTCTGACTGTCACGTGTTGTGGTACATCAAAGACACGGCAAGTTTACACTGGTCAGGTGGGCGGATGGGGTGCGTCGTCATCACACACAGCCCAGAAAACAGTGGCGAGCTCAACTGGTAGGAGAAATCTATATAGTTTTTATGAATTGTGCGTCTTGATTCCGATATACAGTGTGACGTGGCCACAAGAAACTTGAAAAAAACGTAGGAACACCAGATGGTCAGAGGAAGGGAAACGTGATCTCTAACTCTACCAAAACCTGGTCTACCACCGGGCGAGGTGGACCCACTAGGACAGAACAACAATCATGATCAGTTTTTAAAAAAAAAAATTGTTAAAGTGCTCTACTAAACTAGTGTACACAGGAGGAAACGAAGACATGGATCAGTTGTGTAAATGTCTCCTACAGATCTTCCAGCAAAGAGACAAAAAGAAAGCACACCCCCCCCCCCCAAAAAAAAAAAAAAGAAAAAAAATAAATAAATTGTTAAAATGCTATACTAAACTAGGGTACACAGGAGGAAAAGAAAACATGGATCAGTTGTGTAAATGTCTCCTAAAGATCTTCCAACAAAGAGACAAAAAGAAAGCACACCCCCCCCCCCATAAGAAAAAAAAAGAACAAAAATGAATCGAATCAGATATGAATTTGCCTCCCCTCTATGAGAGTTCCTTAGTATCAGATATGTATGTGCCTCCTATCTATGAGAGCTCCTACGTATCAGATATGTATTTTCCTCCTATCTATAAGAGTTCCTACGTATCAGATATGTATTTTCCTCCTATCTATGAGAGGTGCTACTTTATATTTCTTAAATATTTCGTATTATGTGACCGAGTCTAATCAGGATCTATTCCTTGTGCCATGAAGAATACCCTCAGACGATCGTAAATATCTTATTTGTTTCATAAACCATTCGCGTCCAGTGTACCAGATGTCTAACATAATTACAAGAGACATTGGAGTTCAGCTAACGTCATTTTAACAACCACAACGCTACCAATAAAAATATCAAGAAAAAATGGATTTGCAGACTCGTGTTTTATTACAAGAGTTTTCTGTTTAGAATATTTGTGTCAAGTGCTCCGGTGTTCATTTCATCTAGTGCTCCGGTGTTCACTTCATCTAGTGCTCCGGTGTTCACTTCATCTGGTGTCCAGACGTCACCAGGATGCTTATCCTGGAGACATGGCGACCTCGGCTTCTACTGGGGGAGGAGTGACCTTGAAGTCTACTGGGAAAGGGATGACTTTGAAGTCAGGGCTGGGGTTACACTTCGTCTGATACGCGGCCACGCCCATCAAGATCCACTCACCGTTAGTGTGGGCTCGGCAGTACAGTGGCGCTCCACTGTCACCCTAAAACACAAACCAATACTAATGATTGCAATGCTCCTATGAGACAAGACGTGCAACCTAGGGTCTGTTGGTTACGCTTGTGAAATTAATTGATTTAGTATCAAATTCAATAGAAGTTTTAAAATAAATAAATTTGTACAGTTTAAAATACAATGATTTTTTTAAAGTAACTCAATTTATACAATATAAAATTCAATAGATGTTTTAAAGTAAATAAATGTATACAGTGTAAAATACAATAGACGTCTTAAATTAATCCGTAGTTACTAAGAATATATCATGCTCCGATAATGAGAAAGAGATCCCCATCAGATTGATTATTTCCCTTTGGCTATTGCTGAGGCTTGTGTTTTGTGGTTTACTTGTGTCGAATGTCGCCTACAGACAGCTCTGATGAGTGTAACACAAAGCCATTGCTCCGTCTCTCCGTGTCCAATCATGGGCAGTAATTTAATGGAAAACCTCACGCGAGCCTCTATCTGGACAACACAAGTAGGTTACCGCTAAAAGCAACCTCCCTGGCAGTCACCTCACAGTCGCGCTACCTCGACCTTGATCTGACAGTGTACTGTTGCCCTCTCCCAGCATTCTCGTTCTGCCCAGCACACCCCACACTGGCCCAAACTCGCGAGTTTCTCGCGTAGCATCACACACATTTCCTAAGAGCATATTCTTTACCGAACAAAAGGTATTTTGGCCAGTGGTTGTCGTAAAGCACACGGTGTTCTGGGCCCCAGACTCGTTTGGTATCAGCAGGGGGTCGCAGCCCCCAATATTCATCTCCACTGGGGTCTCATATTCGCCCTTTTTGCTTGACGCTGCAACATAACATACGGGGCAATTACTTTACATTGAATTCTCATTTGATCGCATCAGAGTAAGCGCATTGATTACACGTGCAAATAAAACATTTCCTTTCACTATCCACCGACAGAATTAACTCCGGTTTCTTTCCTGAACCCCCGTTTAAATTAAGTCAGTTTCCCCTTACGAACCACATATCAGATTAACTTCATTTCCTTCCCTACCTATATATTAAATTAACTCCTTTCCTTATCTTATAGGGCTTGTCATTTCTAAGACCGGAAAACGTCATAGGGTACTATTTTTAGAAGGTCAGCGGACAAATATTGCTTAAAACATGGCAGCTTGTACTGTGTTTCAGTATATCTTTCGGACGATCCTTGTATCTAGAGTCACTGTTACATTTGCCGTTCGCGCAATGAAGTCGCATTTCAGAAAATGGAAGTAAAAAAAAAAATATGTAAAATATTTCGTAAAATAGAGTTGTAAACGAATTTCAAGGACACTTCGCTAACATAGTAATACTGAACCCGGCTGACGAGTAATAATGACATCAGTTCTATTAATAGATTTCCGCCATTAAATGACAAGCCCTATTCCACTATGTTCTTTCTGTTTCCTTAACAAACAACCTCCTCAACTAACCCCTTCTTGAATAACCAACTACAACATTATCACTTTCTATGACCAACCCCCTAATCAGTCAGCATTTAACTTGGCCATGGCGATCCTCTGATTTAACCCTTTCCAATTTAATTAACCATTCGCTTAGCTAAGCAACTCCGGAATTAACCGAGTTCACGACCGACCACCTACTGAATTAAATCCTTCTTCATTAATAACTTACTAAATGAACCCCTTCTTCATTAATAACCTACTAAATTAACTCCTTCTTCATTATTAACTTACAACATTAACTCCTTCTTCATTAATAACTTACTAAATTAACTCCTTTTTTAAACTAACCACGCAACACAAAAAACGATTTCTTATCTATCTACGAAAAGAAATTTCACCTTTCTTGAACTAACCACCTACTACAATAACATCATCCTTAATTAACCACTTAACTCAATTAGCCCTGTCTCAACTGAACCACACTATAAATTAACCCTTTCCTTCAATAGCCGCTTCATCAAATTGATTGACCCTATCGCTACCGACCCTTAAACCACACGATTGGGTGATAACCGACCAAGATCACGTGTGTGCCCAACTGACCACTCACTATCATCCTCTGCTCCCCAGCTGATCAGCTTGCAGTCCGTTAGGTTGACCTTCGACCCCATGGTCGCCCTGTTATATGTGCAGGCGGTTTTCTGACAACTTCCCAGGTTATACAGTAAGCTGATGTATAAGGGGTCGATTGTAATGAGGGCGTTGCCATTCGTTCCTAAATGTAAAAAAAAAAAAAGTGACAAATGATTAGAAGAAGTTTTGGTAAGGGTGGACAAGGGTTAGTGTCCGAAACTGCCATCGACAATCTGGATGAAAGACATCGTATGACTGGATGAAATCTTACTGGCTACATTCGAGGAAATCTTGGATTGGAATGACGTGAGGAAAATAAATGAATCGAAATCGACCAAAACAGCTTATTGAACTGTTTATCTGATAGATTTGAGGAGACGTGGATTTGGATTATGTGTGAAATGAATAATTTTAATTGCTTAATTAGTAACGTTTAAAAACATAAAACATTGATATTTTGTCAGTATTTACCACCGCAGTGAAACAGTTACCCTCCCCCAGATAAACAATTACCCTCCCCAAGTTAAACAGTTACCCTCCTCAGTGAAACAATAACCCTCCTCAGTGAAACAGTTACCCTCCTCAGAGAAACTGTTACTATCCCCATGGCGGTGAAACAATTACGCTCACCCCCGGTTAAACACTTACCCTCCTCTAGCGAAACAGCCCCCACCCCCAGTGAGGTCGGCCGTGCCAAGGAAAAGCAGCCCCTGGCAGGAAACCTGAAGATGGTGCCCGTAAGTTCGTTGTTTTTGTATAGTGCCCCACGGGGCTGCAGATCAGCAACAAGCAAAAAAAGATGATTTTGCACACTTTGTCCCTGCCAACTAAATTTGCGCTTAACATTTCATTAATTCTATCGTCCTAACTAAGCCAGATTTGGCGCCCCATGATGATGCCCCCCCTCCCTCTTTTCCCCCAAAATTTCGTAACTTCCTTCAAGTGACGTTGGCCTTGCTGAAGCCCATTAGACAATACCGTAATTATCTAGGCAAAGTTTTGACATATGCATAAACACATCAAATGTTCATCAAATGTTCATCAAACGTTCATCAAATGTTCATCAAATGTTCATCAAATGTTCATCAAATGTTCATCAAATGTTCATCAAATGTTCATCAAATGTTCATCAAATGTTCATCAAATGTTCATCAAATGTTCATCAAATGTTCATCAAATGTTCATGTGGACACCAATAGTTTTATAGATTTAAATTTTGCATCCGATCTTTTCCGTGCCGAACGACGCGTGTGTGAAGGTCTTGAACATGGCCAAGACGCGTGTGTGAAGGTCTTGAACATGGCCAAGACGCGTGTGTGAAGGTCTTGAACATGGCCAAGACGCACTGATCGTGGACTCACCGTCACTCATAGTGAAGATTGGCTTTTGAACTGGGAAATTCTGAGCCCCGATGGAGATGTACACTCTGCGGAAGAAGAGGCAAGAGCATTATTTGACTGTGCGATCTAAAATAAAAACCTGTTGGCTGACAACCATACCAACAATGTCGAACGTGTCTGGGCAAGAGAGGAGCTACTTTGGTTTTGAGGATAGCGTATAATTAATTCATAGTGAATTCTTCTTGCATGTTTTCTGAGGTTGTCAGCAGACTTTTATAATCTGAAGATTTCCCGCACCGTTGCTATTTGACCCTGAATGATCATCTATTTACAGACACCGAGACAGACATAAAATACACAGTCATTGCAGTCACTGTTACAGACATTACAGACACTGTCACAGACATCAGAAACCCTTTCGCAGACATTACAGGCACTGTCCGTTTGCAACGGAGCGTGGCCACCACACATACATGAACAGAAGAAATTCAACGGTTCTTGAACCCCACAAGATGTCACACTCAAACATTGTGTGATGACAAAGTTATCATTTTCCACACAATTTGATGGGCACGGAATAGCAAATGGACTTTCTTCTTTCCTCCGATCTTTACCTCAACGTTTCCGGTCTTTGACACAACCGATCTGACGTTTCCGGTCTTTAACACAAAAGATCTGACGTTTCCGGTCTTTAACACAAAAGATCTGACGTTTCCGGTCTTTAACACAAAAGATCTGACGTTTCCGGTCTTTAACACAAAAGATCTGACGTTTCCGGTCTTTAACACAAAAGATCTCTCGTTTACGGTTTTTAACACAATGGATCTCTCGTTTACGGGCTTTAACACAATGGATCTCTCGTTTACGGGCTTTAACACAATGGATCTTTCGTTTACGGGCTTTAACACAATGGATCTCTTGTTTACGGGCTTTAACACAATGGATCTCACGTTTCCGGTCTTCAACACAATGGATATCCCGTTTCTGGTCTTTAACGAAACGGGTCTCTAGTTTCCGGGCTTTAACACAATGGATCTCTTGTTTACGTTTTTAACACAATGGATCTCTTGTTTACGGGCTTTAACAGAATGGATCTCTTGTTTACGTTTTTAACACAATGGATCTCTTGTTTACGGGCTTTAACAGAATGGATCTCACGTTTCCGGTCTTCAACACAATGGATATCCCGTTTCTGGTCTTTAACGAAACGGGTCTCTAGTTTCCGAGATTTAACACAACGGATCTCACGGTGTGTGTCCCGACCATTAGAAAACGTCACAATGACTTAGTAAAATTGCATCATTATTACTTACACTCCGTTTGCGCCGTCGATTAGCTTCTTACAGGCACTTGGCGTGAGGAACGTCTTCTTGGGGGTGCCGTCGACCGTAACCGTGGCGAGGACGGCGTTGCACATCACCTTTGTCCCGCTGCTGCTGATGGTGATGTTGGAGACGCCAGCAAAAGCGCAGTCGTTGTTGACGGGGGCGCCTTTCGGGAGAGGTAATGCCGGCTGGCACACTGTTGGGGGGTGTGTTGGGGTTGTGTTTAAGAAGGGAGGGGGGGGAAGGGTAGTAAATTGAGAAGATATCTTATTTGAAGGGAAACGTAAACATTTGAGGATCATATACATGGATCAAAAACCAAAATTTTCCGATTAAGGTGATACTTGACTCATGGATGTGTTAGGCTTTTAGTGTTAACCCCCAACACCTCCACCCTAAAAAAAAGACTTAACCGCTCTCTCTCTACCTGTCGTTTTTAAATATATATTCTTGGTCTAAATGAATAAAAACACTTTTTTTTAAATTTTATAAAGCCATCTTTTTGATTCACTTATCAATATCTGCTTGTACGAGTGTACTTGCTTGTACGTGTGTACTTCTTGAATGACTTTAAGGAAAATAACTTACTCCAATCTTAAACAGGGTTTACTATATGGACTCGTTGGTTTAAAAAAAAAAATATTTCAAATATGTTTAACCAATGTTCCCAGTTCAGGGGGTGATGAAGGGACACGATAGTTATGAACTGTAGCAATCTCTCAAATATTTCTTTTTAATCCATTAATTTGTTGTTTTTTTTAAACAATATTTTGCATATTGTCAATGCGTCTCTTTGTTCTTTCTTCTAGGCGCCGAGTCTTTTAAATTTGTTCAGTCATTGGCCTTCATTCCATTATTGTTACGACACTACGTTCTTTTCTCCTTGCCCATGAGTGACGAGTTGGTCTCCGTCAGCGGATCATCATCCCATTGTATTATCATTGGAATTATTTAAGAAGTACTATGTTGTCAATATTATAACTGAATGGTCATCAATGCTCTTTAAAAAAGTAACTGTAATTTTTTTTATTTATTTCAAATATTGATAGTAAAATTTCGAAATGGAAACTTATACAATGGCTGGTATAACCCACAGTTACTTTGACTGGCAAGAACCAATGTTACAATGGCTGACATGACCGACACTTACCTTGGCTGGCAAGAACCATAGATACAAAGGCTGACATGACCCACAGTTACATGGGCTGGGAAGAACCAATGTTACAATGGCTGACATGACCCACAGTTACCTTGTCTGGCAAGAACCAATGTTACAATGGCTGACATGACCAACAGTTACGTTGGGTGGCAAGAACCAATGTTACAATAGCTGACATGACCCACATTTACCTTAAATGACAAAAACAGTTAAAATGGCTGACATGATCGATAATTACCTTGACTGACAAGAAGCATAGTTACCTTGACTGGCAAGACCCACAGTTAGCTTAGCTGACATGACTCAATGTTACAAAGGATGACATGACTGAAGGCACATTTCCTGACATTCCACAGACACCTTGACTGACATGACCCACAGTTACCTTGACTGATATGATACAATATTCCAAAGGATGACAAGACCCACAGTTACCTTGGCTGACATGACCCACATGCACCTTGACTGACATCACCCACAGTTACCTTGGCTGACATGACCCAATATTACAAAGGATGACATGACTCACAGTCACCTTGACTGACATTCCCATAGTTATCTTGGCTGACATTCCCACAGCCACCTTGCCTGAAATGACCCCCAGTTACAATGGCTGACATGACCCACAGTTACCTTGACTGACATGACCAAAAGTTACCTTTACTAACATGACCCACAGTTACAATGGCTGGCAAGACCCAACATCACCTTGGCTGATGTGATATACAGTCATCTTGAATGACCTGAACCTCAGTTTCCTTTACTGACGTGACCAACAGTTACAACGGCTGACATGACACACAGTTACAACGGCTAACATGACACACAGTTACAATGGCTGACATGACCCACCGTCATCTTTACTGGCAAAACCCACAGTCCAAAATTGACGAAGTTCAAAGGCTCGTGGGGGGGGGGGTGTCAGGGAAGGGTGTTACATTTCACCAAACAGACTGTCTATTCAGCCCTGGTGCATACTCTTTAGGCATTCGTAATGCGAGGCTTTCGTACTTCAAGACATTCGTAATGCGAGGCTTTCGTACTTCAAGACATTCGTAATGCGAGGCTTTCGTACTTCAAGACATTCGTAATGCGAGGCTTTCGTACTTCAAGACATTCGTACTGCGAGACGTAATTTTATAGCCACAATGTTTAGTTGTTTTTTATAAACAAGCGTTTTTAAACGGTTCTCAATAAAAAGCGATTTACTCGCTCCGTCTATAGGTACCCGATGCTGCCTTTTCTTTGATACTCCATACACCCGGTAATCGAATGTTATGAGTAGTTTAGCCATTGCAATAAAGTACTTACGTGATGGTGGAGCTGTAGTAGTAGGAGTTAGTGTGTTTGTTGGTGTGGTTGTTGTCGTCGGGGTGGGTGTTGCTGTTGCTGCTCCCGCTGCTGTCGTGGCAAGGGTGGTTGCAGTCAGTGTCGGGCACACCACCGAAGGGCCGCATCGACATTGTTGATTGAGAAGTCCGTCGTCTGGTGTGAAAGTACAGAATTTAAAGTTTGAACAAGTGATGTTTGTTCAAAGACGGATGGATGATTTGAGAGTAGGGAGAATGAGGATAGACGTGGGGGGGGGGGTATGAGATCTATTAGAATGATGATCGATTCATTGTTAGGAGAAGACGTTAGTATTGCGATGGTCTGAAGGTAGCAGACAAACACAGATCTAACTGTCGTACGACTCTCAGACTAAAAAAAAAAAATAACTCAACTGTAATTTGTTTGTTTTGTTTGTTAAGCATTCCTTTCTGAAGTCAGTTTATCTGCTTGTTTGTCTGAATCTAAGGCCCCCCCCCCAACCCCATATATTTTCTTTCATTCTATTTGTCACTCATCTAAAAAAAAAAAATAACTCAACTGTAATTTGTTTGTTTTGTTTGTTAAGCATTCCTTTCTGAAGTCAGTTTATCTGCTTGTTTGTCTGAATCTAAGGCCCCCCCCCCAACCCCATATATTTTCCTTCAATCTATTTGTCACTCAATGCATATGTTATTTCAAATTTTGATCAAATCTTAACTTTAGATATAGATCAATTAAGCTTTATTAGTCTATATTCTCGACCAAAAAAAAAAAGAGAGAGAGAACAGATTTACTTTCATTTCTACCATTTAACACCAATATTATCTTAATGATGTAGAAATTCTACAGTAGAGTAAAATAAGTTCCTTTATCATTGAAAGGTTGAAAATTTTTTTTTATCGACATATAAAACCATGATATTTTTTTTAAAAATCAAATTTTGAAAAAAAGAAAATAATGTCCAAATATTAACAGCTACTTGTGATTTCAATCAGTGTTATTTAAACTGTTCAATGAGGCCAAATATTTATTCGCCATATCCCGTGGTGCTTGTCGGTGTTAACAGATTTAATGGCGTCATGCGAAAATCTGAAATCAGCAAGGGCGTCCAATATTTGAAAAATAATTGAAACCACTGCATGAGGACACACATAAGTAGTGTCGCAAAAATTCTTATCACAATGTTTAAGGCATTCGTAACATGATGATCGCCGAGGCGAACACAGTTAAAATCCTCATTGTTTTACATGCTTTGATAAATTTAGCAAGAAACGCTCACCAATCAGAAAGCTCCCTTCTGGTCATGTGGTGTACGGAGGATAAGAAACTTGACACGATTCTTGTGTGAAGAAGGCAGTTTGTGTACGGAAAGCAAGACGACGGCGATTTTAAGAATTAATAACGATCTATATTTAATTTGTTATTATTTTTTTAAATATTTTTTTTTTTAATTTTGTATTTTATTATTCCCTGTTAACTTAAGTATTGACTTTCCTTCCTGAATAAATTAATCTTAAAAAATAATAAAATTACTTAATGAACCCACCAAGTCTCGTACTAAAGTCTGCAGTGACAGCGCAACATTCCCTGGTACAAAACGCATGTAGTGACAGGATAACATTCCCTGGTACAAAACGATTGTGGTGACAGGACAACATTTCCTGATACAAAACGCGTGTAGTGACAGGACAACATTCCCTGGTACAAAATGCATGTAGTGACAGGACAACATGCCCTGGTACAAAACGCATGTAGTGACAGAGCAAAATGCCCAGGTACAAAACGCATGTAGTGACAGAGCAACATTCCCTGGTACAAAATGCATGTAGTGACAGGACAACATGCCCTGGTACAAAATGCGTGTAGTGACAGATCAATTTTCTCTGGTACAAAATGCATGCAGTGACAGGACAACATTCCCTTGTACAAATTATGTACACATTGGTTAGTGGACTATTGTAAAATATCCCCCTGGACAATTAATCCATACCAGGGCTTAACCGGGTGGATGTTTTTTCTACAACTGTTCCACGACTTTTGAGACAATACCCGGTGGGATCAAGTGTTAACAAAAACAAAACAAAAAAAAGAGCTAACTTCTCATTTTCTACATAAAATGCAACGAAATCGACTGCCCCGTTGTAGCAGTGTGAGTGCATTGCTTTCGTCAAAGGTTTTTGTCAAGAAATAACCCACTGATAGGTGCAGGCAGTTGGCCGGATCACGGGACAGAGATGACGCGGTAAAAAAACAACAAAAAAAACCAAACCCGTCGACAGAGAAGATACTGTCTTTCATTTTAAAACAAAGAACTCTTTGGGGGGAATAACGGTCGCAGTATTAAGAAGATGGGAAACCTTTAAAGGCGCTCGCTGTGGGACAGAGGAACACGAACAATAGCAACACCGAATAATAGTCGCCCCCCCCCCCCACTTTTAAAATTAACAAAACTATTTGAGTTCATATATCACGCATGGCAGTTTCTTCTTCTTCACTCAGTACTATTAATATAAAATTTGTGAAGTGGGTTGAATTGGTGGGGGGGGGGGGGTTTCGAATAACCTTTAAAGGCGCTCGCTGTGGGACAGAGGAAAACGAACAATAGCAACACCCAATAATAGTCGCCCCCCCCCCCCACTTTTAAAATTAACAAAACTATTTGAGTTCATATATCACGCATGGCAGTTTCTTCTTCTTCACTCAGTACTATTAATATAAAATTTGTGAAGTGTGTTGAATTGGTGGGGGGGGGGTGGTTTCGAAAAGGAAGCAGGACACACCAGAAGGAAAAAAAATATGTATACAAGATATTAACACATGACTTTTGATTCACATCTGACAAAGAAAAAAAAAGTTGGGAGTAGCTCACACCCATTGAAGTAGGTCATGCAGCAGTTGTTCCTCGTGTAGTAATCATAGCACGAGGTCTCTGGACACGCATGGTAGGTTGACGTCGAGGTAACGGTGAGGCTCCACGTGTAGACGGGGTTACCCCAACAGGACAGGGCCGTGGTGTACGGGTAGTTGTTGTTACTGACCGCATGGGCGCTGGGGATGAGCACGAAAACTGCCAGGGTGGCGCACACGAGGATTGAGTTTCTTGTGGGTGGCATGGCTGAAAGTAAAATACCTGAAAATTGTAATCTTTTGGTTTTGTCCTCCCCCCCCCAACCTTGCACTGAAAGATGATTAATAAGGCAATCTCCACATCACATCTTAAAGCCCTAAAATATCCGAGGCCCACGGCAGTTGTAGGGATCGCTGAGCTCACATGATGTTTCTAAAGTTAAGTGACACCTACATTTTTTAAACTAGTATTTCTTCCGTTGCTCTCCAAGTGTAGAATTTTGCAAAACTTTAATTTGAAGTATTTGCTAAAATGTATTCCTTTATTTTTTAATTTATCAAAAATGTATTGGGACTATAAAGCTATAATAGATATTAAGCTAGGGACAATGCATACCAGCCAAGAGCCTTAATTTGGAATGTATTTAGTTCATGTTGGACTGAAGCATGTAAAAGTTATTTCTAAATAATGGCTAATTTTAGCGCTTCACACAGGAAAGTCTCAAATCCCCCCCCCCCTTTTTTAAAAAATTACCTGAAAGAAATAACAATTTCAAGTATGCCCCAAAATACATCCCTGAATTTTAAAAACTAAATTTTCCACACATCCAACCCCAAGGCTGTTTCCTGTTACAGTATTGGGTTAAATATAAGCGTGTGCCAAATGATTACCCTGGGGCACGCCACATCCTGAGTGAATTCAATTTATGTATGACTGAATGCCACAATGTCTCCCTCTGACGAGTGAAAAATACCTTCCCCAGATGATATAATCTTAGAGAAACACTGTATTAAAGTATACTACAAAATTCAACTTTTGATTTTGAAATAATCCAAAATTTGCTAGGGAGGGCTCCCCAGACCCCCCCCCCCCTTTTTACTCAAAAGCCAACAGTACCCTCAATGTGTGCCCTTCTTCCCTAATAAACTACGGAACAGTTGGCGCTGGTCATAATTTTTGGTGATGATATATTCATTATCTAGTGGAGTAGATAGTGTTAGTGCTGATAGATACACAACATAGTCGAACAGCTAAGGTTAGTGATGATAGTTACACAATCTAGTGGATTAGTTTGTGTTAGAATTGATAGATACATGACCTAGTGGAGCAGCTAGTGTTAGGCCTTATAGAGTCACAAACTAGTGGAGTAGCTAGTGTTAGTGCTGATAGATAACACTCATGAGTAGTAGCTAGTGTTGATGGTAATGGATACACTACCTAGTGGAGTAGCCAGTGTTAGTGCTGATAGATGAACAACCTAGTGAAGTAGCTAGTGATTGTGCTGATATAAATACACAGCATAGTGGAGTAGCCAGTGTTAGTGCTACCCTAGACTTGCCAAGACTGATGCCACGTTCCAATTAACGATACAAACTCTGCATTTGTCATAAAGTCCTTCCCCTCCATATAAAGAAAAATTGACATCTGGGCTGACCAGAGGCGTAGCTAGGGTGTTTGGCGCCAGGGGATATTGATTCATTTTCACGCCCCCCTCCTTAACTATGAAAATCATTATTTGTATGCATTAAATTCCATCACACCCCATTTTGGCGACCCGCTAGTGTGGTGCATGGGGATATCTGTCCCCTATTCCTCTTTAGCTACGGCTCTTGCCTCTGTCACTGTCCCCCTTCCCGAAAATCTGAACACCCACCCCCCACCCCCCCAGAACAAAACACTGCACGCTACTCAGTATTTCTTTGCCCACATTACATTCGTGAAGAATTTAATTCAGATTTTTTTTGAATTCTTCCAGAAATGCAAGTTCAAATACGTAAGTAATATTAATGTAGCTGTGCGTTCACTCTAAACGTTCTTTAGATTTCCTTTGTACTCTGCAAGGGAAGCAAATTTATAGCTTTCCAGTTTGGCACTCTGAGCTTCCTTATGATAGACAATTGTCTTTTATTGTGAAAATCATCTCAGCATTAAGCTATTTGTTATTAGTACCTGTATTTTGAATCTGGTTTTTATATTATATTTTAAACAATGTGCACTTTTTTGTGTGTGGGTATGAAACAATGAATTCAACAACGCAGAGCAGTATCTCACTGGACAGAGATTATTTTCCTGGGTGAACACTTTAAATCTAGGTTTTTAACGTTGTATCAGTCAATGAGATGACAGATTGGAAATAAAATGATGTCATCTATGTTCGCGACGATTAAAATTTTTTTAAAGACGTCATCAATGAAATATTTAACAGTCAACTTACCATACTTGAACCTACGAGGCTCTACTGGACTGGCCAGCAGTAATGATAAGTCAACCTAAATGACCAGGAACTTACCTGGTTCTTCATACTGATCAGAAGTAATGATCAGTCAACCTAAATGACCAGGAACTTACCTGGTTCTTCAGACTGATCAGCAGTAATTACCAGCCAATGCGAACCAGTCAAGGACTACCTGTTTCCACTGGACTGGCCCAAATTAATGACAAGTCAACCTGACAAACGAAGTACTTGCCTTGCTCTACTGGACTGGCCTAAAGTAATGCAGTGTTGCTGCCTCTAATACTTCTTGGTAAAGATCAGTTGATCAAAGTCCTGCCATGGCCTTTAATGTGATAGCCAACATGATCTGCTCACAAGTATTTGTGTCCACATGGACATTAAATCCACGACACCCACACACACACCTCCACAAACCTGAGTGCAACTAAAAGCTGGCCAATTAAAATATTGCCTTCAACCAAAGATTAACCCCCCCCCCCAGACACAAACATACACTCAACCCTTTTGATATGCGACCTTATTTAGTGCAAACTGATATCTTAGATCTGAATTTTACAATGTTCAATGATGATGAGAATTATACCCTATGGTTTAGAAAAGACTAAAGTGCCTTGTGTCAGAAGGGGTCGGGCCGAAGAGTATCATTGTGCATGTAGCGATCCTTTTACGGACTTAGTCTGTGACGTTGTAACATTTTCTCAGACTCGGCGTCAAATAGCATCGGAAAAAAGCAACTAATTACATTTTCAGACTGATCATTTTTTGCCTCAGTCTGACGATATTTCGCCTCAGCCTGGCCATATTTGACTTCGGTCTGACCAGATTGGGCCCCCGTCTTTTTTGGCCTCAGTGTGACCATATTTGGACTCAGTCTAACCATTTTTAGCTTCAGTCTGACCTAATTGGGCCCAATTCTGACCTTATCTGGCATCAGTCTGACCATATTTGGCTCCAGTCCGACCATTTTTTACCCCTGACTGGCCATATTTGCCAACAGTCTGACCATATTTGGCCTCAGTTTAGCCATTTATAGCCTCAGTCTAACCATCTTTGGCTACAGTCTGACCATTTTAGTCCTAAACAGACCATCTTTTGCTTCCTTCCTGCGATTTTTAGCCTAAGTCTGATGATTTTTGGGTTCAGGCAGGAAATATTGGGCCTCAGTCTGAACATCTTTGGCCTCAGTCTAACAATTTTTAGCCTCAGTCTGACCATATTTTGCCCAAGTATGACCATATTTGGTCTCAGTCTAACTATATTTGGCTTCGGTCTGACCATATTTGGCTTCGGTCTAACCATTTTTAGCATCAGTCTTACCATATTGGGCCAAAGTTTGACCATATTTGGCTTCAGTCTGACCACATTTGGCCTCAGTCTAACCATTTTTAGCATCAGTCTTACCATATTGGGCTAAAGTCTGACCATATTTGGCCTCAGTCTGATCATATTGGGCTCAAGTCTGACCTTATTGGGCCTCAGTCTGACCATATTTTGTTTCAGTCTCACAATTTTTTACCTCTGTCTTGCCATATTTAGCCTAAGTCTGACCATATTTGGCCATAATCTAACCATTTTAAGGCTCAGTCTGACCATCCTAGGCCTCAGTCTGACATTTTTTAGTTCTAAACTGACCTCCTTTCGCCTCCTTCCTGCAATCTTTGGCCTCAGGTTGGCCATATTTGGCTTCAGTCTGACCATATTTGGCTTCAGTCTGGCCATATTTGGCCTCAGTCTGGCCAAATTAGGCCTCAATCTGACCATCGTTGGCCTCAGTTTTACAATTTTTAGTCCTAAACGTTCTGCTCCTTCCGGCGATTTTCATCCCCAGTCTGACGATCTTTGGCCTCAGGTTGGTCATATTTGGCCTCAGTCTGACGATCTTTGGCCTCAGGTTGGTCATATTTGGCCTCAGTCTGAACATTTTTAGCTTCAGTGTGGCCATATTTTGCCACTGTTCGAGCATTTTTTACTACAGTCGCACCATCTTCTGCCTCAGTCTAACCATTTTTAGCCCCAGGCTGAACATATTTGGCTTCAGTCTGACCATTTTAGCCTCAGTCTCACCATTTTGACCCTCAGTCTAACCCTTTTTAGTTTCAGTCTGACTATCTTTGGCCTCAGTCTGACGATCTTTTGCCCTATGTTCTTATTAAACCCCAGTCTGACCTAATCTGCCCTCAGTCTGACCATTTTTGACCAGTGTCTGGCCATATTTGGCCGAAGTCTGACCATATTTAGACTCAGTCAGACCATTTTTAGTATAAACTGACCATCTTTCGACTCTTTCAGGCGATTTTTAGCCTCCGTCTGACAATCCTTGGCCTCAAGTTGGCCATATTTGGCTTCAGTCTGAACACCTTTGGCCCCAGTCTGACCATTTTTGGCTTCAGTCTGAACATCTTTGGCCTCAGTCTAACGATTTTTAGTCTCAGTCTTACCATATTTGGCCCCAATCTGACCATATTAGGCCTCAGTCTGACCATATTCGGCCTGAGTCTAACCATTTTTAGTCTCAGTCTGACCAAATTGGACCTCAGTTTGACCATTTTTGGCCTCGGTCTGACCATTTTTGGCCTCAGTGTGGGCATATTTGCCTCTGTCCGAAAGTATTTGACTGCAGTCGCACCATCTTCTGCCTCAGTCTAACCATTTTTAGCCCCAGGCTGAACATACTTGGCTTCAGTCTGATTATCTTTGGCTTCAGTCTCACCACTTTTGGACTTAGTTTGAAAATATTACGCCCCAGTCTGACCTCATTGGGCCTCAGCCTGACCATATTTTGCTTCAGCCTGATCATTTTTTAGCTCTGTCTGGTCATATTTGGCCTCAGTCTGACCATATTTGGCCTCAGTCTCACCATTTTTAGTCCTAAACTGACCATCTTTCGACTCGTGCCGGCAATTTTTATCTTCAGTCTGGCGATCTTGGCCTCAATTTGGCCATATTTGGCTTCAGTCTGAACATCTTTGATCTATGCTTAAACATTTTTAGCCTCTGTCTGACCATATTTGCTTCAGTCTGACCATCTTTGGCAGTCTGACCATCTTTGGCAGTCTGACCATCTTTGGTCCTAGTCTGACCATATTGGACCCCAGTCTGACCTTATTTAGCTTCAGTCTGACCATTTTTGACCTCTGTCTAGCCATATTGGGCCTCAGTCTGTGCATATTTGGACTCAGCCTAACAATTTTTAGCCTCAATCTGATCATCTTTGGCCTCAGTTTTATAATGTTTAGTCCTAAACTGACCATCTTTTGCCTCCTTCCGGCGATTTTTATCCTCAGTCTGACGATCTTTAGCCTCAGGTCGCCATATTTGGCCTCAGTCTGAACATCTTTGGCTTCAGTCTAACCTTTTTTTAGCCCCCGTCTGACCGTTTTTAGCCCCAGTCTGATCATTTTTGGCCTCAGTGGGGCCATATTTTGCCTCTGTCCGAGCATTTTTGGCTGCAGTGGCACCATCTTCTGCCTCAGTCTAACCATTTTGATGAGATATGTATGTGCCTCCTATCTATGAGAAGTCCTACTTTATATTTCTTTAATAGTTCGTATTATGTGACCGGGTCTAATCAGGATCTATTCCTTGTGCCGTGTAGTATATTCTCAGATGATCGTAAATATCTTATTTGTTTAACGTACCACTCGCGTCCAGTGTACTAGATGTCTAACATAAATATATGATACGTAGGAACTCTTATAGATCGGAGGCACATACATATCTGATACTTAGGAACTCTCATAGATAAGAGGCATATACATACGTATGTGCAGTTTCGCATTTGCTGGTCCAACAATTTGGAACGCCCTTCCTGTCGATCTCAGAAACAACCAGACATTGGATTCCTTTAAAACCGATTTAAAGACACATCTATTTCGCAAACACCTTCTGGGATGATTGTCTACCATATTTTCCAGTTAATGCATATTGGTTGTGTTGCTTAGGGTTGAAATGGCTAGAAAGACTTTGACTTGGTATGCGTGTAATTAGTTTTTGTAGTGTTGCGTTTGTTTTAAATGTGGTAAATTATAATTTTTTATTTTTTTTTTACTTTGTACCGCGCTTTGAACCTTTGGGGATGAAGCGTGTTTATGAAATAAACTTTATTATTATTATTATTATTATTATTATTATTATAATTACAAGAGACATTCGATTTTAGCTAACGTCATTTTAACAACCACAACGCTACCATTAAAAATATCAACGAAAAAAAATGGATTTGGCAGACTCGTGTTTTATTAAAAGAGTTTTCTGTTTAGAATATTTGAGTTAAGTGCTCCGGTGCTCTCTTCATCTGGTGCTCCAGTGTTCACTCCATCTAGTGCTCCAGTGTTCACTTCATCTGGTGTCCAGACGTAAACAGGATGCTTATCATGGGGTGGCAGGCGCAGTTGTTGTTGCGGTGGATGTTGGAGTTGTAGTTGCCGCTGTTGTGGGAGGCGTGTTTTCGTTCTGTGGCGGACACAGGACCGCGGTGCCACAGCGACATTGTTGGTAGCGGAGTCCGTCAGCTGGTGAGCAAATACGGCATTAAAAGGTTAAAGGGGTTACGTGACATAAAGGTAGATTGATGGTTTTGAGAGTTTTGTAGAATGAAGAAATGTGGGAGAGTATGAGATTTTTTAGAATGATAATAGATTGATGGCAGGAGAAAACGTTAGAAGGTTGATAGGTTTCAGGAAAACACAGACTTGGAAGCTGTTCGACTGACCGAAAAAAAAAAAATGGGAAACTACTGACCTAAAATACAAATGTTATGTATAACGTTTCACAAGATTTCCTTGTGCGTGAACTTTCCTTGACCTTAAATTATATTTATGTAATTAGATTAAAAGAAAAAATATCCCGTCGTTGGCTAATTTGTATGAATTACGTCAATTTTTAATTTTTTTTTTTTTTTTTAAAGGTTTGATATCAGAATCATGTGCACCCTGTCTTTATTTCAATGAACCATTTTACATTTTTTAAAATGTATTTATTTTTTCTATTTTGTGGTCTTAAACTTCACTTTTTGCAACTTTTGAAATTTCAAGGGAGGCAATTTTTTTTTTTAAATACAAAGTTTATGTATAAAGTTTCAAAAGATTTCCGTGTGCGTTAACTTTACTTGACCTTAAATTATATTTATTTAATTAGATTAAAAGAAAAAATATCCCGTTGTTTGTTAATTTGTATGAATTACGTCAATTTTTAATTTTTTTTTTTTTTTTAAAGGTTTGATATCAGAATCATGTGCACCCTGTCTTTAGTTCAATGAACCATTTTACATTTTTTAAAATGTATTTATTTTTTCTATTTTGTGGTCTTAAACTGCACTTTTTGCAACTTTTGAAATATCAAGGGAGGCAATTTTTTTTTTTAATAGTATAAACTCATTTCTATGTTATACACTCCCTTTGATGCTTAATGTTGCACAAACTTAACCCATAACTTAAGCCATTTGCAGATACAATGGCAAGAAACGTCAGGATGTTACCCTCAGCGTTTTCTGGTCTACTCCGATTAATCTTTTCGTCCGTCCGCCAATGACCACGACTGGACATTTTATGTAAGAATAGAAGGTATCTCATATACAATGACATTATATATATCTATGTATGTGTATATATATATAAATATATACATAAGGTTCCTTCCATTATATTTCTATATCTACTCCAATTACGTATCCACTTGACGAATCAGCGACGGTTCAATGTCCTTTGGAACGATTAAAAATGTCCTCAATTAAGCCCCCACCCCACCCCCACCCCCACCCAGTTAAAGAGAAAGTGATAGGAGTGCATTAAATACTGCACCATGGTAGTAGTGTGCCACTCTCCGAGGGGGAATAAAACAACAGAATTACGTATTTGTGTCAAGCCAATCAATAAATAGCATATGGATTTTGTGATTCTAACGGCGCATGCGACTTGTTGGACGCAGCATCTAATCACAATGTTTCCCCCACGCCGTTTGGTGCTATGCCAACGGCAATGGCGCATGCGACTTGTTGGACGCAACATCTAATCACAATGTTTCCCCCACGCCGTTTGGTGCTATGCCAACGGCAATGGCGCATGCGACTTGTTGGACGCAGCATCTAATCACAATGTTTCCCCCACGCCGTTTGGTGCTATGCCAACGGCAATGGCGCATGCGCCTTGTTGGACGCAGCATCTAATCACAATGTTTCCCCCACGCCGTTTGGTGCTATGCCAACGGCAATGGCGCATGCGCCTTGTTGGACGCAACATCTAATCACAATGTTTCCCCCACGCCGTTTGGTGCTATGCCAACGGCAATGGCGCATGCGCCTTGTTGGACGCAGCATCTAATCACAATGTTTCCCCCACGCCGTTTGGTGCGATGCCAACGGCAGGGGCGCATGTGACTTGTTGGACGCAGCATCTAATCACAATGTTTCCCCCACGCCGTTTGGTGCGATGCCAACGGCAGGGGCGCATGTGACTTGTTGGACGCAGCATCTAATCACAATGTTTTCCCCACGCCATTTGGTGCTATGCCAATGGTAGGCCACAGCTTTTTTTCCAAAACGCACCGCACAATATTTTGAAAATGTATAATTTTTACTTTCAAATCTTTGTGTCAGGAGTTTGGAGCTGTTCCGTAATTGTTGGCCAATGCACTCAAGGTTGAATTTTTTATTTATTTTTTTGCCACTGCTCATTTAGGCTTTTTCTGATTCCCGCGACTGGACTTCTAGGGGACCTTGTGCAAACCAGTAACTCAATTAGTTATGATTGTTGACAGAAGCCTCTGCACTTGGCATTTTGAGATCTTAAAATTAAATGCGTGTTTTAATTTACTGTGATTTTATAAAACAAAATATGTTATCGCCATATCGCGTAGTGCTTGTCAGATTTAACAAACCTAATGGAACCAGCAATGACGTCAAAATATGAAAACATTTGGAAACAAACACTGCTAATATAATGTTTGTGCCATTGCTATTATGATGACCATCGTTGTGCACGCAGTTAAACTTCCCGTGTTTTGCCGTACAATTGATAAATATAGAAAAAAATACTAACCAATTATTATCAATTATTATCTCAAGTTGGTGGTCTGGAGTTCAATTCCAGCCAGAGCCCAGTCAAGCAAAAAAACATCCCCAGCACCCCGGGTGGATGGGACGCGTAACCCTGGATGGCAAATCATCTAAGAGAAGGAAACTCTGAATTCAAACTCCCTAGTAGTCCCGTAAGCGGATAACATTGGAATAATGAAACATTCCGACAACTCCTGCGACGCCACTGGTGCCAAGCTCTATCATCCAAATGATGTTCCCTTGGGCTATCCAGCGGCGCGGAGAGAGGCTATTTGCTGTTGGGAACCAGCGCAGAATCCTTAAAGGATAATCCCAGGCCTTTTGGATTTCGTCCTACTTACCTACTTGAATATATTAAAAGCTATTTAAACAATACTGAACTCTGGTACAAATGTATGCAGTACAGTAAGAGGACAACCTTCCCTGGTACAAAATAAATGTAATGAAAGAACATCTCCCCTTTCAAATGTACACAATGACCAGTAGAATGTAATGAAATATCTACAGGACGATTAATTCATACTAGGGGTTAACCAGGTGGGTTTTTTTACAACGGTTCCTGGAGTTTTGAGAAAATTTTATCCCGACACCCCCCACCCCCCTCTTTCACCACAACAAAAAAAAAGCGTTAATTTGTCATTTTCTATAAAATTCAACGAAATCGACTGCTCCATGTCGTAGTGGAAGCGCATTGCCTTCGTCAACCGTTTGTGTCAAAAAAATAACCCACCGATAGGAACAGGCGGTTACCGGATCGCGGAATAGAGATGACGCTGTACAAAAACCGGTCGATAGAGAAGATACTGTCATTCATTTTAAAACAGTGAAATACTAAGGAAACCACACTCGCAGTATAAAGGCGATAGCAAACTATTTAAAGGCGTTCAGACGTCACACATGAAGCTCGCTGGGTGCTTCAGATGAAAACAAACAATAGCAACACCGAATAATAGCCGCCTTCTTTTAAAAAATATTTTGTATATACCTGAGTTCGCATGTCACGCATGGCAGCCTCTTCTTCACTCAGTACTATTGATATAAAACGTGCGGAGCTGGGGCGGGGGATGGGGGTGGTTTCGAAAAGGAAGCAGGACACACCTGAAGCAAAATAAGAGATATCAACACATAACCTTTGAGTCCACGTCTGACAAAAGGTTTGGGGATTAGCTCACCTCCAAAGAAGTCGGTCATGCAGCAGCTGTTCCTGGTGAAGTAATCATAACACAAGGTCTGTGGACACGCCTGGTAGGTTGACGTCGCAGCGAGGGTTCTGCTCCACGTGTAGACGGAGGTACCGTCACAGTACAGGGGCGTGGTGAATGGGCGGTTGTTGTAACTGTCCTGATGGGGGTTATGCCAGTCCTGACGGTGGTTGTGACCGGCCCAATCGTGGTTATGCCAGTCCTGATGGTGGTTATGACCGGCCCAATCGTGGTTATGCCTGTCCTGATGGTGGTTATGATTATGTCTATGGGCGCTGCTGGTGGGTATGAAAACTGCCAGGGCGGCGCACAGAAGGATCAAGTTTCTTGGGGATGGCATTGCTGAATGTAAAATCCCTGAAAATTGTAAATAAATTGATTTATTTTTTAAATTAATTTTTGAATTCAGGATTTTTTTTTTTAAATCGCCTTTGGAAATTTTAAGATGTAAGAGAAGAACACATACCTGGGCGAAGAAAACAGCAAGGGAGAAATAATCAAGGATTAAGATTGTTGGAGAACAGCATGATAAAATGTTTTAATCAGCTAGATAAAGTTCGGCCAAGCTATTTGCCATTATTACATGTATTTTGAATCTGGTTTTTATATTAGGTTGTTTTTTTTAAAACTTTTTTTGTGGGGATGAAACAAGGAATTAGACAACGCAGAGATTATCTTCCTGAATTAAACTTTAAGTTGAGGTAATGTTGCATTAGTGAATGAGAAGACGCAAAGGAAAAAAAAGATAATGTCATCTCTAACAGAGTCCATCATATTGTTTTAAGACGTCATCAGTGAGAGATTTCATCAGTCAACTTGCCATAATTGAACCTACCGGCTCCACTGGACTGGCCGATAGTAAGGACCAGCCAACCTGACCGGTCAATGGCTTACCTGGATCTACTGAACTGGCCACCAGTAATTACCCGCCAACCTTACCAACGGAGTATTTACCTTGTTCTACTGGACTGACCTGAAGTAATGACAAGCCTAACTGAACAATGAAGTACTTGCCTTGTTCTGCTGGACTGACCTAAAGTAGTTATTAGCCAACTTTACCAACGAAGTACTTGCCTTGTTCAACTGGACTGGTCTAAAGTAATGCAATGTTCCTGCCTCTACTACTCCTTGATAAACATCAGTTGATCAAAGACCAGCCATTTCCTTTTTTTGTGATAGTCAACATGAGCTGCTCACACGCCCGTCTACACGCGGACATGAAAGCCACGACAACCACATGCCACACCTCCACAAACCTGAGGGCAACTAGAAACTGGCCAATTAAAATAACGATTTCAACCAAAGTCTACCCCCTCCAAATACACACACACACACGTGCAACCCTTTTGTTATGCGACCTCAATTATTGTAAAAGGATATCTTGAATCTACAACGTTCAAAGAAGATCAGAATTACACACATGGTTTAGAACATAATAGTCATATTGTGTAGGTAACGACATTTTTACAACTAACTGTGTGTCGTAACAGTTTCTATGGCTCGTCATAAAATATCCATAAAATTACCAGCGGCAAAAAAAAAAAACCCAACTAATTACATTTTCAATCTGGCCACATTTGGCCTCGGTCTCGCAATAATTGACCTCAATCTGAACATCTTGGGCCTCGATTTGACCAACTTTGGTCTCAGTATGATTATCTTTGACCTCAGTACGACCATATTAGGCCTCAATCTGACCATATTTGGTCTCTGTCTGACCATATAATTTGGCCTCTGTCTGACTTATTTGGCCTCAGTTTTACTAGCTTTGGTCTCAATATAAGCATATTAGGTCTCAATATGGCCATATTTGACCTCTGTCTGACCACATTTGGCCTTAGTCTGACCATCTTTAGCCTAAGTCTGACAATCTTTGGCTTAAGTCTGACCAACGATAAAATCACTCGTAGATAGGTAATGACGTCGCATCATATAAAACAAGGTAACGTCGTCAGCTTACTTAAGATGAGGTTATGACGTCACCTCAAGTAAGACAAGATAAGAAGTCATCTCAGATAAAAGAAGTTAATGGCGTCTCCTCATTTAAGACAAGATAAGAAGTCATCTCAAATAAAAGAAGTTAATGACGTCTCCTCAGTTAAGATAAGATAATGACGTCATCTCAAATAAAAATAAGATAATGGCATCACCTCAAATGAGATAAGGTAATGACGTCAACTCAAAAATATAAAAAAAATAGTTGATTCAAGTTAAGAAGTGCCACTAGTAATATAGCATGATATTCCTTCTTTCTGCTCAGGTAGCTGTTGGCATATACGTTGATGACTAACCTGTTGGCAGCTTCGTTGAGGGCATACGATTTATTTTCTTTCTTTAACATGATAGTGGTTGAGCCAATGAACAATTAGGGTAAACTTATATATGAACATGATAGTGATTGAGCCAATGAACAATTAGGGTAAACTTATATATGAACATGATAGTGATTGACGCCAATGAACAATTAGGGTAAACTCTATATATGAACATGATAGTGATTGAGCCAATGAACAATTAGGGTAAACTCTATATATGAACATGATAGTGATTGAGGCAATGAACAATTAGTGTAAACTCTATATATGAACATGATAGTGATTGAGGCAATGAACAATTAGGGTAAACTCTATATATGAACATGATAGTGATTGAGCCAATGAACAATTAGGGTAAACTCTATATATGAACATGATAGTGATTGAGCCAATGAACAATTAGGGTAAACTCTATATATGAACATGATAGTGATTGAGGCAATGAACAATTAGGGTAAACTCTATATATGAACATGATAGTGATTGAGCCAATGAACAATTAGGGTAAACTCTATATATGAACATGATAGTGATTGAGCCAATGAACAATTAGGGTAAACTTATATATGAACATGATAGTGATTGAGCCAATGAACAATTAGGGTAAACTCTATATATGAACATGATAGTGATTGAGCCAATGAACAATTAGGGTAAACTCTATATATGAACATGATAGTGATTGAGCCAATGAACAATTAGGGTAAACTCTATATATGAACATGATAGTGGTTGAGCCAATGAACAATTAGGGTAAACTCTATAGATGAACATGATAGTGGTTGAGCCCATGAACAATTAGGGTAAGCTCTATATATGAACATGATAGTGGTTGAGCCAATGAACAATTAGGGTAAACTCTATATATGAACATGATAGTGGTTGAGCCAATGAACAATTAGGGTAAACTCTATAGATGAACATGATAGTGGTTGAGCCAATGAACAATTAGGGTAAGCTCTATATATGAACATGATAGTGGTTGAGCCAATGAACAATTAGGGTAAACTCTATATATGAACATGATAGTGGTTGAGCCAATGAACAATTAGGGTAAACTCTATATATGAACATGATAGTGGTTGAGGCAATGAACAATTAGGGTAAACTCTACATATGAACATGATAGTGATTGAGCCAATGAACAATTAGGGTAAACTCTATATATGAATATGATAGTGGTTGAGCCAATGAACAATTAGGGTAAACTCTATATATGAACATGATAGTGATTGAGCCAATGAACAATTAGGGTAAACTCTATAGATGAACATGATAGTGGTTGAGGCAATGAACAATTAGGGTAAACTCTATATATGAACATGATAGTGATTGAGCCAAGGAACAATTAGAGTAAACTCTAATAATATTTTTTCAAGAAGAGAATCTATCAGAAAGCTAAAATAAAGAAGATGAACTAGCATTTCGATTATCATGCCAATTCCATTTTTTTTTTTTTTTGTTGATACTTGTTTTAGAATAAATTCTTGTTCCTAATTTGAATGACCAGATTCGGCCACAACTCATGACTTCTTTACATAATAATACTGTTTATATACGATTTATAAAAATGACCAGTTTTGATAACCCATAAAAATGCATTGAACTTTCTACTTAATATCTTTTTCTTCTTTTCGACTATGGTAAAATGTGTAAGTATTTAGCAAAGTTAATAATTTCACGCAAGTTGATTATTATAAATAATTTTTTTATTTGTTTTAGACCATATAAAGTAATGTTAGCAATTCTTTTTTTTTTGTGATTAAAACCTTTTTTTTTTAAATGTTCATTTATGAAGTATGTAGATAACACATAAAGAGATTTTATTTAAATTTTTTTTTTTTTTTTAAAATGAAAGCCACATACCATTTAGTAAAATTAAAAAAAAAATATTTGCATAACACAACTACCTCGAGCATTTGTCTCTCGACATTTCAAGGCACCTTTTGCAATTTTTTTGTTTTGTGCTCCCCCAACACCCCCCTTTGCATTGAAAGATGATTAATAAGGCAAATGTACCCATCACACCTTAAATATCCGGGGTCCACAGCAGTTGTAGGGATTGCTGAGCTCACGAGATGTTTTTTAAGGTTAAGTGGTACCTACATTTTTTTAACTAGTATTTCTTCCGTTGCTCTCCAAGTGTAGAAAGTTGCAAATTTTAAATTGAAACATTTGCTGAAATGTATTACTTTATTTTTTAATTTATAAAATTTTACTTGGGACTACAAAGATGTAATATACGATATTAAGCTAGGGAAAATGTATACCCGCAAAGACGCCGCTATTGGAATGTATTTAGTTGGGCTGAAGCTTGTATGAGATATTAATAATTATGACTAATTTTAGCGCTTCGCACTGGAAAGCCTCAAAAAGCCCCNCCCCCCCCCCCCCCCCCCCCCCCATTTTTCAAAATTTCCTAAAAGAAATATGAAATTCAAGTTTGCGCCAAAATGCATCCCTCAATTTTGAATATGTGCGACGGTCTTCAGAAGACTAAATTTTATACACACCTACCCCCCCCCCCACGCTGTTTAATGTTACAGAATAGGGTTGAATATAAGCTTGTGCCAAATGACTACCCTGGGGGAAGGCCACAACCTGAGTGAATTCACTTTATGTATGGCACTGAATGCCATAATGTCTCCCTCTGGCGAGAGAAAAATTCCTTCCCCGGATGCTATGGTCTAAGAGAAACACTGATGTCAAGAATACTCAAAAATGCAACTTTTGATTTTGAAATAATTCAAAATTTGCTGGAGATGGCTCCCCAGACCCCTCCAATTTTGCTCAACAGCCAACAGCACCCACCACTTCTCACCTTCTTGCCTACATAAATGACAGTACAGTTGTCGCTGGTCAAAACTTTTGGTGATGAAAGAGATACACTACCTAGTGGAGTAGCTAGTGTTAGTGATGATAGATACACTACCTAGTGGAGTAGCTAGTGTTAGTGATGATAGATACACTACCTAGTGGAGTAGCTAGTGTTAGTGATGATAGATACACAACCTAGTGGAGTAGCTAGTGTTAGTGATGATAGATATACAATCTAGTGGAATAGCTAGAGTTAGTGCTAATAGATAATGACCGAGTGGAATTGACACTGTTATTGCTACCCTAGACATCCCAAAACTTATGTCACGTTCCAATTAACGATACAAACTCTGCATTTTTCATAAAATCTTTCCCCTCTAAATTAAGAAAAATTGACATCTGGGCTGACCAGAGGCGTAGCTTGAGTGTTTGTGCTAGGGGACATTGATTCATTTTCACGCCCCCCCCCCTTTTCAACTTTGAAAAACATTATTTTGATGCATAAATACCATCACACCCCATTTTGGCCTCCCGCTAGTATGGTGCATGGGGATATCTGTCCCCTCTTTCCCCAAAAAAATCACGCCCCCCCCCCCCCCCCCCCCCCCCCCCCCGGTCGGGAGGAATTATTCAGAACAAATTTTTCTTTGCCCACTGTACATTAGTGAAGAATTTTATTCAGCTTTATTTGAATCTTTTCATAAATGACAGTTCAAATACGTAAGTAATATTAATGTAGCTCTGCGTTCCCTCAAAAAATTCTTCAGATTCACCGTGTACACCCAAGGAATCAAAATTGTAGCTACCCAGTTTGCCACTCTGAGCTTCCTTGTGCTCGACAATTGTATTTTATGGTGAAAATAATCTCAGCATTAAGCTATTTATAGTTAGTGCTTGTGTTTTGAATCCGGATTTTATATTAAATGTTAAAAAAATGTGGACTTTTTTTTTTGTGGGTATGAAACAATGAATTCAGCAACGCAGAGCAGCAGCTTACTGGATAGAGATTATCTTCCAGAGTGAACACTTTAAATCTAGGTTTTTGACGTTGTATCAGAAAATGAGATGACAGATTGGAAATAAAATGATGTCACCTCTGACCGTGACGATTATAATTTTTTTAAGACGTCATTAATGAGAGATTTAAACAGTCGACTTGCCATACTTGAACCTACCAGGCTCTACTGGACTGGCCAGCAGTGATGATCAGTCAACCTATGTGATCAGGAATTTACCCGGTTTTACAGACTGATCAGCAGTAATTGCCAGCCAACGCGACCTGTCAAGGACTACCTGTTTCGACTGGAAGGGCCCAAAGTAATGACTCGTCCACCAGACTAACGAAGTACTTGCCTTGTCCTACTGGACTGGTCTAAAGTAATGACCAGCCAACCTGACCAACGAAGTACTTGCCTTGTCCTACTGGACTGGCCTAAAGTAATGACCAGCCAACCTGACCCACGAAGTACTTGCCTTGTTCTACTGGACTGGCCTAAAGTAATGACCAGCCAACCTGACCAACGAAGTACTTGCCTTGTTCTACTAGATGGACCTAAAGTAAGGATTAGCCAACATGAACAACGAAGTACTTGCCTTGCTCTACTAGACTGGCCTAAAGTAATGCGGTGTTGCTGCCTCCAATACTCCTTGGTAAACATCAGTTGATCAAAGTCCAGCCATGGCCTTTAATGTGATAGTCTACATGATCTGCTCACACGCCCCGAGTGTACACGCGGACATTAAAGCCACGGCACCCACAAACCACACCTCCACAAACCTGAGCTCAACTAAAAGCAGGCCAATTAAAATAATGCCTCCAACCAAAGATAACCCCCCCACACACACACTCACATACACACCCACGCTCAACCCGTTTGATTTGCGACGAGATTTATTGTAAACTAATATCTTAAAAATCTGACTTTCACAAAGTTCAATGAAGATGAGTATTATACCCGATGGTTTAGAAAAGAGTGAAGAGCCTTGTGTAAGAAAGGGTCGGGCCGACGAGTCTCAGATTGTGTATGTAGCGACCCTTGTACAACTTAGTCGTCGTAACATTTTCTCTGTCTCAGCGTAAAATAGCCGAGGGAAAAAAGCATCTAATTACATTCTCAGTCTGACCATCTTTGGCCCTAGTCTGACCATCGTTACCCTCATTCAGACCATCTTTGGTCTCAGTCTGACCATCGTTGGCCCTAGTCTGACCATATTTGGTCTCAGTCTGACAATCTTTGGCCCAAGTCTGACCATTTTAGCCTCAGTCTGACCATCTTTGTTCTCATTCTGACCATCTTTAGCCTCAGTCTGACCATCTTTGGCCCTAGTCTGGCCATTTTTAGCCTCAGTCTGACAATCTTTGGTCTCAGTCTGACCATCGTTGGCCCTAGTCTGACCATCTTTGGTCTCAGTCTGACCATCTTTGGCCCAAGTCTGACCATTTTAGCCTCAGTCTGACCATCTTTGTTCTCATTCTGACCGTCTTTAGCCTCAGTCTGACCATCTTTGGCATCAGTCTGGCCATTTTTTGCCTCAGTCTGACCATCTTTGGCCCTAGCCTGACCATATTTGGCCTCAATCGGACAATGTTTGGCCTTAGTCTGACCATTTTTTGCCCCAGCTAAATTATCTTTGGCTTCAGTCGGACATTTTTGACCTTGCTTGGAATTCAACTTTTTCATTTCCTCAAATAAAAGAAGATAATGACGAAACCTCAGTTAAGATGATATAATGACGTAACCTCAGTTATGATATAATGACGTCATCTCACAATATATACGGTAATGACGTCACCTCAAATGAAATACGATAATGACGTCACTTCAAATTTAAAAAAAAATTATATATATTAATTTCAAGTTAAGAAGTGCCACTAGTCTTTTATCATGATATTTCGTCTTGTAGCTCATGTTGCTGTTGGTAGCTTAGTTGAGGGCATACTATTTTTTCCTCATTTGATCTTTAATTTTTAAACATAAAAATTACTATAAGGAAGTTTCTCGTAATGGCTTCAATTGTGAATAACTTGACCAATACAGCCGTCATTTCATATGAACGCAGCCATCGTACACATTTAACTCATTTAAAAAAAAAACATCTACAGTTCTTCAATGCATTTTAATTCACGCAGTACTGCCGAAGTGTGTGCCCCCACCCTTGATACAACCACCCCCCCCCCCCCTCATCCCTCAAAAAATTTTGAACATACATAACTCAACTAAGCTCCTGATTGTTATATCTTGCTTACGTTATTTTACGGACTAGAAGTTTTAAAAAAAAAAACATCTACCGTTCTTCCATGCATTTTAATTCCCGCCGTACTGCCGAAGGGTGTGCCCCCCCCCTTGATACAACCCCCCCCCCCCCCCCTCATCCCTCAAAAAATTTTGAACATACATAACTCAACTAAGCTCCTGATTGTTATATCTTGCTTACGTTATTTTACGGACTAGAAGTCGTACGGCTGTCGTCTGCCCTGACCGTCATCCCCCATAAAAGCTAGAACGTTCATTTCAACTTATTTCTCTGTCCCCATCACCAACAAGGACACGGCTACGCTTTGTCCCTTTTCGTTTGAGGTTCTGAAAGCTGTCAGATCGACCTCGAGGTCACGTGGTGTCCCTCCGTCAGCAGCCTCTGTTTTAAATGACCTTGGTTTAAGTCAATCCAATACAAGCCCCCCCCCCCCCCCCCCCCCCCCCCCCCCCCCCCCAACTCGGCCGACCCCCATTGGTGTGTCCCGACTGTTGTTACATCAAAGACACGGAGAGTTTAAACGGGTCACGAGGGTGCGCATTCATTGTGTGACACGTCTACAGATAACGCAGAAAACAAGTGCAGGTTCAACCAGTTGGAGAAATCTATATTAATGATATGTGTGACTTTTTTGTGTCTTGATTCCGATATCCAGTTTGGCGTGGCTGCAAGAAACTTGGAAAAAAAATTAGGAACACTAATGGTCAGTGGAAGGGAAACGTGATCTTTACTAAAACCTGGTCTATCAGGGAGAGGACCACCAGGATAGAACAATGGTCTGGATCAGTTTTTTTAAATAAATATTTTAAATGCTCTACTAATCTAAAGTACACAGGAGGAAACAAAGATATGGATCAGTTTTGTTGATATCTCCAAATGGTCTTCCAGCAAGGAGACAAGAAGACCCCCTCCCCCACCCCCACCCCCCCCCCCCCACTTTTTTAAAATTTTAAAATGAAGCAAAATTTAAACTTATCGGATATTTATGCGCCTCTTATATATGAGAGTTTATACGTTATATTTCTTAAACATTTAGCATTATGTGACTAAGTCGTATAAGGATATATTCCTGGGCCATGTAGAACACCCTAAGATGATCTTAAATCTCACATATCTTTAGCGTACCACTCGCGTCCAGTGTGCACGATGTTTACCATAATTACAAAGCACATTGGATTTGAGCTAACGTCATCTTTAAACAACCAGAACGCTGCAATTAAAAAATATCAAAGAACAAAGTTGATGTGGCAGACTCGTGTGTATTATTACAAGAGTTCTCTGTTTAGATCATCTGCGTCAAGTGGTTCCGCTTTCACTTCATCTGGTGTCCATTAGACCGAGACGGGGGGGGGGGGGCGGGGGCGCTTATCTCGGGAAAGGGAGGACTTTGGTGTCGGGGGGGGGGTTACCCTTGGCCTGAAATGCTGCCACGCCCATCAAGATCCATTCACCGTTACTGGGGTTAGACCGAGACGGGGGGGGGGGGGCGGGGACGCTTATCTCGGGAAAGGGATGACTTTGATGTCAGGTGTGGAGTTACACTTGGCCTGAAATGCTGCCACGCCCATCAAGATCCATTCACCGTTACTGGGGGCCCGGCAGTACAATGGTGCTCCGGCGTCACCCTAAAATATAAAGTAAACCAATATTAATGATTTTAACAATGGCATTAAACGAGATGTCCTGAGTGTAAGGTCGGATGGGCAGTTACGCTTGGGAAATTAATTTTTTGTACAGTATAAAATGTTAATGCAATAGGTGTTTTAAAGTCAATAAATTATGTATTCATTTAAAAAAGTGAAAAATTTAAAAAAATTAAGTTAATTTATATAGTTTAAAATACATTCGATTTTTTTTTAAGGTAACTGAATTTGCTTGTGTTTTATGAACCGCGGTGACAGCTTTTGTAGAATGTCACTTACAGCCAGCTGGGATAAATGCAACACAATACCATTGACCCCGTCTCTAATTCCAGTCATGCGCAGTGTTATGTAATGTACAACCTCACAAGAGCCTCCATTTCGACAACACAAGTAGGCTACCACCAAAGCAACCTCCCAGACAGCCACCTCATGAACGTGCTACCCCGACCTTGATCTGACAGCGTACTGCTTCACTCTCTCATCGTTCGTCGTTCTGTCCAGCACACCTCATTGACCCAAACTCACGAGTCTCATTCGTAACAAAAACACACATTCCTCAACAGCTTCTATAGTCTTTACCGAGCAGAAGGTGTTTTGGCCACTGGTTGTCGTAAAGCACATGGTGGTGTCGGCGCCAAACAAGTTCGCTATGCCGGTGCAGCCGAATAAATTAAGCTTCACCGATGTCTCATACTGGCCTCCCTGGGTGAGCGCTGGAACGAAACAAAGCAACGAAATGGCGCAATAAGTGTATATCTACAAAGTGTTATCGTTCTGTTCCTGTGACTCGATGAAAGGGATGAATGGTAGTAGTGAAATTCAAATATTTAAAATCTCATTTGATCGGATCAAATAAGCAAATTGATAACACATCCAAATAAAACAATTTATTTCACTATCCACCAACTGAATGAACTCTGGTTCCTTCTCTAACCACCAAATTAAATTAACTTCCATTCCTTATCTTGTTCCACTATTAATGCGTTCCCTTAACAAACCACCTACTCTACTAACCCCGTCTTGAATAACCAACTACTGAATGATCACTTTCTGTAACTAACCACCCAGTCAGTTAACATTTACCTTGACTAAACATCCCAACCAAATTAACGATTCCCAACTAAATTAACTATTCCCTTAGCTAAGCTACTCCTATATCAACTTATTTCACGACAGACACCCACTAAATGAACTTTTTCTTCCTTTAACCACTGACTAAATTAACCCCTTAAATTAACACAGTCCTTAACTAACAACCAACTGAATTAATCCTTTCTTTACTAAGCCTCTACCGAATAACCCTGTCTTAACTAATCAGATACCAATTAAGCCTTTCTTAAGTAGTCACCTAAAAATTTAACCCTGTCTAACTGCCCACTTAATAAATTAACCCTGCCCTTAACCAACAAGTTACTAAGTTAACCCTGTCCTTCAATAACCATGGACCCAAGTTAACCTCTTCGTTGACTGCCCATTAACGACAGTCTCTACCGGATTGCTTGATAACGGACGCACATAACATGTTTGGCCAAGTGGCCACTCACAAGTATCATGTGCTCCCCAACTGATCAGTTTGCAGTCATTGAAGTCCACCTTGGACCCCATGGTCACCGAGTTGAACGTGCAGGCGGTTTTCTGACAGGCTCCCAGGAAGGACAGAAGATTGACGTACCTATCGTTGATTGTAATGAAGGTGTTGCCATTCGGTCCTGATTGGTAAAAAAAATGATTGTAAACATTGTAAAAATTCCGAAACTTAATGCCTTTAATATAATATAAGATAATACTCTCTATTGATCCAAATAAATGGAAATGTTTTTGAATACCTTGTACATATTAATTTTCAGCACATCTATACTAATAAAAGGCAAAGCCCTCATTCACTCATTCACTCACTCACTCACTCACTCATCACTAATTCTCCAACTTCCCCTGTAGATAGAAACCTGAAATTTTGCATGCTTATTCCTTACAGCTTACATACAAAACTTAAGCATGTTTCATTTCCAAACTTCATACCGTTGGGGCCGGGGGCCCATGTTGTTGTTTGTTTCTAATATTAGCTATATAAAAAAATGATCAACATATACTGCTACATGAATTGATGGATCTTGACCAAACTTAACACACATAGTCTTGATTATCCATATTCAAATACCGAAGGGTAATTAACGCATAATATCCATACCTCTGGGGCCGGGGGGCCCATTTTATTTTTCCTCATGTAAGCATTATAAATATCAATATGCTTAGTACTCCGACATGAATAGATGGATCTTGAACAAACTTAGTACACATACTCGTAATTATCATAATTCAAATACTTAAGGTTACAAAACTCATAATATTCATCTCTCTGCAGCCTGGGGCCCCATTTAATTTTTTTTCTGATCTATACTAATAAAAGGCAAAGCCCTCACTCGCACATCACTAATTCTCCAACTTCCCCTGTAGATAGAAGCCTGAACTTAAGCAGACTTATTCCTTACGGCTTACTTACAAGAGTTAAGCAGGATTCATTTCTCTATACCGTTTGTGGCCGGGGGCCCAAAGTGTATTTTTTCCAATATGCGCTAAGCCGCACTAAATCAATCAATGTTTGGGTTTTTCCGATCAATTGGAGTATGATGTAATTCTTAGATAATATATTTTTTTAAATCTTTCACAACATGCTAATTCGGGTAAAATGCTTAAAATAGCTTCTTTATAATCATTCAAATGTATTTGTAATTTATTATAACAATACTTAAACAATTACTAAAATTAAAGCGGATTTAATATTTTTTTAACCGCATTTAAATTTATTCGATTTCCTTAAATTATTAGAAAATCACTATAATTTTTTTTTCAATAATCCGATTATATTTAAATCGCTTTGTCTGTTTGGCGTTACGGTCAGCCTAGTTCATTCTTATATACTAGAAATTATCACCCGATGTTATTGTGATAATTGTGGTATAAAAACTCACACCAATTCCGTATTTTAAACGGAAGTATCTATGTAATCATATTTAAGTTTCTAAAATAATTAAAAGTTTTAAGAATGATTTTGCTGACTATTTTTATATGCGTAGCCCACTCATTGTCGTGACCGTCAGCTACAATTTTTTTTTCTCCATAAACATGACCTTAAATGACCGAATGTAAATGATCACCATTTTAATCATGATGGTGAGTAAAGGACTTCACTGACGGCTGATTGCTACGCTAGAGATTTTTTTTTTTTTTTAGATGTCCTTTAACTTTAAATTTGTAAATGTTGGACTTACCATACCGCTTTACGGGGCCCTAAACTAAATTTTGTTTGTTCTCTAAAATTTGTGAAAACTTAACCTTCAATTTCGAACGAAAATTCTAAATGTCATTTAAATAAATTTTATATTAACGGAATTTGATATAATTGATATATTTTTCAAAAATTAAATTTAAAACCCTAGTTTTTTTTCTATTATGGGTTGAGGGAGGTTAGTCGCCAGAACGAAGTAATTACGTCACCAACACAGAAAGACTGTGTTGATTCTAGGTTATATATATTAACACAGCGATATCTTGCCAGCTATTTATGAAAACACAAAGAATTATATGACGATTACCGCAACACAATGTCGTGCCATTTTTATAGACTAAATAACTGATATTTAGATGAAAATTGTCTCTCTTAGAACTACAATAATTATTGTATATATATTCAGGTAGCGTTGCATTTTTATTATAAAAGCAAAGTTGCACTCAAGGGTCTATTTTGAATGAATTCACCCCCCCCCCCCAACACCGTCCACATTTTCTCTTAACATACTACATTTAAATACATTTTTAAGATATTTAAATTACTTTTAAATTAAAATGGTAAAAGTTCTCTTAGAACTACAATAATTATTGTATATATATTCAGGTAGCGTTGCATTTTTATTATAAAAGCAAAGTTGCACTCAAGGGTCTATTTTGAATGAATTCACCCCCCCCCCAACACCGTCCACATTTTCTCTTAACATACTACATTTAAATACATTTTTAAGATATTTAAATTACTTTTAAATTAAAATGGTAAAAGCCCAAGCAGAGGCGTAGCGAGGGTGTTTGGCGCCCGGGGACAAGATTCGCGCCCGTGGACAAGATCCATTTTAAAGCGCCCCCTTTTTCTTTTTCTCAACTCTCAAACCCATTATTTTCATCAATGAAATAATATCAAAGCACATTTTGGCACCCCTAACTCGCTGGCGCCCGGGGACATCTGTCCCCCCTGCCCCCTCCTCGCTACGCCTCTGAGCCCAAGTGTTCATTAGATGTTTATTTATAATATTCACGATCATCTCATTTTTTATAAAATAAATATAAATATTGATACTTCCATCCTTTTTTTTTTTATGTATGCAGAATGTATGCATACAAGTATTTAACGATATCTAAAACAGAAATCGGTTTCGGCCGAAAGTGTCGTGAAGATTTTGGTTTTGGCTCCGGTTTCAATCAAAAGTCTTGTTAAGGTTTTTTCGGTTTCAGCCAAAAGTCATTTTACCTTTCGGCCTGGTTTCGGCCAAAATTTGAAAAAATCACTCTCGGTCGGTCTCTACTCACCGGCGACAACAGTTAACCTCGCCATTAACGAAAGTTAACCTCCCAAGTGACAACAGTCAACTACCTCAGTAACAACAGTTATCCTCCCCAGTGACAACAGTCAACTACCTCAGTAACAACAGTTATCCTCCCCAGTGACAACAGTCAACTACCTCAGTGACACCAGTTATCCTCCCCAGTGACAACAGTCAACCTCCCCAAAGGAGGAGGGCCGTGCCGAGGAAAAGCAGCACAGACGGCGAAAGCCTGAAGGCAGGGCCGTGAACATGGAGAAGAAGGTGCCCCTAAATGTTTATACAACAGTTCCTGTAAAGATACAGAAAAAAATGCCCTCCGGGGCAGTCTTACAAAAAGGTGTTCTGGTGCTCAATGCACCCAGTCCTTGTTAACTAGTTACGCTTTAACCGTTTAATTAATTTTAACGTCATATCTAAAGACGTTTTTTTTTTTTTCGCCCCCTGATGTTGGCGAGCGCCCCCTTAACCCCCCCCCCCTAATAAAAAAAAATTTTTTTAAAAAAAAAAAAAAAAAAAAAAAAAAAAAATCAGGTTTAACGTAGCAAGGATAAATAGATAATGAACTCACCGTCGGTCATAGTGAAGATTGGCTCTTGAACCGGGTAATTCTGAGCCCCAATGGAGATGTCCACTCTGTAGAGCAACAGGCAGAAACATTATTTAACTGTGCAATATAAAATAAAAAACCTGTTGGCTGTAAACCATTCGAAAAATTTAGAACGCATCTGGGCAAGAGAGTGGCTACTTTTCGTTTTTGAGGAAAACATATTGTAATTAATTCTTTAAAAATTTTGATTAAAAGTTGTCTGTGGTAGTGAATTTACTTTTATAATCTAAAGATGTTTGAAACCATTGACATTGGAGGTATATATATATATATATATTATTTTTTACAGACACTGACACGGACATTAAAAACACTGTCACATACATTACCGACCCTATAGCTGATATGACAAACACTGTCACAAACATTATAGACACTGACAGGGAAATTACAGGCAATGTCAGAGACATTAAAGACACTGTCACAGACATTACATACACTGTCACAGACATTACATACAATGTCACAGATATTACAGACTGTCTCAGACATTACAGACACTGTCACAGACATTACAGACACTGTCATATGCATTACAGACACTTTCACAGATATTACGGACACTGTCACAGACATTACAGACACTGTCACAGGCATTACAGGCACTGCCACAGGCATTACAGACACTTTCACAGATATTACGGACACTGTCACAGACATTACAGACACTGTCACAGGCATTACAGGCACTGCCACAGGCATTACAGACACTTTCACAGGCATTACAGACACTTTCACAGACATTACAGACACTGTCACAGACATTACAGACACTGTCACAGAGATTACAGACACTGTCACAGACATAACAGTGACTTTTTTTTTTTTTTTTTTTTAAATTCTTTGAACCACAGATGTCACACTAAAGAATCTGACAATCCTGAAGTTATCCTTTTTGCACAATTTAGAAATACTGAAAGAAGAAACGCAGTTTGCAACCGTACATCAGATTCATCATGAAAACGCCTGGCTATTTAGTCTAGTCTGTAATTCAATCCGATTTGCATGGTGTAAAAAAAAAAAGTCGAATAAACTGAATAATTATTGCACGAAACAAAACCAAAGAACTCATATGATAATGTCTCTTTTGGTTACATAATTACAAAATTCCTTTACATGAGGTGATTGTCGTTGGTGGAGGTATGTAATAATTACTTTTATTACGGGGGGGGGGGGGGAGGGGGGTCTCTTTAGCGTGCAATGATAAATGCCTGGTGATAAGAATTTACGTTTCTGGTCAATGACACAACGGACCCCCGGTTCCGGTCTTTAACACAACGGATCTCACGTTTCAAGTTTTCTATACAACGGATCTCACGTTTCAAGTTTTCTATACAACGGATCTCACGTTTCAAGTTTTCTATACAACGGATCTCACGTTTCAAGTTTTCTATACAACGGATCTCACGTTTCAAGTTTTCTATACAACGGATCTCACGTTTCAAGTTTTCTATACAACGGATCTCACGTTTCAAGTTTTCTATACAACGGATCTCACGTTTCAAGTTTTCTATACAACGGATCTCACGTTTCAAGTTTTCTATACAACGGATCTCACGTTTCAAGTTTTCTATACAACGGATCTCACGTTTCAAGTTTTCTATACAACGGATCTCACGTTTCAAGTTTTCTATACAACGGATCTCACGTTTCAAGTTTTCTATACAACGGATCTCACGTTTCAAGTTTTCTATACAACGGATCTCACGTTTCAAGTTTTCTATACAACGGATCTCACGTTTCAAGTTTTCTATACAACGGATCTCACGTTTCAAGTTTTCTATACAACGGATCTCACGTTTCAAGTTTTCTATACAACGGATCTCACGTTTCAAGTTTTCTATACAACGGATCTCACGTTTCAAGTTTTCTATACAACGGATCTCACGTTTCAAGTTTTCTATACAACGGATCTCACGTTTCAAGTTTTCTATACAACGGATCTCACGTTTCAAGTTTTCTATACAACAGATCTCACGTTTCAAGTTTTCTATACAACAGATCTCACGTTTCAAGTTTTCTATACAACGGATCTCACGTTTCAAGTTTTCTATACAACGGATCTCACGTTTCGGGTCAGTAACACAACTGATCAGCGGTGTGTGTCGCGACCATACAAGACGCTGAAATGACTTTTCAAAATGTCATCATTACCACTTACGTGCCGGCAGCTGCATTGGTGATGAGGTTCTTGCAGATACTGGACGTCAGGAACGTTTTCTTCAGGACACCGTTGACCGTAGCCGTGGTCAGGACGGCGTTGCACACCACCCTCGTCCCGGTGTTGATGGTGATGTTGGAGATGCCAGAAAAGGCGCAGTCGTTGTTGACGAGGGCGCCGTTGAGTAGGCGGAAGGCCGGCTGGCACACTGTTGGGGTGTTTTGGGAGTGGGGTTGAGAGAGGGAGGAAGGGAGGAGTGACGGAGGAAGGGATGGAGGAGCGAGTGAAGGAGGAGCGAGGGAGGGAGGAGCGAGGGGGGGGGGGGGAGGGAGGGGGGGGGGGGGGGGGGGGGAGGGGGGAGGGAGGAGGGAGGGAGGGGGGAGGGAGGGAGGAGCGAGGGAGGAGTGAGGGAGGGAGGAGCGAGGGAGGGAGGGAGGGAGGAGTGAGGGAGGGATAGGACATGGAGAAAATATTTAACCACATACTATGAATGAAATTATAATAATTTTGGAACATTTTTATTGATGAAAAAAATATTGTCAAAAAAAAAGAAAAAAAAAGTGCCCGCTCTCTCTACCTGCATTTTTTGCAAATCTAGTTGAGGATTTCATACTGTGAGGATTTCATATTGTGAGGATTTCATATTGTGAGGATTTCATACTGTGGGGATTTCTAACTGAGGGGATTTCATACTGTGGGGATTTCATACTGTGGGGATTTCATACTTTAGGATTTCATACTTTAGGATTTCATACTTTAGGATTTCATACTTTAGGATTTCATACTGTGAGGATTTCATACTGTGAAGATTTCATATTGTGAAGATTTCATACTCTGGTGATTTCATTCTGTGAGGATTTCATACTGTGAGAATTTAATACTGTGAAGATTTCGCACTGTGAGTCGTTTGTACTAGGAGTTCTACACTGGAGGGAAAGGAAGCAATGACTTCCAATCTGAGTTAGAGTTAATAAAGCCCTCCTTTTAAATTTCAACAGCCAACACTAAATTACTATGGGAAAGAAAAAATACAAATATTCTGTGGCATTTTTATTGGGGGGGGGGGGGTATTTTTTAGTCAGGAGGGAAATTTTTTTTTTAAATTTTGAGGCTTATGCGAGGAATTGAACTAATACAGATTAAAACGAAACAACTAAGTGTTTTGAACGCAGAGTCCCGCAAACCTCTAGAAAGATCATCACATTTTCAGAATAAAGACTGCAATGAAAAATTAGACGCCCTCCTACTAAAATTCATGTTTTGAATAATCTAAGGATTTGACTATTCTATCTGCTGAAAATAGTGAAATGGTTTGTTATCAATATTATGATTTACTAGTCACCAAAAGTTCTAAAGAAAATTTAATCGTAAAGTTTTGTTTTTTTCAAATAAGGGTGACAGGGCCCAACAATTATCATGGCTGGCATGACACGCAGTACACAAATTACGAAGTGCAAGGTCTCGGGGGGGGGGGGCAGGGTTTGAGAGAAAGGGTTAGCTTTCAGCACTTGTGTTTGATTGGGGGCCCCTGTTTCATACTGTAAGACATCGTAATAGCAAGTGGCCCATTATAAAATCCCAAGCTTTTAGTCTTTCAATGTGGTAGGTCATATAGTGCGATCAATTGATATCAATACAAAAAAAAAATCTATTGACTCCTTTTAGTCTACAGCTACCTGATGTTGCATTTTTTTCACGTACGTAGCTATCGGTTATCAATGGCTACGAGCAATTTTTTAGCCTATACAACGAAGTACTTACGTGATGGTGGAACTGTGGTAGTAGTAGGGGTTGTGCTCGTCGTCGTTGTTGTGGTTGTTGGTGTGGTTGTTGTCGTGGTTGGCGTAGTATTGGTGGTGGTGGTGGTAGGGGTGGTGGTAGGGGTGGTTGTCGTTGTAGAAGTTGTTGTGGTTGTTGGCGTGGTTGTTGTGGTTGGCGTGGTAGTGGTGGTGGTGGTGGTAGGGGTGGTTGTTGTTGTTGTAGTGGTGGTTGCCGTAGTTGTTGCTGTGGAGGGTGTGGGTGTTGTTGCGGTGGATGTCGCTGTAGTAATGGATGTCGGTGTGGGAGCGGGATTTATAGCCTGTGTCGGGCACATGACCGCCGGGTTACATCGGCATTGCTGATAGAGAAGTCCGTCAGCTGCTGAGAAATTACAGAATTCAAGGTTAAAAGGGTCGCTATTGTAAAGACAGACGGATTGATTTGAGAGTTTGTAGAGTGAGGACAGAAGTATAGTATGAGATTTGTTAGAATGAGAATAGACTGGTGGTAGGAGAAGACGTTAAAACTATGAAGGGCAATAGCTTGCAGAAAAACTCAGAACTAAATCGTTTAAATGAGACTACAACAAAAGTGATCTAGAATAGAATTTTTATATTGGTTAGAGCACACCCCCTTCGAAAATCTGGATCAAATATGCTAATCAAATATTTGACTGACCTCCACCGTTAGTTAAGTTTCTTTAATTTTATGTTACAGTGCAAATGGTATTTAGAGTTGGGGGGTAAAATCATAACTTTATATATACAAGTAAGCTTTACTGGTATATTATATTCTTCTGCTTACTTCCTTTCTAATTAAACACGCCAATCTTATCCAAACAACGTGGATTCTCTATTAACACAATTCTTGTATCACTAGAAGGATGGCTATTTTTTAATTTTTTTTTAAAAATTAAACCAGGACATTAATTATTTTTATTATTATTAATGTTTTTAGTTTTGATGACAGACATTCAAAGACGTTGTGGCGACATTGGTGTCCAAATATGAACAGCTAACTTTGGTCGCTTGGTAAACTGTCTCTTTTTTTAGTTGTTCTTTTGAAAAAAAAATATATTTATGTTAGCTAATATGGATGAATTATTCAAATTTTAGATGGGTCATTTATTCAAGCTTGGACATTAGAATGACGAACTGAATCTTTTGTTAAATACATAAAAACAATTTTTTTTAATAAAATTTTTGTAGTCTTGAACGGCACTTTTTGCATCATTGAATTAAGGGAGAGCAATCTTTTTTTTTTTTAAATTTATCAATATGAACTTGTTTTTTTCTTTTATGCACTCCCTTTGATAGTTAATGTCAAACAAACAAACCCACTTGTCTATAAAATATTTAAAAAGGTCAGGATGTCAGTTCTCTTCCCTTGGAAAAATGACATTCTTCCATAAGGTGAGTTGTTTTCCATTCCACTGAGATCGTATGTCTAATTCGACAGTACCGAATAACCAATCTAAGGTTTTAGATCTGTACATCCAGAAATCCCCCCTTCCCCCCCCCCCCCCCCCCCACTTCGTCACTCCGAGCTTTCTAAAGAAGAGCCAATGCATTCTCCAGGCTACACACCCGGAAAGATATTATGCTCGAACCATCTGACAGATGTGGAGACGTCGTTGTGTGTGACTAGAATCTAGGCATAAAAGAGGAACAAATTCAGCTAGATGACAGCCAGTTCTTCGAACCGAGGACCAACAAGCCTATGACTAAACAATGTGATAGTAAAAGAGACTATCAAAAAATTTATGGCAGAATGGGCACAACCTAAATCAGGCTCTGCTTTAAAAAAAAAATGGATTGTGTCTTCGGCAAGCCCTGCTTCTCTCTTCTTCCCAAAATGCGCAAGTGATGCATCCCTGGTAGTCCCACTGTCTCAGGGTGCTCTTGCCCCACAGATCATATCTCGGAATTCCTTGATGGAGTTCTTAAACCCATCTAGCCTCGCCGCTCACTTTTTATCAAAGATACCAACAATGTTTTTTGCATCTTTTGAATCGATCATCATCCCTCCTGAGAAGAAACATTATCTATTTCTGCTTGATTTATTTTCTACATATACTTCGATACCTTACACTGACGGTGTCTTAGATTCACAATTCTAATTCTAGTGTGAAACCCATCCATCTTTACCTACCAACACTCTCCTCCGTTTAGTTGAATTTGATCCCACCCGCAATTCGTTTGAGCTTAAAGGCCTATTCTTTGACCAAATCAGTGATGTTGGTATTAGCACTAAATTTGGACCCAGCTACAAGTGCTCGTTCATGGTACATTTTGAACTCGTGGTGGAGATAGACAACACTGGACGCCTGCCTGAATTTTGCACACACAAAAAACGTACCTTGCTTATGGTATCGGAGTCCCAACTATGGAGGGGAGTCAACTTGACCTATTCATCAACCTCGTGGGCTCTTTCCACGCCACAGCCACATCACAGGTCTCTAAACTCGACTATCGTTTTGGACATTACGGTCACCCTTCACTTCACAAAGACAGCCTACTAGCCCCTGCCTACTTTAAACCCACTGACAGCCGCAGCCATCTACTCTGCTTTTTCTTCCCAACGCAAATTCCTGTAAAGACCCCGTTTCCCTTTTCTCAACTACTTCGTCTTCGTAGACATTGCCAGTCTGAGGACGAGTAATGGGCACTTGAGATGATCGACTGTTTGCGGTGTAATGACCTACCCATAGAGTTACTTGCCGTTGGCCCGGGGGACAATGGGGACAGAACCAAGCCTATTCTCACATATCACCGAAACAAATTCAGAGTTAAACAAGTTTTCATTAAAATCGTGCTTTTCTCCTCACCAATTATGATCTCTTTAAAAAGCGTGCCATTCGCCGCGCTGACCCTGACCCTGACCCTCACACCCAAAACAATTTCTCTGTTATCAGAAGAGCTAAGAATATACGAGATCTCTTTTTTTTTTTAAATAACTACATCCATGCTAACCCCTCCCACTTTGTAACCAAGCCATGTGGACGCAGCCGATGAAAGACTTTCTTTTTTTTTGTCATCCACACTCAACGCATTAGTTTTCATATAAGACTCGGTTTCCTTTGCAATAGACACACTGTTATCTACGCCATTACTTGTAACCGCTGCCATATGATGTATCTGGGTGAGACTGGACTTCACCTCACGGACCAACGTACTGTGCACAATCGAAATATTGCGCAAGATTGATTACGTCCTATCTCAAGACACTTCTAAAGAAGCGACCGCAAGGGGCTCCGGCGATATTGCAATCACTGCCATTGTGTCCTGCACCAACATGACAGCCGGTATGAACCTAGAGAACAAAATTAAGTACCTTGACACCACATGGCATGAATGCCATGTTCTCATTGACTTGTTAAATCTTTTTTCCGCCCCTCCTTGTTACATCCAATTGCTGTGCACTTACTTTGTGATCCCCTACGGCCTGTAAAAATTATCTTAAATACGAATTGTCTATTAAATTTCCCTTGTTGTCCTCTCAGATACTACATCGCATCAGAATGGTTATTTTATTTTTTTTACATTTGTTTTTACTGTTGTTTGAAGGCTTTTGCATACAAGCTCGTTGTTTTGTTGCATCCCTTTTTCTTAAAAGGGTTTTCCCCATACTTCTTTTCATTTATTACTATTTTTATAGTAAACAAAAGGCTCCTTCACACAGGCGCCAAAAAATGTTTTGAATATGTATTTATACATTCAAATCTATGTTTTAGGAGTGCAGAGCAGTCGCTTGACTTTTGGAGACGCCAGTCATTTTTCTGTCCTGTCACGAGTAACTTTCTAAGCGGAAAGGTTGAAAGACATTTGTATGCTTATGTAAGGAGAGTAGGACGAGGGTCTTGTGTTCTCTGTGAACGTTAGGATTTTTTTTTTCTTGATGCTAGTCAAAGGCGAAACAATAATGTCACTTACTGAACCGACCAAGCCTCGTTCGCAGTGACAGGACAACATTCCCTCGTACATAGGTAGGCAGTGACAGGGGACAACATTCACTCGTACACATGTATGCAGTGACAGAGTACATCATTCACTCGTACACATTAATGCAGTGACAGAGGACAACATTCCCCCGTGCACATTAATGAGTGACAGGACAACATTCCCCCGTACACATTAATGAGTGACAGGACGACAATCCCTCGCACACATGTATGCAGTGACAGGGCAACAATCCATCGTACACATCAATGCAGTGACAGACCTCGTACACATATACGCAGCGACAGAACAACATTCCTTCGTACACGTTTATGCAGTGACAAGTAGTATACTGTGAGTATCTACAAGACGATACTTCATTTAACATGTAAGCTTTGATTCATGGTTTGACAAAACTGTTGAGTTTAGCTCACCCCCCTGGAAGTAGGTCATGCAGCAGACGTTCCTGGAGTAGTATTCATAACAAGACGTCTGTGGACACGCCTGGTAGGATGTCGTAACCGCGAGCGTGGAGCTCCACGTGTAGACGGATGTTCCGTAGCAGTACAGTGGCGTGGTGTAGTAGTAGGAGTAACCGGACGCGTAGTAGTCATGGGCGTTGGTGGTGGGTACGAAAACTGCGAGGGCGGCGCACAGGAGGAGAAAGTTTCTCGGGGAAGGCATCGTGGAACGGTAAGTACCTGAAAATTGTAAAAAAAAAAAATTAAAAAAAACATAAATAAATTCTGGAATATTTTTTAAAAATGGTTTTGTGAAGTTTTGAGACTTAACGAGTAAAAAACATAACAAATTGAGGGAAACAGCAAGGGAGAAATAGAAATGGGTGCAGATTCTTGGAGAATAGCATGGACTGGTGTCGACGAAATAAAATGCTTAATCTTAAGAAGTGCAGTTAGGTCGCGAGGTTCAACGGCACTCTGAGCCAGGAGAGTGCTATGTGGACTATCTTATCTCAAAGCACTCGGGGCAAGGCAAGTATCATCTGGAATATGTTATCTCAAAGCACTCGGCGCCAGGCAGGTATTATTTAGACCAGCGGTTCTCAACCTGTGGGTCGCGACCCCTTTGGGGGTCGCACGACCCTTTCACGGGGGTCGCCTAAGACGTTCTTGAAAAGACATAATCTACAGTTGTAAGGTATCAACGAAAATAATTTAGTGGTTGGGGGTCGCCACAACATGAGGATCTGTATTAAAGGGTAGCGGCATTAGAAAGGTTGAGAACCACTGATTTAAACTATCTTATCTCAAAGCACTGGGGGAAGGGCAAGTATCATCTGGAATATCTATCTCAAAGCACTCGGGGCAAGGCAAGTCGCATCTGGAATATCTTAATCTCGAAGCACTCGGGGCCAGGCAAGTATCATCTGAAATGTCTTATCTCACGGTACTCGGGGCCAGGCAAATATTATCCGGACTATCTTATCTCACGGCACTCGGGGCATGGTAAATATTATCCGGACTATCTTATCTCACGGCACTGGGGGCCAGACAAGTATTATTTGGAATATCTTATCTCGCGGCACTGGAGGCCAGGCAAATATTATCTGGACTATCTTATCTCACGGCACTCGGGGCCAGGCAAGTATTATTTGGAATATCTTATCTCAGCATTAAACTATGTGTAATTATCACCTACGTTTTTTATTCGTTCATAATGTTTAATTTTTTTTTTTTTATGTAAACTTTGTTGAGGGTAACAAACAATGAATTCAACAACACAGAGCAGCATCTCCCTGGTTTAAGATTATCTGCCTGAGTGAAACTTTCAAGTTAGGTAATGTTGTATCAGTAGATGAGAGGACTACATTGAAAAAAGTAATTTCAACTTTCACAGAGTCGATTATATATTTTGTTTAAAGTCGCGATCAATGAGAGATTTTATCAGTCAACTTACCCTAATTTAAACGGGTGAGCTATACTGGAATGGCCAGCAATAATAAACCAGCCACCATGAATGGTCTAGAACTTACCTGGTTCTAGGGGACCGGCCAGCAGTAATGACCAGTCGACCTGACCAACGGTGTACTCACCCGGTTCTACTGGGCTGGTCTACAGTAACGCGGTGCGCGAGGCTCCAGTACTCCTTGGTAAACAGCGGTTGAATACAGTCCAGCCAGGGCGTTTTATCTGATAGTCAACATGAGCTCCTCACACGATTGTGTACACACGGACATGCAAGCCTGACGCCCACACACACACACCCCAACCTCCCCAAACATGAGCGCAACTAAAAAAAATGACATATGTTAAAAAAAATGGCGTCAAGCAGTGACCAACCCCCCCCCCACACACACACACACCCATACACAAAACTCACCCTTTTTGGTAAGCGATATCATTTATTCTAAAATTGACCAAAACATGCATGCAAGGAACGCACAAGGATCATAATTAGTGCTCCCCAAAGGCTCACAATCGCACATTTTTTTGGTCACGCCACTGAGTTGTATTGCTATTCTAATGAACACCCGCTTTTAGACCGCAGATTTATGGCACCGACTAATTTTTTCTTTAAAATATTACTCACCAAACGCACTTGCGATATTTTGTTTAAAAAGAATCTCATTTAGCGCAGTTATCGAGAACTTTATTTCGTGAAATCAGTGTCATCATATTTCCTTTCTCCTCCACTTGACAAAGGGGGGGGGGGGATTTTTGGGAGTTGAGCTTGGAGGGGAGGGGGGGGAAAATTTGAGATAATGTGTTGTTATTGATTCAGGTCGATAGGTTGATGGAAAGTGGGTCAGTTAGCCATCCGAAGATTTTGCCAGTCTACCACCCTAGTTATCGAGAACTTTATTTCGTGAAATCAGTGTCATCATATTTCCTTTCTCCTCCACTTGACAAAGGGGGGGGGGGGATTTTTGGGAGTTGAGCTTGGAGGGGAGGGGGGTGAAAATTTGAGATAATGTGTTGTTATTGATTCAGGTCGATAGGTTGATGGAAAGTGGGTCAGTTAGCCATCCGAAGATTTTGCCAGTCTACCACCCTGTCGGCCTGCAAGAGCACACCTGAAGTTTATCTAAAATTATTATTTTTTAAAATATTTTGTGAAAGGAAGTTCTTTTTAATGTCCCCTTGTGATTAACGTTACCACCACAGCCGCCATTCAATCAGCCAGTGTACGTATATAGTTCATTATAAAAATACGTCTACATGTCTTTAATGAGTTTATTTTCACAGTGCTGCCAAAGAGAGTGCCCCCGCCAATGATATAACCTATATTATCCCCCCCCCCCAATTCCCACAAAAATTTTGAAAATACAGAAATCAACTACGCCCCTGGTTGCTATATCTTGCTTACGTCATATTATGAACTAGGAGTCGCATGACTGTCGTCTGAGCTCACCCTCATCCCCATAAAAGCTCAATTTTCATCTCAAATTATTCTTCAGTCACTATCATCAAGAAGGACGAAAGCAAAGTTTTGTCCATTATTTTTCCTTTGAAGGCCTAAAAGTTCACAGATTGATCTCGAGGTCACGGGGTACCCCTAACACTCACGTCAGCAGCCTCTGTTTGAAATGACCGTGGTTTAAGTCAATCCAAGACTCCCTCCCCCCTCCCTCCATATGTTTTTCACGATAAAGAAACCGAACATTTACACAGGGCAGGTGAATGGTGGTTTTTATTTCTGTGTGACGTATATAGATACAACACATAAACAATGGCAACAAGTGGGTGAGATCTATATATTTATTAATTTTGTATGGATTTCGATATTCAGTTTGACGTAGGTACAAAAAAAAAAACCGGACCCCCAGATGGTCAGTGGCTGGGAAACGTGACTTCCAACAAAACCAGGTCTGCGTGAGCGAGGACCCACAGGACCAAAACAAGGACATGGATCAGTTTTGTCCATGTTCTAATAATCTAGGATTCGCATGGCGAATCAATAACTTAGATCAGTTTTTTAAAGTATCCCCTGCTGCACTACTAATCTAGGATTCGCATGGCGAATCAATAACTTAGATCAGTTTTTTAAAGTATCCCCTGCTGCACTACTAATCTAGGATTCGCATGGCGAATCAATAACTTAGATCAGTTTTTTAAAGTATCCCCTGCTGCACTACTAATCTAGGATCCACAGGACAAAAAAAAAATGACATGGCTCAATTTTGTAAATATCTCCCATTGGTCTTCCAGCCAGAAGACAACATCAATTTTTTTTAAAAAAGCCCTTTAAAAAAGCAACAATGAAATGAATCAGATTTGCATGTGTCTCCTGTTTTCTTAGCGTTACTGTGTTTTATTTCTTATCTTTTTCGTTTTTCTAATGTCAACAAATTTATTTATTTATTATACTGTTTGTGTGTTTAGTGGGGGAAGGTGGGGGGTGGGGGCAAGGAAAGGAGCAAGGGAATGTTACTCTAACATAATATGTATATATTTTATTTTTTTTTTTAATTTTAATATCGTTTCCTCTTAGCTCACTACCAGATGTTAAAAGTATCATTATATCACATACTTGTCTAAAGCATGCTTCTTTTTTTTAATAAATTTAGTCCCTTATTGCACAGACACTTACACCAGTTGGGGGTACGTGCATGGAGGCGGAAAGCCATAGATCGATACGAATGGAAGGTTGTGGTGAAGCAGACCAGGGTCTTGTTTTGGCTGTAGCGCCACTGATGATGATATCATTGCACATACACAGTTAATCTAAATACTTAAATAACGGAACTCACATAGGTTAAAAGTAGCAATAATTTAAGTACTTCCGGTGCAACTAACGATTCCGTGGGAAATATTGGAATTTATTCACTACGCAATTTTATTGAGCCCATCTGTGCAAGTAGGGGAAAGACAAGAATATTAAATAGATGGATATATACAAATGTGTTATTCATATACTTGAAAATTCTATATTTTTAATTTTCTTGCTTTACTCGGCAACATTTAAAATATATATATATATATATTTGGTCGAAGAGTCGATTCTTATTTCTCATGACGTGCTTGTGTTTGTTTTTTTTACGGTTGTGGCTGTGTCTAGCTTAGGAAGAGAATGCTCCAACAGTGAGCCTGTCTCTTCAACTTGTGTGATCAAAGTCCCCTTTCCATTTCCATGGAATTGAAGAGCAACCTTATGGTCAACTTTGGGTAATCCTCAGACTGAGTTTCCCCTGTTTGTATCAGCGAAGTGCTGCCAATCAAGCAACAACCGTTCGGTACTTGTCAATTATATAAAACAACTCCATGGTATTCGTATACTTTTATATTTTCTAATCCTTTATATTGACTTCCTTTTGCTGGTGCGTTTCTTCTTTTTTTTTTTGTCGCAAAATTTTTGGAAGGTTAATCGACCCACTTCCTGCCAACCACCCCAGCCGAAACTTGGCACATAGTCTCGTTGCCGATGACAATTTTGTCAAATGTAAAGCCCCACCTCCAAACCAACCCCCCACCCCCAAAGGTCAGTTTTTCTTTGATTTTTCAAGGGAGGGGTTTTTTTTTTGTTGCCAAATTTTTTGAAGGTTAATCGACCCCCTTCCTGCCAACCCCCCCCGCCGAAACTTGGCACATAGTCTCGTTGCCGATGACAATTTTGTCAAATGTAAAGCCCCCCCTCCAAACCAACCCCCCCCCCCCAAAGGTCAGTTTTTCTTTGATTTTTCAAGGGAGGGGAGGGGAATGTTAATGACTTTTCAATGGGTGCGTGTTTTGCTGTGGAGATTAATTGTGCAGCTGTTGCTATGTGCTTTGTATTTGTTGCGCATTTGGGTATTGGGAGATGACGTTCTTTGCTGTTTTGGTTTTGAAATGATCAGTCGTAAATAGCTTTAACACACCAGAAACACAACGAGTCAGATCATAGTTCCAAGCAGTTTTAATTTCCATAAAAAAAATTCAATCATACATTATGTACGAATCAAAGTTGTATTAATGACATGATAGCTAGTTTTTTTTTAACATTCTGTTCTTAAGACATTGCGCTTATCGTACATCTCATCATAGTGCAGCCAGTTTAAACACTTCTCTATCGGATCTAGAGTAAAAGAAATAAGAACATATAATTAATAAGTGACACAAATGACGCAACCAGAAAACGTGGTTGGAGTAAGTCAAATATGGTACGTGTCTCATAGTGTTAAGAACGTACAAACTATTATTTAGTATTATCACGAGAAAGTTCCACTACATAAAAATGTGTTTACCTCAAAATGATGTCCCCTTTTTTATGTTAGGTTGGTTATCTCCCCGTGGCGACTGTGGTTGCTGTTGTTGGCGATGCGGTGTAGCTGCAGGCGATATCATTTCTACAGATACATTGTTGATACACAGATCCAAGATCTGAAAGATGAAAGTGAACAGTGCTTTACAGGTCTGTCTAATGATAGGCCCCAGGACCGTCTTATTGGTGGCCAGACATCTGTCTAACTGAAGGCTCAAAGCAGGGGTCTCAAACTCAAATCATCCGAGGGCCGCAGGAGGTAGAGTCTGAGTGAGACTGGGCCGCATCAAGTCTTCCACACACAAAAAGCGATAACAAATTCAATAACGTACAACTGTTACAATCTTCTCAACCTTTATAAAAAAAACAAATAAAAACATTAAGGGTTCTCAAGAACTACTAGGTTTCACTTTCTTCCTCCTACTCCTTGTTGCCAGAGAACTGGCAGTGCTTCCTCTTGCACAGCTGACCAACATTTGGCTTGAGTGTGCAAGCAACTAAGACCCTCAGTAGAGTTTGAAGATGCTATTCAGTTAGTTTGGCCCTGAACTTTGACTTGTTCATAGTGGAAAAGAGACTTTCACTCAGGAAAGTACTCTCCAAAAAGGGCACACGATCCGCTTATACAACCTGGAAATCTCAAGGAAGGTGGAGGGCAATGCTCTCACAAATTGTCCAAGCTTGTCTGTTTTTCCATTCACCTCCTTGACCTTAGAATTGAACGGAAGATCAATCAGCTCCATGTAAAGTGCAAAAAGGGGTGTGTTTTTTTTTTTGGGGGGGGGGGCATCTTCCACATTAAAGGAGAAGGGTCAGCAAAAAGTTGAAAAGTGGCTGTGTGTGTTTTAAAGTCTGCAATGCTAACATGTGATCCAATTCTTCCTGTAGCTTTGCAATGTCATCAGTCTACTTACTACTAAATGATGTGCCGAAGTCTATGAATACTTCGCATGTTGGGAAATAGCAGAGGTTTCTCAAAGAACAATTAAGCAAGTTTTTTTTTGTTTGTTTTTTTTTTTTGCAGAATGCCTGACATTGTCATAGGCAACACTAACAAGCTACCCTTGGTCTTGTAACTCCTTGTTGAGTACCTTCAGCTCCTGTGTATTGTCAAAAAGAAAAGCCAAGTCCATAAGTCATTTGCGACAATTTAATACAGGAACAACTACACCATTCTTCTCTATTATGGCTTTAAATGCTAAAACGTGTTCATACAGTAGGCAGGAGCAGGCAATATTTATGAATTATTAATGCAAGGGGAGATGCTATTGTAGGGAGTAATTTTTTGTATTTTTTTATCGTAGAAAAGGCCTTCTTTACTGACCCTATCCGATTTTGAAAGTGACCATGCTGACAGGCTCAGAATTTCCTTCACTCTTAAACACTAGCGGCCATTTAAATAGGGATTCTTTGATCCTGTATCAGTTTGCTACGATTTAGACAATTATCGTTGTGCAGTAACCACTAACTGACTTTATAAGCCTTTCTCAAAACCGCACCTTGGCCATGTTTGTCTCGTAAAATGCTATCAAGTAAAAGCTTTTAGTCTCGTTTTAAGAATATGTTTAACATTATAATCCACTTCCAAGCCTATATGCATCTATACACGCATAATACTAATTAACATTAGACTAGTTGGTGAGATGCGACTGAAACCATCGCGGAGTCACATTATAGATATGAGAGAATTGGGAAAACGCGGGGGCCGCATTAACACTAAACTTTGATGTCATGTAACGGGTCGTAAAATATCGCCTTTTGGCCCGAAAATGGCCCACGGGCCGCGAGTTTGAGACCCCTGGCTCAAAGGCTGTCTAACTGTAGGACCAATGGCAGTCTAACCGGAGGCCAAAGAGCTGTCTAACTAAAGGCCAAAATGATGTCTAACTGAAGGTTACCGCGGCTGTCTAACTGGAGGTTCCCGCGGCTGTCTAACTGGAGGCTACGGTGGCTGTCTAGCTGGAGGCTGCTGCGACTGTCGAGCCTTTGGGGATGAAGCGTGTTTTTGAAATGAACTTTATTATTATTATTATTATTATGTTCCCCGGCTGTCTAACTGGAGGCCCAAGGACAGTCTAACTAGATGTTAATGTTGCTGTCTAACCGGAGGCCCCTAGAGCTAAATAGAGGCCGCAGGAATGTCCGACTCGTTGACGGCAGCAGCATTTTTATGTCATTTTTGTATGTTTTATCTATTTAAATTCAAATTAGATTGAAATGCATACTCGTGTGTAGGGAGATGCAGAGGGGCGGTCAGGCCTGGGAGGAATTTTTTTCTTTACACGGAGGGTCGGCATTTTCAGCCAACTCCAAAGATTTTTTTTTTTTTTTTGGTGGAATGGGGGCTTTATAATTCTTGACCTAACCCGGGAGGCACTAATCCTAGCTAATCCACAGTTGAATGGTTAGAAAAATATTTATTGAAGTAAACTTCATTTTATAAACGCTTACAACTTCAACGTTTTCTCCCATTAGCTTTAGCGTTAAACAGCGGAGTCCCTTTCAATATCTGACATAATGACGACTGCTGCATAATTAAAAGTTAAGTGAAAAGTTTCACCTACTCGTTTGGTAGGCTCCCATACAACAGAGCCCCTTAGCGACCTTCAGGTAGCACAGAGTGGCAGGGCAGGTCTTGACCGACTGAGAGCTGATCAGGCCCGTGCAGTAGTACGGGCTGCTGTTGAAATCATTCAATGTAGCGTCAGGGATAAAGAAGTACTGACCGGCCGTTTGTGTTGCCAGTTGGCTAATCAGTGCAAGGCCCACGACAAGACGGAGCGATGGCATTCTGGGAATTTTTTCAAATCTGGCACTGTTGAAACAAATGGACATAATAAATAGATGATATAAAGCAAAATAAATTATGTACACATAATCAATTTAAAAAAAACTATGGTACACACCATAAACAATGTAAAATCTGCACTCAACCTCAACAATGTTAAATGTGTACTCAAATTTACTAATGTACAAAAGGTGTACAACGTTGTGAATTATGCACTGGGTAATTCTTACACCTCAAGACGACGATTGCTCACTAGCAATTAGTTACAGGAGATAACTTGAACACATCTGCTTTATAAGATGACGATTGTTCACTAGCAATTAGTTACGGGAGATAACTTGAACACATCTGCTTTATAAGATGACGATTGTTCACTAGCAATTAGTTACGGGAGATAACTTGAACACATCTGCTTTATAAGACGACGATTGTTCACTAGCAATTAGTTACGGGAGATAACTTGAACACATCTGCTTTATAAGACGACGATTGTTCACTAGCAATTAGTTACGGGAGATAACTTGAACACATCTGCTTTATAAGACGACGATTGTTCACTAGCAATTAGTTACGGGAGATAACTTGAACACATCTGCTTTATAAGACGACGATTGTTCACTAGCAATTAGTTACGGGAGATAACTTGAACACATCTGCTTTATAAGACGACGATTGTTCACTAGCAATTAGTTACGGGAGATAACTTGAACACATCTGCTTTATAAGACGACGATTGTTCATTAGCAATTAGTTACGGGAGATAACTTGAACACATCTGCTTTATAAGACGACGATTGTTCACTAGCAATTAGTTACGGGAGATAACTTGAACACATCTGCTTTAAAGCTCAATAAAAAATTTAGTTCATCAACAATTACTTGAGTTATGGCCAATTTTTTTTTTTTTTTCTTTTTTAAATTTAAATTGTTAGAATAAAGATTTACAAAACACATTGAAACATCTAACAATATGTCATGAATCTGAAATCATGTCACTAATTCTTTTAACCATTCTATCCATCGAAATGCCATACTCTGCAAAACGCATAACAAGTTACAATGTCTTTGAAGCGCAGCAAGTTGTATGGTTCTTTTTTATTTACAAAAACAAAAGAAGCCAATTTTTTTTTAAAGCTTAAATGTTCATTGCGTTATGGAAAAGACCCACGTCTGTCGTTGATTACATACGGCGGACGCATATACCTGGTTCGTCAGTATCCAACTGTCTGAGGACCTCTGAATCTAGGAACAACTCTTAAGAAGTCAACGAACCTGAACACAAGTCATATGCAGATTGGCAGATTGAACATAACATTTCGTCATTTTATACAAGCATGCTGTATGTACACCACGTGTTGTGAGTTTCCACATTGTTTAAGGTTACCCCGGGGAAAACCCGCGTGGGGGTTGGACGTAACCGTTAGTCTGTTCAAATGGAGACAGAGTTCATTATGTAGTGTCTCAAAGTAGGCTGGCTGTTACAAGCCATTACTTCGAAGCCACACATATTTTTAGTTTCGGTCAAAGCATAGGCGTGGGAACATCAGCTGCAACAGTTGTTTCTTTTTCCCCCAGAAGCCCGTCCATGATTTTTTCGCACCCCTTATATTATAAAGGATCTAGAGTAAAACATTTCCGCGAAAGCCCATCCATACACGCCTGCTGAAAATGTGTTCCATCTGCACCCATATTACCGGCAGAATGTTTCCGCCACTGACTAACCAAATTGCAACAAATGATTTTCAAAAGATCTATATAACATATTTGTTTATATAACTATTGCTTGAAGAGTCGTTTACAAATAAGGTCACTGGGAATTTTCCATGCACAGGTGACGTGAGTCGTCTTTGGTGATCATTGAAATAACGGGGAGCTCGTGTGAGGAACGGAGCCCGGTATCCTTCATTGAACATTGATTTGAGTCTGTTGTGTCAAATAGTTTGAGCCCCACTCCAGGCATGCAAGAAAACAAAATCAACACAAACTCAAAGGAGTAGATCAAACATGCCAAAATCGGTCAGTGGCTCATTTAAGAGGAGGCTCATCTAAGGAGTGGCTCATGTCTAAGAAGGTGGCTCATCTAAAAGGTGGCTCATCTGAAAGGTGGCTCATCTGAACGGTGGCTCATCTGAAAGGTAGCTCATTTAAGAGGTGGCTCATCTAAAAGGTGGCTGATCTAAGTGGTCGCTCATCAAAACCACCGCTGTCTTGTGAAATCCCAATGTTGAAGGCTACGGGGGCTGTAGCTCTGTCATCAACTCAGATTCGACGTTACAGGTCAGCACGAGTAAGACTGAATCGACCAAACGAAGGGGTCGTTTGTGTTAAGGCAGGAATTTTGAGAAAAGCAGTGCTGGACAAACAAACACGATGGAAATGCGAATAGAAATAAATTATTTTAAAAAAAAAAAAAAAGCAATTCAGTATGTTATGATATTGATAGATAGTTTTTATTAAAAGGGAAACAACTTCCAACCTTATCAAAATTAAAAACGATTTATTTCCCAAATACACAGACATACAAAATAAGTGGTTTTATTTTCTAATGCTTAAAGTTATAAAGATAGACACATGTGCCCGTATAGTAGGATTGATAGATGATTCCATCTGCTGTTATTTTGTATGTTATAACAGTATTTGAAATAAAATTATCATAGGCATTTAATTTGTGTGGTGAAATGTTTGTATCGAATGATATTTAGCACCTGTCTAGTGGATTCGGTGGCAGGTGACTTTGACACCTCTACACCGTCACATTGTGATAAACCTAATCGTGAATGTGACTAACTTGTATCTTGAATATTTTTATCAGAATTTGATTGGTGGAACTTGCTGGACCCGACTTAAAGTGACGTCATGACGATGCTAGATTTTAAAAAAAAATATTTTTTCATGGTGGATATACGCACCGACTTCTTAAAGTTAAAGACGTACATTGTATATACATTTGGCCGGGCTTTCAATAGATTGAATTTTTTATTGTTTAAGTTTTCTTGAAAGCAACAGTTATGTTAATTAATCACGACAAACGGTATTTCACCCCCCCCCGGCTTTTTGCGCATCTCTACGACAGAGTCAGGTTAGGTTTCACCGTTAACTCTGCCTCAGGGCCACCTATTCTTTAAAAAAAAAAAAGACATAATAGTGGACATCAAAGTGAACTGGCCAGTGGTCAGTGGCATTACGCTCACTGTTACGGTACTCAGCTCCGCAGCCATACAATCTAACTGACCTTGTCCTTATCACGTGCACTAAGTGAAAGTGAGATAAACGGACTCGTTATTTGATCATAAATGTTCTAAATCGCCACCATCATTTCGAAAAACATCTGTGGTGGGAGAAACTTCGGGACTCCCAGCGAAAATTTCTCGAAATGATTAATTATCTGTGTATGTCTGTATGTATGTCTGGAAGTAACGCTTTTTAAAAAGAAAAACAACAGTTGGAACAGCATTGCGTTTTCAGAATATGTAATAGCACCGTGTTAATGGGGTTTTGAACACATTAAGAATGATGATAACTCTTAGTTGTAGGTTTTTGAGTCCACCAAGACGTGTTGCTGGATGGTTAAGGCAAAGCGCATCCTTGCAATACCATCATTCGCTACGTTAGGTGGACAAGGAAAGTCGTTGGCTGATATCTAAAATGGTCTAATAAAGGAAAATCAGACCTTTTTTGACGGGTAGTAGCTAGTATAGGATGTTATTGTTCGTCCAACAAAACAGGGCAATTTTCAAATTGAGTAATAGCCTTGACTTGAACTCTATTTTTTTTTATTGCGATGGAGAGTTGTTTGATTCGTCAGCCTCACTCTCTCGTACTTGCCTATCAGTTCCTATGGCAAGACTTAGTCAAGACGAATGGGAAAAAGACCAGGATGCAGTAGATGATCAGCAATGTGTGCGTTTACTGTGTTTTTTATGCATTCTACCTCGCAGAAATTGTCAGAATTTTAATCGCTCCAATGTCATACCGCTTGCGGGACTCCATCTCTGGGTTTAACGTCAGAGTTTGCCTTTTCCTAGATGAGCCGCCATCCAAGGTTAACGCGTCCCATCCACCCAGGGTGCTGGTGCTGTTTTTGCTTTTGCTCGGGATTAAACTCTAATCCACTACCTTTGGGAATTGATTCAGTTTAGACCACACTATAGTATTGGACAATATATGAGGGACTGCGTACTAGACGTGGGAAAGGTAATATTGGAACAAGATTATATTTAGGTTTGAGTGAAAAGACAGGAAAATTAAAAGGACGTTTCGGCTAAACAACGAAGAATTAGAGAGGGAAGAATGTATTAGAAGATCTCACTATTTGAAGCCAAGCGCTCTAATGGATATTAATAAAAAGAACTTCTTGACTATAAAACGTAACACAATAGAAGATGTGCTAGTCGCAACAAAGTTTATTAGCTACAAATCAAAATATGAAAACAAATGTTCTATAATTGCAACAAAATAAAAATCTACGCTTCTCTTCAACCGACCAATATCCGATTACTGTCGTTGAAGTCGGGTTGATTAGCTTCGGTTCTCTTTAATCTGTAAGGATGAATCATAATCGATTACTTTCATATGATTAGCTTAAGCTCTTTTTCTCTTAACTATAATGATAAATCATACTCGATTACTTTCACATGATTAGCTTTAGTTCGCATTCCGCTATTCTGTAATGATAAAGCATAATTGATTACTTTCATATGATTAGCTTAAGCTCTTTTTCTCTTAACTATAATGATAAATCATACTCGATTACTTTCATATGATTAGCTTTAGTTCGCTTCCTCTATTCTGTAATGATAAAAACATAATTGATTACTTTCAAAAACCAAGCGAATACTTCAATTTTTATCACTACAAACCTGGGACCACCTCAGAACAAATGATCACTTGAATGATTGAATGATTAGACTGATGTCCTCGTCATCACTGCTAAGGTCCAGCTTTTGACCAAGCAGTAAATCTTATAATAAAATGGTTTGACCGGCTATTGCAGGGTTACATTAGCTTTTTTTTTTTAATAGGATGATTGTCTGTTCCTACACCAGCACAAATTAAGGGTCCGAACCTCCTCAGTAGTAACTGTCAAAACTTTATTTCATATTCTTTATGTAAAGCCTTTGATTCAGAAAAGTTAATAAAAAATGTAAGGCCTTTAAAAAAAATGAGCCTGCATTTATAGGCTAAATCTGCAATGGATAAAATTGAATTTAATTTAATTTTTGGATCCTTAATCATCATCAGTGGCGCTACAGCCCTTGCAGGGCCCTGTCCTGCTTAACAAAATCCTTCCATTTGGATCGAGTCATGTTTTTTTTCCGCCTCAACCCAGCAGCTGGTGTAAGTCCTTCTTTACATCGACAATCCATCTCAGTCTTGGTCGACCGGTGAGCCGTCTGTCCCTAGGTTTCTGCCTGTACATCACTTTAGCTACTCTACAATCCGGCATCCTGACCAATGCGTTCTGCCATTTTTTTTTCCATTTATGCGACTCTTGTCGTGTCTTGGAACAGGTGACACATATTTTGGTTTCCACGGATTCTCCATCCATCACTGACTATCACCGGACCGTATATTTTTTGTGATCAGTAAATTAAATCTTATTTACGTCCTCTCGGCCAATTTATGTTTTTATATATTTATTTATAGATTTGGGGGGTTTTTTTGTTGTTTTTTTTTAAATTGCATTCAAGCGCTTACATCTTGGGTTTTTTGAAAGCCTAAAGATTGAGTTTTAGCTGAAGGCAGTCTCAATGTACATTTCTGTTGATTTTTTTTTTGGTATAAATACAACTATTAAGAGGCATTTTAATTGACACCCCCCTTCCCACCCCCACCCCCCTCCGCAAATTGCCCAAACTAATCTTTGCCGCTAGAAACTACGTTTTTGAGAGCTGAAAACTACTCTGACCCTAACCCAGTGGTAAACAGGTCTGCTATTGCCTGATTCAAAGTTAGGTACTTGTGCCCATTCTTTCTTATTCGTTTACTTTCTTTCATTTTTTTTTAGGTCTAGGTAAGATGTACATTTATCATGTAAATTTAATGTATAATTAAATGAATGTTTTTTGTTGTACTGACCAGGACATTTGCCGAAACGTTCTGAATTGGTATTCTGTGTAATCATTATTAAATCTGAACATATCTTGTTTCATTGACACAAATTGTGTGTGTGTCATTAGTCTCATGGAAAGCTGTATACCGCCGTCCAACCTTTCTATTAGTGAGTTAAGTGGCGCAGTCAGTTGGGACGGACAGAAGGAACAGTTCAGGTTTGTCTTGTTATTGGACAGTTAGAGATGTTGCATGTCGGATGTTGTATGTTGGATGTTTTAAGTCGTTTGTTGGATGTTGCATGATGAATGTTGTATGTTGGTCGTTGCATGATTAATGTTGTATGATGAATGTCGCAAGTTTAATGTTGTATGTTGGAAGTTGTATGTTGGAAGTTGCATGGTGTATGTCACATGTTGGATGTTGTATGTTGTAGGTCGAAAGTTGTATGTCGAAAGTTGTATGTTGTGTGTTGGATGTTTTTATGTTAGATGTTGTATGTTAGATGTTGTATGTTTGATGTTGGATGTTAGATTTTGTATGTTTGATGTTGGATGTTGGATGTTGAGACGGGAATGTTCTATTTAAAGACGTACTTATATCAAGGTTTCTTCTCTTAGCCGCTATTGCTTTTGTTGTAGTCGGCGTGGTCGGTGTGGTGGTTGTTGTCGTTGGGGTGGTGGTCGTTGTCGTTGGGGTCGTGGTTGTGGTACTGGTGGTGGTACTTGTGGTAGAGGTTGTTGTCGACGCTGCTGTGACTGCCGTGCACTGCACGGTCGTGACACAGATGCATTGCTGGTAGAGGGCCCCGTTGACTGTGGGAGAGACAAACATAATTTGAGTACTGGACTGTTTAACCTATATATCTGTCATTTCACTTAAAATTGCATCAAGTACGTTTGTGCAATTGTATGGGTTAAGATGAGTGTTAAGGTGAAACATTATTTATGCAGTTCTAAACAGTTATCTTTTGGGTAATATTGGAGTTGAAAGAAATGATTTCTCGGCTTCGAGAGTAAAGTTGGTTTAACTTAAAGAATAAGATTGATTGACGTCATTGTCGTGCAATGCTCCCTATTCTGTATTCGTGTCTCTCGTTTTTTTTTTTTTTTTGGAGCTATCATTGTAAAATATAACAGCCAAAGGTGCATAGCCTTCCTGTGGGTCATTCACTTAGCCTTCCTGACCCAGACACTAATGGCTTTCTTGAGCCAGAAAAGCAAAAGGTGCATAGCCTCCCTGGGGGTCATTCACTTAGCCTTCCTGACCCATACACACATGGCTTTCTTGAGCCAGAAATATGTTGATATCCTGAGCCAAATGTGCAATGCCTTACTCAGTCAGATATAGATGACCTTCTTGAGCCAAATCTATAAGGCTTTCCTGAGCTAAATCTTCTCACCATTCCTGTAGACCCCCATGCAGCACAGTCCGACGGTCGCCTTCATGTAACACACAGTATTCGGGCAGTTCTGAACTGGCGCAGTGACCACCTTCGTGCACATGGTCGGGTTTGTGTTTAAAGCTGACGGCATGGTGTTCACATTGTACACGTACTGGCCGTCAGTCCCAGTGGTCATGAGCACGGTCAAGGCCGTGACCCAAAAGAGTAAGAAAAACCTGGACATGTTGTTCTTGTTACTTGGCACAGCGGTCTGAAAAGAAATTAGCTCTTTTGTTAATTTACATTTACATAAATAAATAAGGATAAATTAGGATTTGGAGAGTTTTTCCTAAGTTTCTGAGACATTTTCCTAACTTTCTGAGACATTTTACTAACTTTCTGAGATATTTTACTAACTTTCTGATACATTTGCCTAACTTTCTGAGATATTTTACTAACTAATAACAAGTAAGACCAATTTAATCTAGAGAGTATTTCAACAAAACTTCGTTTCAAACTGTGTATGAAATAATTTTAATGGTATATAAAACTTGATTTAAATTCCTATCAATCATAGACCACCAAAAATAGTAACTTTTAGCGTGAAATATCGTGTGCGCTATATTTTTAGTGCCTATATCTGCTCTATAAAGAAAAAGAAATGTACAATACAAACAAATCTATTTCTATCTATGCCAAGCTCTGGGTATTTTAACGAATAGACGCTATTGTGTGGATAATTTCTTTTTAAGGATGAGAATCGAAAAAAAGGATATAACACTGGAACAAAGATATTAGTTTATATAATAGATGGATACATCATCCAGTGTATATCCGTTGTCCCGGGAATTAAAGTTGGATTAAAAATCCAATGTAGACATCTTTATAACAGAAATAAATTATTGTTATAAAATTTTAAAGAACTTACTAAACACAGAATCTGACGACAGCCGATGATGTACAGGAAGAGAAGAGATCTTAAAAAAAAAAGCTTTTATATATCTATGGCAATGACGTCACACACAGGAGGTGGGGAGCTGCCACTAAATGCAAACAGAATATCGCACAGAATTCACTTCTGTACAAGGACGCCAAGGGGACGTGATTATATTCAATTTTGTATATTTGGGTTCGATTGACATTGTCGTAATGTTTTTTTTTTCAATAATGCAATAGTTTTGTTTTTTTTCGTTTTTTTTGTGTGTTAAATTTCTATTCAACGGTTACCCTATGTGAAGACGTCTCAGTAAAGATTCCTGTGTGAGGACTCCTGTGTGAGGACTCCTGTATGAAGACTCCTGGGTGAAGATTCCTCTGTGAAGACTCCTGTGTGAAGAGTCATGTGTAAAGGGTTTAGAAACAATGTTGTACAGGGCAGGTTTTAAAAGTTGACCACTGTCATTGTTAAGTCGTTACAAATACTGTAATTTTCGCTGAGTGTACGTCTTTTAAAAATCCCTTTAGCATCGCTCTTCTTCGTTGGTTAGATGATTGGCTGAGAAAATCATCGGAAGGCTAATGACCCACTTCACGTCAACCTATCAAGCTTAAACTTGGCACATGGACTCGTTGCCGATGACAACACATTCTATTTAAATTTTCAGCCCCAAACCCTAAATTCAGTTTTCCCATCTTTCAAGAGGAAGATGAAGGAAATATGCCGACACCGACTTTACGAAATAAAATTCCCGATAACTGCGCTAAATAAGATTCCTTTTTTTTTTTCTTTTTTTTTTAAAAAATCACAAGTGCGTTTGTTGCGCAATATTTTCTTTTGTTTACCTTCTTGAATTAGGTAGTAGAATAAAATTGCGCTCTAAAAGCGGGTGTTACATTAGAATATTAATATAAAATAAAATAATTTAAAAAATACATATAACGAATTTATTATAAAAACTATGTTTTTTAGGAATTGTTTAATTCGGCCATTAATTTCACTTTTGCAAATACTTTTAAAATTAAAAACCTTTAAGATAAAATTACATAAGATTATTTGATTGATCCAAATATAGGGAAGTGAATTTTTACTTCATCGCACATATCCCATGCAGATTATGCACGTCAACTCTCTCACAAAGACAAACATTTTCTACAACAAGAACAAATGAACACAATGCATCTAAACTATTTCTCAAGTGCAAACAATCAGCCATCACGTGCCGCGGAGCTTCACTCACTAAGTGATAAAATTTATTTTTTATTTGTGATTATTTACATTTTGTAAAAGTCATGGGGAGCCCGCAGGTTAATTCTGATGGCTTGGGGATCAAGTGAATTGTTAAATATCTCTGACCAAAAAATATATGCGGGAAATAATTCGTGTCCCGATCTTAAGAATCTTTCGTGAAGAGGGCGGGAGTTATCCTCCAAAAAAAATATTGTTTAAGTTTACAAATGTTTCCATGAACCGAGTTACGAGTCCCCGTTTCTGGATACGTTCCCCAAGACGTCGCGTTCCTAAAGACTTCATGTTCCCCAAGACGTCTTGTTACTAAGGATGTCATGTTCCCAAAGACGTCTTATTCCTAGAGAAGTCATGTTCCCAAAGACGTCTTGTTCCTAAAGTCTTCATGTTCCCAAAGACGTCTTGTTCCTAAAGACGTCTTGTTCCCAAATATGTCATGTTCCTAAAGACGTCATGTTCCAAAAGACGACATGTTCCCAAAGACGTCATGTTACCAATACCAAAGACGTCATTGTCCCAAAGACGTCATGTTCCCCAAGACGTCATGTTCCCAAAGACATCTTTTTCCCACAGACGGCTTGTTCCCAAAGATGTCATGTTCTCAAAAAGGTCATGTTCCCAAAGTTGTCATGTTCCCAAAGACGTCGTGTTCCTAAAGACGTCAAGTTCCCAAACACGTCTTGTTCCTAAAGACGTCATGTTCCCAAAGACTTCTTTTTCCTAAAGACGTCATGTTCCCAAAGATGTCTTGTTCCTAAAGACGTCACGTTTCCAAAAACGTCTTGTTCCTAAAATCATCGTCTCACATATTTCAACTGTTGTGTTGTTTTGTTTTCTCAGCTGTGCACACATAAGGTCACACAATGGCGGTCCCATACTTTCGGGTTATTATTTTAGCTTCTGTTTCCGATCGATGGATCGACCACGGTAAGTGCTTCAACCTGAGGCGTTGCTGGCCTACATCAAAAGACGATAAAACCCCGATCTGTCTGAAGTTCGTGCTCGCACATTTATGTAAAGCTGCACGCACAGTGAGTCAAACTGGGCCATGGTGCACCTATATACGTTTGATCCACGCGCTCGTACACACATTTAGGACATATGAAGCACAGGGTCTGGTAAAATCTGACAAAGATGAAACAAAAAAAAAGAGAACGTATCGGAAAAATGCCTTCGTCAGCGAACAGAACAGTACAAGACGAGAAATTGAAAAGTGCAATAAAAATTATATGTTTATATACAGTGGAACCCCGCTATAACGCGATGATCGGGGACCATGAAATCGGATCGCGTGAAAAGCGAGGTTGCGTTAATGCGCGTTCTTATCACAGCGGAAATCCCTTACGTATTACTATTTATAGTTCTACCGGAAGAAAGCCTCGTTTTTGGCATTAATTTTGATACTAGTTTGAACCTAGTGTGTTTAGGGGCTCATTTTCTAGGATAATTTGAGAAGTTGTGATTTTTTTTCGCTTTAAAAAATGGCTTTCCAAGCAATGGATAAAATTTTCAAAGAACTAAGACCTGATGGAGTAAATGAATTTCAAATTTCGGGAGCCATGCTACGAATATATCCGAATTCTCGTTATGGCGGGGCGCGTTATAGCGGGGTTCCACTGTATATAAAAATATGATATTTAAATTGATGATAATCTCACACACATTCAATCATCTCTGTTGAGGCAACTTGTTGATCTTCTGAATTATCTTGTTTGGCCATGTGTATACGCAAAGACTTAAACATTGTTGTAAGGTACCCCACAACGCGGGAAGACAACGAGTTGTTAACATAGTATCATACTGCAGGCGCGATATGGACAGCGTGGCACGGACATTGCTGGTCGATATGAAAAAAAAATGTGCTTTTTTGCTTTTAGTTTATTTGCTTAAAGTTGAACGTGGGGATAATTGCACTGACGAATGTGTCCTGTCAGGAGACAACAGTGTGGATTGTTTGCCAAACACATAGCCACGATGAGAGTAACAGTGGTTAAATGATAATAAATTTGATGACTGTGTCCTGTCAGGAGACATCAGTGTGGCTTGTTTACATAATAGTCACGTTTGTCAATGAAAGCCTAACAAATTTGATCTTCTCATTAACGTGAAACTCGGCATTCTTTTATGGCGTGCCATCTGACCGTCAAAGTTAAGTGGAGCTTGCCGGTCCTGAAATGGAAACTGTACTTGTTGAAATAAAGGAAAGTTTCTTTCAATTTTTGAGGACAGACTTTTGAAGACAGACTTTTGAAGACAGACTTTTGAAGCAGGTCCCGTAAAGCTTCTGTCTGAGTTCACGCGGCTCTTCATTGTCATTTAGAAACTGTCAAAATTATCTAATGGGTCAATTTAGACAAGATAAGATGAGATAAAATAAGATAAGATAAGATTCATTATTGATCAAAATAAATAGAATTTTTTTTTTACTAACATTGTACATATAAAATATCACCACATAATACTCCGTAATATCACAAACATTACCTGCAATATCACACATATGGCCTGTAATATCACACATGAATTGTAATATCACACATGTGACCTGTAATATCACACATGTGACCTGTAGTATCCCACATATGACCTGCAATATCACAGATTTGAACTATAATTTCCCTCACATGACCTGTACTATTAGACCTATTACCTGTTATATCACACTGCCACACAGACTATCACAGTCATCGTTTTTTTCCCCCCACTTTATAAAATACTATCAGTTTTCTTTTTTGGATGCTCCATTCAATATTTCTTGATTGCATTATTTGTAAGGGGCATTGCGGCGTGCAGTCCGTCGTTTACCACACGGCCTCAGTCGTCGTCAGTGGAAAGAATTTCCGATGGACGTGAGAGGAACATACAGACTTAAGCTGACAAGATAGTTTAAGGTCTACACTTACGATAGGCGACTTGGGGGGAAAGTCTTCTCATTATTATTTGTTGTTATGTTTTGTCTTTTCTTTGGTTTTCTTTTCTTTTTTTTTTTCAAACTTTAATTGCAAGGTAAAATATGAACTTTTTCTTAGATGAAAAGAGATTGTCAATTAATAATAGTGACTTGATTTGGACATGCACTTTCTTAGATACATTAGAACAGGTTTTATATATATATATATATATATATATATATATATATATATATATATATATATATATATATATACATACAAACCAAGGTACAGGCATTTCGTCATAAGTTCATTCTTTTAGTGTTCCCAGATGATAAAGAGTTTCTTCATTCAATTTTCCATGCCATGAAAAATGTGCACAAAAGGCAACAGGCCACTTTTCTCCTGACCTTGTGCGAAAAGTGCGTTCTGTCATGAGGCGACAATTTCAGACTTTCTGGAAGAGCGACGACAATTTCAGACTTTCTGGAAGAGCGACGACAATTTCAGACTTTCTGGAAGAGCGACGACAATTTCAGACGTTCTGACATGAGACGACAGTTTCAGACTTTCTGACGTGACACGACAGTTTCAGACTTTCTGACGTGAGACGACAGTTTCAGACTTTCTGACATGACACGACAGTTTCAGACTTTCTGACGTGACACGACAGTTTCAGACTTTCTGACATGACACGACAGTTTCAGACTTTCTGACGTGAGACGACAGTTTCAGACTTTCTGACATGACACGACAGTTTCAGACTTTCTGACATGAGACGACAGTTTCAGACTTTCTGACATGACACGACAGTTTCAGACTTTCTGACGTGACACGACAGTTTCAGACTTTCTGACATGACACGACAGTTTCAGACTTTCTGACGTGACACGACAGTTTCAGACTTTCTAACGAGAGACGACAGCTGATGTAAAATGTTGCACAATTTAAATGTCTCCCATAATGTGTGTGTGTGTGGGTTTATGTGTGTGTGTGTGTGTGTCTCAATTAAATCAATGTCACCCAACCAGAGGTGTAGCTAAGTGGGGGCAGAGGGAACAGATGTCCCTGGGCGCCAGACTAGTTAGGGTCACCAAAATGTGCTTTGATAGTATTTCATTGATGAAAATAAAATGGGTTTGAGAGTAGAAAAAATATAAACGGAGGTGCTTTACAACGAATCTTGCCCCGGGCGCCAAACACTCTAGCTACGCCTCTGCATCCCACTATGCCAGAGAATAGCAATTTCTTGCTTCATCTTACCAGAACTATGCCGTGACTCATGGAGACACCGGCCACTGTTTGGTTGCTTGCTCCTGCATTCAAAGTTCTTCTTCTGTATATTAAGGGCCCACGATCAATTTATCTATCATTTTGGCCTGCATGTAGAGGGGATTTGCAATGTTTCTGTGCCTGGTGTTGGTGAGGATATTTCACTGATTGCAAGTGCCACTTTGTGACGGAATCATGCACCGGGGGTTGGAAGGCTTAAGGCAATAGACGCAAATGTGTCTAGTGTTGTCGCCTATACCGTTCCTTTTGAAAGCTTGTTCCAGTCCTGATTGTCTTTAGCAGGAATGAGCAGTTCCTATACTGGCTTTTTGCTGGTATGAGCCGGAATTGCCTGTCATTGACTCGTCGCTGCCTATGAGGGAGAGGGACGAGTTTCTGTTTAATAATGAAGTAATTATCCCCCCCCCCGCCTCATCTTGAAGAACTATTTGAAGGAAAAATTATGCTGTAAAACTTATTTTTTTTAAAATAGGATGATTACATCCAACCCACTTCATCACAGATATCTAAGATCAGCCCGACCAGGGCAAATTATTTCTATTAATGTTAGGACCGAAAGATATAAAAAAAATTGTGTTGTACCCCAGTCACTGATTGAATTCATTAATGGCTTCAATAAAACGAATCTTATTTAAAATATGTGTGGCACACTTTTTCCCTTGCGATATGTAATATGCAGAGCTGTCATGTCGGGTCTGCAACCCCTGCAGATGCTGGTTGCCGCGTATCTTGAATTGGCACAAAAGATGAAATAAGATAAGATAAAATAAGATAAGATAAGATACGATTCCTATATCGGTAGAGCAAAACGCAGGATGCCTTGTGTTTAAATTGTTATCATTGTAAAATGTTGTCTTGGTTTAAAATATGTATGTATTTAGGTGCGGGAAATGAATATGCACAATTTTTTTAAACATTTTGTTTCACTTCATGTTCCTTTCATCGTGCTAAAATATTTAAAGTAAAATCGATGGTGAGGAGGTGCTTGCGTCTCGCAAGTCGCAGTTGTGTTTACGTCAAGATTTCTACCTACGCCTGCAACCATCTGCTATTAAGTGTTTCAATGGGAGACGTATTTCAGTGCAAGGCCAGGTCGGTCCCGATGACTGCAGTTAAGTAAACACACGCGCAAGACGAGCTTACTGCAGCCAAGCTGAGGGGGTTCAACTGTAGAATCTTTCAATAACCCCGCAGGACTGAAGCTAGAGCTTCACAATCAATCTCATCATAGTTTGGGACGTCAACCGAGACCAACCCCCCATCATAGTTTGGGACGTCAACGACGTCAACCGAGACCAACCCCCCCCCATCATAGTTTGGGACGTCAACCGAGACCACCCCTAACCCCACCACCGCCCGCCCCTCCGCCCTTGCCGTTACTAAACAGGGAAGACACGGTGGTTTTGTTGTTTTGTTTCTTTGGTCTATCATCGTATAATTACGCTAAGTAAAAGTTTTATTGCATATCCGTTTGGTTGTTTTTTGTTTGTTTTTTTGGTGGAGCTCAAATTGGCGGCTTATGAACCAGTACCCCAACTCCTCCACTTCTACACACAAAAAACAAAAAACGTGTCCTATCTACTCCAGTGGGTGGTCTCCAATGTTTGCGCAGGTAGTACTATTCGGGGAAATTTTCATTATAGTTTGTTTGTTTTTTCTTTCCAAAAATATCATATGAAATGGGAGACGTATAATGGCAAGTGCGAAAGTATTAAAAAAAAAAAACAACTGTTATCGTGAACGTGAATTCTTATGTACGAGTATAGTTCAAATTCATACACGACAAATGCGGAGACGGGGGGTCACAGTCCCAGTTTATGCAGTGTTAGACCGGCAAGAACGTGTGGTTGTATAAGATACATGTAATGCTATGTGTGAGGGTTTTTCTTTGTGTTGTTGTTTTGCGTTTTTAATGAGAGTTTTAAAAAAATCAAAATTTATTATATTTTTTTTTTTACATTCACAAGGTCTTTTTGACCTTATTTTTTTAATAAAGAAAAAAATCTATTGCCCAGAAGACAATTTTTGAAATCACCAATGTGCAGAACAGGCGAGCGTAGGTTTTAAAAAAACAATATTGAAATTGATGAGAAACAAAGAAACCAACTCAGTACGGCTTGTAGACGTTGGAAGATAAATAACAAGGCCATTGTCTACAGAGGCTTTCAACTGTGTCTCCTTCAAACACCACGCGATGCTTCATGGTAGCGTAGGGACAGCTGGACACTGGACAGTGCTGTCACACCTGCAGAAGGTCATTATAGCGTTGGTTGCTGAAATAAAGCACACACACAAAAAAAAAAAATTAGCTATGATAGTCCCCCACATTTCATTCAGTCCATTAAGATTACTTTCATTTTGTGTTGTTTTTTTTTTACAATCCAAACCATGTAGATTCATGCTCGTCTACATGCAGTTCACACGATAAAATTTTCGTCAAATATTTGTATGAACGCACTATTTTGTGTGTTGTTTCTTTTTTAAAGACAGAAGTAAGAATTTGATTAAATAGTAACATGAAAGTTGTGACAAGACTTCATACAAAAATCGCATCAAATGTATGATAGAAAATTGGATCGTTCGAAATGAGTCGTATTCCACCTCGCCTCATTTGTAAAAATAAAATGTATTACAGACTTTTCAAAGGAAATTAATGCACTAACAGTTTTTACTGCACGTGATTTTAAGTGCCCGGTCTTTAGGACGAAGACCCATCGATGTGAAATGAGCTGATATGTAAATGAGACACTGTTAACGTAGTAGACCGAGGATTTTGTTCGTAACAAAATTGAGACCTACCAGCTCTCTGTACAGCTTAACAACAACCGTTACACAACCAGCTGTCTGTACAGCTATACCACAACTGTTAGATCTACCAATTCTCTGTACAGCTATACCACAACTGTTAGATCTACCAATTCTCTGTACAGCTATACCACAACTGTTAGATCTACCAATTCTCTGTACAGCTATACCACAACTGTTAGATCTACCAACTCTCTGTACAGCTATACCACAACTGTTAGATCTACCAATTCTCTGTACAGCTATACCACAACTGTTAGATCTACCAATTCTCTGTACAGCTATACCACAACTGTTAGATCTACCAACTCTCTGTACAGCTATACCACAACTGTTAGATCTACCAACTCTCTGTACAGCTATACCACAACTGTTAGATCTACCAATTCTCTGTACAGCTATACCACAACTGTTAGATCTACCAACTCTCTGTACAGCTATACCACAACTGTTAGATCTACCAACTCTCTGTACAGCTATACCACAACTGTTAGATCTACCAATTCTCTGTACAGCTATACCACAACTGTTAGATCTACCAACTCTCTGTACAGCTATACCACAACTGTTAGATCTACCAACTCTCTGTACAGCTATACCACAACTGTTAGATCTACCAATTCTCTGTACAGCTATACCACAACTGTTAGATCTACCAACTCTCTGTACAGCTATACCACAACTGTTAGATCTACCAACTCTCTGTACAGCTAAACAACAACTGTACAGCTATACCACAACTGTTAGATCTACCAACTCTCTGTACAGCTATACCACAAGTGTTAAACCTACCAACTCTCTGTACAGCTAAACAACAACTGCTCCTAGTTGTTGAATTGAAGCAGGGGTCAGTGGTGCCACAAAAGGGGGTGCTCACTGTGGCACCACAAAACAAAGGCGTATCCGAGAAAGGCGCAGCGGAAGTCGTCGTCGGCGCGGTGGTTGTCGTTGGGGTGGTTGTTGTCGGGGTGGTTGTTTTTGGGGTGGTTGTTGTTGGGGTGGTTGTCGTTGTGCTGGTAGTGGTTGGGGTGGTCGTCGTTGTGGTTGGCGTGGTGGCTCTTGTTGGGGTGGTTGTTGTTGTGGTCGGTGTGGTGGTCGTTGTCGTCGGGGTGGTGGTTGTCGTTGTGCTGGTGGTGGTACTTGTAGTAGAGGTTGTTGACGCTGTACTCGCCACGGCTGCTGTGCACTGCACGGTCGTGAGACAGATACATTGCTGGTAGAGTGCCCCGTTGGCTGTGGGAGAGACAAACATAGTTCAGTTACTGGACGGTTTTACCCAATATATCTGTCATTCCCCTGAAAATTTCATTTAGAAATTTGACCTTGTGAAATTGCATGAGAGTTAACGTGAGTGTGGAGATTAAAGTTTCTTGAGTCAGTATTAAAGTGGAGTTGAATGAAGAGATTTCTCAGCTTAGAGAGTAGTTTGTTCAACTTAAAGATTAAAAGTGATTGACGTCATTGGCGTGTAAGCATGTTAGCATTTTTTTACTTTTTTGTCTTTGTGTCTGTAGTGTTTGGGGCTATATTTGTAAAAATATATATAACAGCCAAAGGTGCATAGCCTCCCTTAGTATTATTACACATGGCCTTCTTGACCCAGATACACATGGCTTTCTTGAGTCAGAAATATGTAGATGTCCTGGGCCAAATACGTCATGCCTTCCGCAGCCAGATATACTTGACCTTCCTGAGCCAAATATACAGGGCCTTCCTGAGCTAAATTATATCGGGCCAGAGAAATAAGCACCAGGGTGCCACAAGGTTGCGTCCTCTCCCCTGTCCTGTATTACAATATAAACCAAAGATATTCCAAGCTACACCGTCCCAATCATAAAGTTTGCTGATGTTACCACCATCGTTGGCTTAATATCTGAAGGAGAAGACTTGTACTGCAATTTATTTACAGGCTTTATCAAATGGTGCGATGAAAATTGTCTCTACTTGAAAGGCGCAAAACCAAAGGAAATGGTTGTGGGTTTCCGGAGTGCAGATCTCAAAATAAAAAAAAAAAATTGAAGTGTAGAGAAAGTAGAGGCATATAAGTCCTTAAATTAAATGTCATCATTAATGATAAGCTGACATGGCATGAGCACGCCCAAATGCTGTATAAAAAATTCAACCAAATACTTGTCTATCTTTAAAAAAAAAATGTACAATTTCGGCGTAAACAAACTAGTTATTTACTTATTCTGGGTAATTAAGGGGAGAGACTGCAATCATGTTTAGCACAATATAAGATGAGTAAAACAGAGTAGGGTTAAACCTGAAAAATAAATACAAAAAAAAAAAAAAACGTTTATTTTGTCAGGTTTAACCCTACTCTGTTTTACTCATTGGGTAATTAAGGGGAGAGACTGCAATCATGTTTAACAAAATATAAGATGAGTAAAACAGAGTAGGGTTAAACCTGAAAAAAAAATACAAAAAAAAAAAAAAACGTTTATTTTGTCAGGTTTAACCCTACTCTGTTTTACTCATCTTATATTAACTTATTCTACAGTGCGAATGGAGGCCTTCTTAATTTCAGACGTTACCTGCTGGTGTAGAAATTCATGTGATATCAACACCGTCTAAACAGACTAATCAAGAAAGATAGCAACGGGACACATACTTAACAACCTTGACTTGAAGAACACTTTTGAAGAAAAATAGTATTGCAAAACTAAACAAATTTTGGATGATTACATACCACCCACTTCATGACAGATACTTAGGATCGGTCCGTTTTGGACGAATTCTTTCTCTTAATGCGGGGACTGAAAGATATAAAAATTCTTTTGTTCCCCAATATGTACGAATTTACCAGCGAGCTCCCCCCACAGGTCACAAAGTCTAAATAATCACCGATTAAGTCCTTATTATGATTAAGGGATTTCACTGAATGGCTGGGTTTTTTTTTTTTTTCTTTTTTTTTTGCATTAGAGAAATGATTTAATGTAGATTTCTTGTGTTGAAATTGTTTTATGCGGGAAATGTCGACTGTATTAAAATATGTATTTATTTATGTGCTGAAAATGTATATGTACAGTGAAATCAAGAAACATTTCCATTTGTTTGGATCGATAAAAGAATCTTATCTTATCTTAAATCGGTCTCACCATTCCTGTAGACCCCCATGCAACAGAGTCCGACGGTCGCCTTCATGTAACACACAGTATTCGGGCAGTTCTGAACTGGCGCAGTGACCACCTTCGTGCACATGGTCGGGTTTGTGTTTAAAGCTGACGGCATGGTGTTCACATTGTACACGTACTGGCCGTCAGTCCCAGTGGTCATGAGCACAAATAAGGCCGTGACCCCAAAAAGTAAGAAAAACCTGGACATGNAAAAGAAATTGGCCCTTTTGTTAATTTAAATTTTTATTTTATTATTTTTTTTTTTTGTTTGGGAAAAAGGGGGGGGGGGAAATTAGGTTTTGGAGACATTTGCCTATTTTTCTGAGACATTTGCCTATTTTTCTGAGACATTTTCCTAACTTTCTGAGACATTTTCCTAACTCTGATACACTTGCCTAACTTTCTGAGATATTTTCCTAACTTTAGGAAACATTTGCCTAACTTTCTGAGACATTTGCCTAACTTTATGAGACATTTTCCAAACTTCCTGAGACATTTTCTTAACTTTAAAAGTCATTTTCCAAACTTTCTGATACATTTTAGTTAAATAATCTCACACATGATTAAGTAATACATTTTAACTCTTTTGGATTTAAGACAGTGGTCAGATCATTTGTTGTGAAAACGTATGTACGTATCTTTCGAGAATTGTTCGTGTTCTTTAACGATCGATTATTCCTTTGAAATAACAAATAATAATAAGTGAGGCAATTTCGATCTAGAGAGTATTTCAACAAAATTTCTTTTTCAAACTGTGTAGGAAATAAATCTTATGTTATATATAAATACATTTAAATTCTTAGCAATCATACACCACCAAAAGAGGAATTTTTAGCGTGAAATATATTGTGTGCACTTCTTTGCAAAAGCAAATCTTTGATGAGAGCTAATCGCCTCTATTTTGTGTGATTAACCACATACTTTATGGCTATATAAAGAAAAGAAAAATAACAAGAAAAACAAATCTATTTAGAAATGCCATGCTCAAGGTATTTAAAAGAATAGATGCTACAGTGTGTATAATTTTTTTTTAATTTAAAAAAAATGCCATATTAAAATATATTATAAATGTGTTTTTTTGTGGATTTTTTTTAAAGATGAGCATGGAAAAATGATATTACACTGGAACGAAGATATTATTTAATATAAAAGATGGATATATCATCCGATGTGAATCCATTGTCCCGGGAATAAAATGCGGATTAACTATCCAATGTAGACCTCTTTGAAACAGAGCTGAATAAATTATCGCTTTTTATAATGTTAAAGAACTTACTAAACACAAAATCTGACGACAGTCTGATGATGTCCAGGAAGAGAAGAGATAAGAAAAAAAGCGTATATATATATCCCGATGTCAAACACAAGCCTTTGGCGGAAAGGGGGTGGGGTAGGGCTACCCCTAAATGTAAACAAAATATCGCACAGAAAATCGTCGTTGTATCCGTCGGCCAGGAGACGAGATTAAATATGTTTTGTTTTTTTTAATGAATATTTTGCAATTGTTCGTTAGTTATTATATCGATGATGTAAGACTTAAAATAAAAAGAAATCACCTAAATCATGTTTCAAAATACTGAAAAAATATACATAGTTACATTTCGTGTGTACGTATTTAAAACATTTATTTTTAAAAAATGAAGTCCCCGACTTCTGGATATGTTCCCACAGTCGTCATCTCACATTGTTAAAAACTGTTTGTTTTCTCAGTTGGGCAAACACGATCCCACAAAATGGCAGCCCAATATTTTCTTTGATATAAGAGTTTGTTCTCGTTTCTGTTTCCGATCGATGGATCGATCATCAGAAGTGCTTTACCTTGAGGGGCTACTGACCTACATCTAAGCAATACTAAAGGGATCTGTATGAAATTCGTGTTTACTAGTTTATCAAGCTGCACGCTTGAGGTGCACAAACTGTGGAAGCGTGCGTCTAGATGCGCACTTACGCACATTTAATATTCTCTTTGGCGTAAACTTTTTGTCTCCCAAAATATATTATTTATGGAATTTATGTATGTTAAAATATATATCACATTTTGCGTATACGATGGCAGGACAAAGTGCCTTACATAGATGTTTTGGAAGGTGCTAAAGTGTTAGAGTGTTCTCGGTTCTTAGGTAGATGCCCCTACGCTGGTTAGGCCATGTAAAGAGAATGGAGGAATGCCGTATTCCAAAGAATCTACTGTATGGAGGGTTGGCAGATGGGGCAAGTCCCGGGCAAGACTTATTGAACGGACACGGTTGCAATTTAAGGGCGTTTGCAATGGAACATGAGGGGAGCCAACATGGAAATAAACAACGGGGAGTTTATCGCGTGCACCGTACCAGCTGGTGAACAGCAGTGTATGAAGGAGTCAAACAGCAGTGTATGAAGGAGTCAAATAGCAGGGTATGAAGGAGTCAAACAGCAGTGTATGAAGGAGTCAAACAGCAGTGTATGAAGGAGTCAAACAGCAGTGTATGAAGGAGTCAAACAGCAGTGTATGAAGGAGTCAAACAGGCAGTGTATGAAGGAGTTAGGAGTAAAAAAGCAGGGTATGAAGGAGTAAAACAGCAGTGTATGAAGGAGTCAAACAGCAGTGTATGAAGGAGTCAAACAGCAGTGTATGAAGGAGTCAAACAGCAGTGTATGAAGGAGTCAAACAGGCAGTGTATGAAGGAGTCAAACAGCAGTGTATGAAGGAGTCAAACAGCAGTGTATGAAGGAGTCAAACAGCAGTGTATGAAGGAGTCAAACAGCAGTGTATGAAGTGCTCACATTTTTGGATACACTTTAATTGTTTTCTTTAAATAGTGACAATTGCAAGTCATAGAAACGTTTCGTGCTCTCAGCTTCTGAAGTATGGTTTTACGCTGAAAAAAAAATAAATTAAAAAATAGACATATCATATCAACCATTTCCGTAAGAAAGACAATGAATGTACAGTCTCAGAGTGGCCTTTAAAAAAAAATATAAAATGACTGTTGAATAAATTGCTCGAAATCCACAAATAAATACTTCATTATTGTACATGATTGATAGATTTTTTTTAAAAATTTTTAAAGAGTCTTTTTGCTTTAATTTGTAAATGACTACAGGAGTAAATATGGTTTACAATATACCCATAGCCAAAGAAGACAATTATGTTTAAAAATACAGGTTTAAAAAATGTATGTGCAATGAAGCTTATTGTGCATGTAAATATATTTTCTTAGAAAGTCTCAAAATATCTCTTAACAGTACATTAGCTTGATCTAAAGCTTCTAAACAACTCTGTTACCAGGTAATGAAGCTAAGTCTCGCATATCCTTAAGTATAAAATATTTAATGAGGGGGGGTACGGGGGGGGGGATCCACCCTATTACTGTACTTGGAGCATTGTGGCAGTTCTTTTATATTGACATATATCCATTCTTTTGCTGCCCTCTCGGACACTACTTCTCAGCTAAGTGCTATTTTTAATTTTCTTCTGTTTCTTTCTGTTGTTTGTTCGCTGACAAAGGCTTCCTGCCGACACGTTCGTTGTTTTGTTGTGTTCCTTTTTTTTTCAGGTTTGACCTTAATTTGTTTTACTCATTTCCAGTTGTCCCTACTCTGTGCATAATTCTTTTTTCACCATCTATACTTTATCCGTAATCTATACTTTTTCTATAATCTATACTTTTTCCATTATCTATATAGTTATCTTTTGAATTCTTTTCTAGATAGTGTATCAATTTTTTTTTAACATTTATATTTTCAAATCGAGGGTTGCATTTAAAAAAAGAACAAAATTGACAAAGGTGCAGCAAATAGTTGTTTATTCTCATTTGGAGATCAGGAAGTTGGTCAAATTGAAAGGCAAGATTTCACACGCAGAGATCACTCAATGGTCAGTGTTGGTCACCTGTGACCTGCTGATCATGAATGATTGTTCTGTTATCAGGGGGTGGGCAAGTGAACAAATTTTCAGCTCAGCTGGAGATCATGAAGTGGGACAAAACTGGGATGCAAGATTTGACCCCCCAGACAAACAAACAGACAGACAAAGTCGAGAGCTAAATAAAAGCCTTCAAAGAGTTTTGTGGAAAAACTGTCCCACTTCTACATTAAGGAATGAAGTTGGTTTTTTTTTTTTTGTTTTTTTTTTCTTTTTAAAAAAATATATGAGTTTTGATAAGTTGAAATCTAAGACAAAAATTTTCCCTTTTTTGGAACCTATTATTTAGCACAATATCAGACTGCGTTNTGCTCTTATAGCCAAGACAGCTGTTTCAAATGGTGACATTTTATTGATGTTCGCCCATTTCGGTATAAGTGAATGTGAATGTGAAATGTTCAATAATGAAACGTATTTGAGAAGTTCAAGGACAGGACTATTATTGAGTGTGTGCTATCCACGTGTGCTAAGTGGATAAATAAATAAAGTTTTGTTGAAAATATTCGGAATTTCTTGAATAAAAACATTTTAAAAATTTCTTGATTAATCAAAAGTTTATTTGGTTTATCGACATCGGAATTATAAGAACGTGTTGCTATCCATTTGTTTTACCGTAAACGTATCATTCTACCAGGAACTTCCTGATTTCGTTCTACAGGGACCTCGTGGGTATTACTTAAGAACTCTTTCATATCCACGTGTCTCTAGTATAAATAGAGACCAAAGTGTATTGAAATAAACTTATTGGCTTAATTTTTTTAATAGAAGTATTGAAAATAAAAATAATAGCTCCTCTAAAATATTATATTTTTTTTTTTAATAAGTTACTGATTAAAATAATTATATATTTTCAGCAGGATTTTAGGAAAATTCCGTATTTATTTTAATGATTTCCCCCAGACAATTTTGCAATAATTTAAAGTTCACAACCCATCACCGACGACTTCCTTTGATTTGTTTCGCAGATAAAGTTATCTCAATCCACCTTTTAAAATTTCAGTTTCAAGAAACTTCGTTCGAATGAAAGTGTGGGGCAATGGAAGAATCAGCAAAAAGTTTATATTAGGTAAATAAATGTTGAATATGCCTCTGAATATAACGTATTCTCCTTCAGTGTTCTAACTCAAACAACAGAGTAAGGCGCAGCTCTTACAAGCTGAAGTGTTCAATTGTTCTGTTAGTCACATTTCGTCTTGAAAACTCTAAATCCATACCCCAATTATTTTCGCAATCGTCATCTCCTTTATGAATTACTTCTAAACTGATTCCAGTGTCTTCTCTGAGATATTTCTATAAATAGTCCAATTTAGAAGCAAAGTCTTGAAGATGTTCACGAATTCTATTTGCGTTTGCCTCGCGTTAAACCACAACATTTTTTTGTTGCGAAATGTGAAAGTTCTTTGTGAGACTCCATCATGTTCATCAAAACTCCTCGTATCGAGGCAAGCCATACTTGAAGCTTTTTGGCCCACTTCGTTTACCAAAACTATTCACACCGCCGTCAATACAAGATTTTTAGACGAAGTGTTTCAATTGGATCAAACTATGATTCATCATCTGCCATTTTTTTTTTTACATCAAGCACTTTTCGTTTTCTAGAACTCGGAATTCTTCTGTAGTTCTTTATCTTGTTGGGCGTTCTCCCATTTGGTGAAATAGGGGGAAGCTCTCTATGCAGCGGGGAATTCTTGTGAAATGTTACTAAATTTCTCAAATATCATTTCAGTCAACAAATCAAATCATGTTGTTTCAAAAATATTTCTTTTAGGATGACTTGTTTGGTGAGAGAAAATTTCGCCAACAATTTTTTGCGGTTTAAAATAGTTCTGCAAGATAATAATAAAACACTTCAAATATTTCACTTTGAATCGTACATCCTTATTTGAATCTTAGATCCCTATTTAATTTTCATAGTGTTCGATTTTTTAAAAAAATTCCAGCTGTAATTACGAATAATCGATCATTTGGGTCATCAAAATTTTACACAGATTTTATCCAACAGGTCATCATTCAACCACCATTTAGTAGTTCAAAGGCTCATTTTCTGCTATAAACTAACAATTTTAAAAAAAAAAAATTTTCCCTAGCGGACAAACGTCGTAGCATTGGATTAGCCCGGAGAACTATCGGCCCATCGAACGGCGCCCGATCGTCCAATTAGGTTGATCCGCCCCTGCAAGACTATGCTAAAATTGCTACAAAAGTGTTGCGACTCACTGGTCCTGTAGAGCCCCATGCAGCACTGAGTCCTGGTGACTGACGAGTAGCACAGCGTAGCGGGGCACGTCCGGTAGTTGCTGACGATGGTGGTGCAGTAGTTTGGGGTGTTGTAGTAGGTGCTGCCGTTGACGATCGGGAGGAGCTGGGGTGTCACCGCAGGTGTGAGGATGACCATCACGACAACCCGGAGGACCAACCCTCTCAGCGCGGCAGCCATCATCTTTAGGACAGCTTTCCTTGCACGTTTTTTTTTCTTCACTTTTTTTCTCTTTTGTTAATATTTTGTGTCCTTTACTTTTGGTGGTGTTTACAAGGACTGAGAGCTTCTGTGGCGGTCTACGGGCGTCATACGCTTCAACCCATACCAATGGCCGAGAAGTCGGATTCAGAATCATGTTTAAAGGAAAAACGCTACCGAAGTGAAATACCCCTTTTTTTTTAAATAGGGTGCGGGCGGGGGGCAGGGGTAGCACACGCCCCTTGGGGTGCTGTTGTTGTAATCGAATTTGAAGTCGTGGAGCAGGTATCGAAGTCATTTTTTTTAACTGACATTTATTAGGCCAGCTTGATTTTTTTTTTTTGACTGAAATGCTTTTAATTGGACTCTTTCGTTTTCCTGACACACCCCAATAGTTTCATTGGTTACATTTTTTTTAATCATTCACGGTAGGGTGGGGGGGGGTATATATTTTCAAGGTCATTCGGTCAAAATAGTTGCAAATTCAGGACACTGGTTCTCAAGCGTAAATTTCTACGTATACCAGAATCAAGCGTTTCTTTGTCTTCTAGTCTTTTAATTTTCTTTTTGTTCTAAGTACATATCTTTTTTTTTTTTTTGTTTAAGAATCAATAATTAATTACATTTTATTTAATTTTTTATTCGCGACAGAAAGTTTACTCCTACGGTGAGGTCGGATAAATTAATGGATGTCGTAAAAAATTTTGGTCAAAATAGTTGCAAATTCAGGACACTGGTTCTCAAGCGTAAATTTCTACGTATACCAGAATCAAGCGTTTCTTTGTCTTCTAGTTTTTTAATTTTTTTTTTGTTCTAAGTACATATCTTTTTTTTTTTTTTTGTTTAAGAATCAATAATTAATTACATTTTATTTAATTTTTTATTCGCGACAGAAAGTTTACTCCTACGGTGAGGTCGGATAAATTAATGGATGTCGTAAAAAATTATTGTCTAACCTCGCGGCACGCGTGTCTGACTTGACACGATTAGCGATTTTCATTAACACGTGGATGAAAAAAAAAATTATTGTAACTGGCTTTAAAAAAATGCGTCTTCAGTGGAAGAGTACACGTTGTTGGCACGGTGTTTAAATTAGAAGTCTTATTGTGACACGCTGAATGAATTAGAAGTCTTACTTCGGCACGTTGTTGCCAAAAGGTTTCCGACCCCCCCAGCTCTACGGGATTAGTCGGGTTCGTCCACTAGCAATATTCTAGGGGTCGTAAGAAAAGAGAAGCCAAGCAAACGCAGTAGGTTTTACACAATGTTAAAAAAAAAAAAAAGATTTAAAAGGAGAGCTCAATGAGCAAAAAAAAAAAAAAAAAAAAAAAAAAAATTGAAACTTATATTTCAATTAGTATAACCAAGAAATGAATCACAATTGATAGTTTAATATTTGTGGTTATCTCCTTATAAGGTAGTGAAAAACTTAATGAAAATTGAGGGTGAATCAAAAAAAAAAAATAGAGATTTTATGAAACTTATATTTCAATTAGTATAACCAAGAAATGAATCACAATTGATAGTTTAATATTTGTGGTTATCTCCTTATAAGGTAGTGAAAAACTTAATGAAAATTGAGGGTGAATCAAAAAAAAAAAATAGAGATTTTATGAAACTTATATTTCAATTAGTATAACCAAGAAATGAATCACAATTGATAGTTTAATATTTGTGGTTATCTCCTTATAAGGTAGTGAAAAACTTAATGAAAATTGAGGGTGAATCAAAAAAAAAAAAATGGGCGTTATGCGTAAAAAAAAAAAAATTATTCAAAAAAAAAACAAGAACAACTTATCTTATAAATCATAATTGTGTCCTCTCTCAAACTATGGGGGGTCTCTCAGGCTCAAGTTGAGATGCATTGCTTTTTACTTAAAGAAATCTGACGCTTCGAGGCTATGCTTTCTATTCTGATTGAACTTCTGTCAACAGCACAGCAGGAAACAAGATCGCTACACATCGAGTAGAGAGAATGGTTAGAGACTTGGAAGTAGTTTTAAAATAGTGGTGGCGTATCTAGGGCAGGCCTGCACAACATACGGCCCGCGGACCACATGCGGCCCGCCAGCACCCACTTTGGGACCCGCAAAGTAACGAAATATTCTTTATACTTATTATTTTCTTAACAGCTTTCCCCACTGTTCTATTTTTTTTTATTTGGCCCGCACACGTTTTTTGATAAAGTATTACGGCCCGCCGTGCATGTTGAGTTGTGCTGGCCCAATCTAGAGGTATGAAAGGATGAGTAAATGCATACATCACTACGTTAAATTGTGCACCAAACATGATGTGGGTGTAACAAATAGGTGTCATTTTCCTGATAGGTGTCGTAAAAGGGTGTCATATGTGTGGTAGGTGTCATAAATATTAACGTAAACTTATGGGGGGGGGGAAGAAGGGGGGTGGGGTAAAAATCTGTTTTTTTTAAATAAGATTTGTTATTTTAAATGCATTCACCGGTTTTAGGGTGTCTTGATCAAAACTAGGTGTGCCCCTAGTCAAAGAGCAGCCAAAATTTCAAAATTTTAACTCGCGTCTTGAGATTCCTTATCTTTAGACCGTAATGCGGCTTCCAACCGGTTAACTCATATTCCTCTTCAAAAATTCCGGTACACATAAATAAATCAATAACACTTCCTCCGTCTCACCTGGTGACTAGGGGAGCAGCCTTTGACTTTCTCCACTGGGGTAAATATGTAATCTGGAAACCAAAAAGACAGGTAGGAATGCCTATCATAGTGACGAAATAAATATGTACAAGACCCGCTTAAAAAATATAAGATATTTTTTTTTAATAAACATACACATGACACAAACATCCACTACATTTTTAAAAAGATGATTTTATGGCTTAATGTATGTCATTTTTTTTTAAGTGAGTGCATATAGAGGAAAGATGCAGCGACATTGGGAAATGAATTGGTTCCTCCATTTTCAACGAACTAACGCAAATATTCTGGTGAGGGTCTGAGATTATTCTCTGATGACCCCCGGCTAGCACATTGGCTACGAGCTCCATCTGTTGAGCAGAGCCATGTAGCATTCTCCTCAGGTAGGGCTCTCCCGCCGCCCAGGCCTCCGTCGAAACATCTAGTGATGGACGTTTGGTCAACAGGTGCGCTAGTGATTCCGCGACGCAGGCTGCAATGCCGGCAGGTAGGTCCCTGTCATGATCTAGCCTACTTTCAACCAAATTGTTGGATTGCGACATAATTACTCTTCCTTGAATAATGGTTATTGCAAAACTATAAAACTGCTTAATTCAAAGGTTTTTTGTATAATTTTCATGGGTTTAAATTATTTTAAATTACTATAACCAGTGATAACGCTCCACGTGTCAGGCTTTTACAACATGCGTATCAAATGCATCGTGTGTAATAAATGTATTAAAAGCTCATTAACGTTTAGAAGTTCTACAATTGTAAAAATTTTTCCTCTTGTCTTATATTTCAGTAGCTCCAAACCTGTGCTCCTTTCAGGGAATTGAATTTTGAAAAAGTTGATGTAAACTTGTAAGACATCTGGCAGGTCTAGGGAGGTTCCACATAGAAAATTGTTCTAAATACGAAACCAAAATAAACAAATTTGTTTTTAAGGTTTGGGAACCACTGCTCTAGTTAATACCAACTCAGCCTAAACAGGGGTCACACGCTGTCAATGACAACAAAGAATACGTAACTTTGATTGAATTATTTATTTTTTTCTTAAGGGATGTCTAATAAAAAGGAAATTCCAGGAGCTGGGCGTTGTCCGTCCTCCGTCATATTTCAGACCTTGACCGTGGCTAGAGTTTAATTCAAGGCTCACCCCTGCACATTTTGTTCACAGGTGCCGACGCTGGCGCTGCATCTGCACTGTGGAAGGTAAGCGATCAGTCCGGGAGCTGTAATGAAAAAAAAATAGAATTGATTCAACTTGGAACTTATTACAGTGATGAATATGATTGTTCGCTAGTTCGACCCTGGGCAACATTAAATCAAATGACCTCCCTCAAAAACAGGACTTCATCCATATCCTGTAGCCTTATTTTCGAATCAACCTTTTATGTTTTTCAACATATGACTGATAAATTTTTAAAAAGTCTATCGATATCGCATTTTTGGTCGCCTATTCACTGACCGAATCAAATGACAGTCTACATTTTATTTTATTTATCCTTACAATCACAAATGAAGATAGTCTCTCCAAAAAAAAAAAAACCCTTTTGACGATTACGGTCTTAATAAACTGTAATGTCTTGTGTTGCATTCTTTTCTCCCCATAATGCTTACAACTTGTTAAGTCCTACCAACCCATATGTTGATCCGATGACGAGGGGGTCCCTAAACCGTGTAGGGGTCCCTAGGCGCGTGCCCCCATTGGCGTTTAGTTAACCCGGCTCTGAGCGTTACGCTTCGGGTAATGATCGCAAAATGATCTCATCAAAACAATGGTTGCCTTTCGGTTTATCAAAAATTATACAGTCTTTCAAATCTCATAATGAGCATTTCAAGTCTCATAATGAGCATTTCAAGTCTCATAATTAGCATTTCAAGTCTCAAAATGAGCATTTCAAGTCTCATAATTAGCATTTCAAGTCTCATAATGAGCATTTCAAGTCTCATAATTAGCATTTCAAGTCTCATAATGAGCATTTCAAGTCTCATAATGAGCATTTCAAGTCTCATAATGAGCATTTCAAGTCTCATAATGAGCATTTCAAGTCTCATAATGAGCATTTCAAGTCTCATAATGAGCATTTCAAGTCTCATAATGAGCATTTCAAGTCTCATAATGAGCATGCCTTCAGATAGAATTTGCATAAAATTGGTGTGTTTTAATTCTCTGAAGCGTGGCGCAAATTGAGGAAGGGGTGGGGCACGGTGTCCTTGCGCTTTAAAATGTTCAAAATTGTCGATCAAATTTTAATTTAAAAGTGATTTATGAAGTGACATCTAGTGGATCTGGCTTCGGGGGGAGGGGGGCCAATTGCATAAGCCGCTGCAAAAATGCTTTTTTTTAAAACTATTAATGATATCTAATTTTGTTGTATTTTCTCGAAATTTCTCGGTACTCTGTTGTTGAACAAGTTTTCAGAGATGGTAACAGCTAAAATTTGGTGTCCTTAAATCAATTGAAGTTACTGAACTACATATGTCCCGTTTGGATTCTTTAAAATGGGTGGTTGTTATTGAAAAGGTGAGTTTTTTTAAATAAAGAGGGCATTGAGTCCAATTCGGACAAGAGTGTGATGACGCGTCGATAGTACGACATGCATTGGGGACTTTGTTTTATGATTGCAGACGTCACTTGTGAAGATAGATCTCAGAGTCATTTTTAAAACGGGAATCGCTTTTTCGCAGTATACTTGTTATAATAAGACACAGGGCGATTTGGGGAAAAATCTGGATTCAGCATGGGCCCCGTGAACGTTTGTGAACCACTGCCCTAGTGAATAAGGGTAATAAGGGGAGAGAGTGCAATCACGTTAGCACAATGTAAAATGAGTAGAACAAAGTAGGGTAAAACCTGAAAAAAAAGAACGCAACAAAACAACGAATGTGTCGGCAGAAATCCTTCGTCAGTGAACAAAACAACAGAAAAAAACGGTATAAAAATAAAATTAAAATTAAAAAATAGCACTTAGCATAGAAGTAGTATCCGTGGGCAGCAAAAGAAATGTGACAGACAGTAAGTGAGTTAGAGATTAAATAGGGAAGAGCGAAAAAAAAAAAAAGAGGAGAAGTAAGTCCACTGCAATAGGTCGGGGGTTGGAGGGGCGGAGCGTGGTTCAAGCTGTGAAAAGAGACATGACATTAATCCCATGTGGCGTCAATGTGCCATAAGTCAGGATAAGCTTGTGTTCCAAATTCACCCCAGTGAATAAACTTTCCGAGAAGTTTTAAATATCCTAGAGCACTTACCGTCTATTAGAAATTGCCTTGATAATGTCAGGCAGCATGAGGCTCTTGTCGTGGATGAGTAGCAGGGGTCAGGCACTAAACAGAACTTTGGCATGTCGGCGGTGACGGCGCTGCAATACTGGGGCATGTCGTGGAAGAAGGGAGCCGCAGTGGTGGTTCTAGCGGCGCGAGTTGTTCGTCTTGTGTTGGTGGTTGGGGGTGGCGTGCTGGTGGTTGGGGGTGGCGTGCTGGTGGTTGGGGGTGGCGTTCTGGTGGCTGAGGGACCTCCAACTGGAGGGTACGTGTTACAGTTGATATTGTTGTTACACTTGCATTGTTGGTACAGGGCACCAGTCGCTGAAACAAAAAGGGGAGAAAATGTTTAAATCGAGATTTTTTATTTTTTTTTAAGTAAGTTCTTACTTGATCTTCTACCCATCAGGAAGAACCACAAGGGAGGTAACGCTGAAACGGAGTGGTGGGCGGGGTTGAGGAGAATTTTAAATTAACAGAAGATATTCAAAACGCATTTAAATTAACTAAAAGAGTTTTTGCTAGTTGGTCGACATGAGATTTGCCATTTATTGTTTAACCAACTTTCCGCGTTTCTTATCCAATGCAGACTAAAAATCTCTCACCAAATTCATAGTGCTCATCTGTTAATCTGTACATCAATGTTAACCAGAACCAAATTGATTCCATGTTAAGACGCGCACACAAAAAAAAAAAAAAAACACAACATCTTCCTCTTTTCGCTGATTAGTTTAGGCCCACGAACAAAAGTGATTACTTTTTCTTGTTATTAACTTAACATTTCTTGAAAACATTCGCGTATTCATCTGTTAATCTGTACATCAATGTTAACCAGAACCAAATGGATTCCATGTTAAGACGCGCACACAAAAAAAAAAAAAACACAACATCTTCCTCTTTTCGCTGATTAGTTTAGGCCCACGAACAAAAGTGATTACTTTTTCTTGTTATTAACTTAACATTTCTTGAAAACATTCGCGTATATGTGTTGGGCAAGGAAGATTTTCCCCACGTTCTGTTGTCACTGAACAGAATCTTTCAATGATGTGAAAAAATGATTTTAAACCACTGGTCTCACAGCGCTTCTATCACTTGTAAATAGACTGCCTTGCCAAGATGATCCACGCTCAACTTTTTTTTTTTTAACGAACGATTTCCGACTAATGATTTTACAACTAGATCTAGTAAAAAATACTTCTTGCTAATGATAATGCTAGTGGTAGATTGAAAGTGTTATCTTACTAGATCTGTAGATTCCCATACAGCATTGTCCCCGGGTGTTGGAGGCGAAACAAGGCTGGGGCGGGCAGGTCTGCAGTTGCGGTACCAGGGTGGTGCAGTAGATCGGTGTGCTGTAGAAGAAGACGTCTCCCATAGATTCGGCGGCCGTGAGCTGACCGTTGGTGCCAGCCACGACCATGTTAAGCAGTGCGACTCCCAGGAGGTATCTCATTTTTTTAAAGGATGCCTGAACACAATTTTCAATGAAGTTTCAAAATCAGTTTTGGGATCTGTTGTAAAGATTATGCTAGCATGACAGGCTTATATACAAAATAATTCAAAAGTTGAACAATCACACCCGGAAACTGTATCGGTGAAATCATTTCTTTATTGGTGACATTTGATTGGATGTTAATCGTGTATGGATGGGCCAGTTATTTGCACCAATAATTTAGCACCCTTGCATATCCTTATCAAACAATGACACTCTATCTAGTAAGTAATACTTTTGAGGAAGTATGAAATATATCAATTTCAACATTAAAAAAAGACGTGGCGATCTATGATGCCATTCATGGTTCCAGGAACCTACGGACAGTCAGGAAGAAGATCCTTTTTGTTGATAAATATATTTTCAATGTAGTGTTACAAAATGAACCCTACATTAGAATAATGACAAAAAAAATATTTCTTTTTTTATAGATAGGAGCCACATTGCCTGATGCTGGTGACAAGGTGGGAGGGTAGGAGTAGAGGGGTGGGTCAAGGTGGGCGTGTCGAATACAGAATAATGACTATGGATAAGAAAAAAAACATTATGGGAGAAAAAAAATTGAATATTGGCACTTAATAACACGAAATATAAAATCTTTGATTAAACTTAATGTCACACTTAATCCTCCATATAAAATACCATTAAGTATCATTATTATTACTAATAAAGATCCAAAAAGTATTTTTAGGTAGATTCTTAATTTGAAGCTGTATTTCAGAAGTGCGTTTTCTTGATATTTTCTTACTTGTCCACCCAAAGAAAGGTAACGAGGAGTACGATGTAAGAAAGAGGTCATGAGATTTTTGGCCCAGAATTGAGCTGGGGTGATTTCCTCTCGCTATAACGCATTGCACTTTTTTTTTTTTTTTTAAGTTATTCCCCGGTCCACTTGTCTGGAGAATTCTACCAAATTTTGAATAGGGAAGTACTCCAGGGGTATACATGTTCGGATTCATAGAATCGAGGGGGCGTAGGGGTGCTCAGAAACCTGAAGCTGGACATATGAGATTTTTGGCCCAGAATTGAGCTGGGGTGATTTCCTCTCGCTATAACGCATTGCACTTTTTTTTTTTTTTTTAAGTTATTCCCCGGTCCACTTGTCTGGAGAATTCTACCAAATTCTGAATAGGGAAGTACTCCAGGGGTATACATGTTCGGATTCATAGAATCGAGAGGGCGTAGGTGTGCTCAGAAACCTGAAGCTGGACAACGTTCAGCGCGAGTACGTACACGAGCGAGTGGCCACGGGTGTACATATTCGTGAATTTCGGCAGCTGTGTTTGAAGAAGAGGGTAAGATATCACCCACCCGGACGTGTTTTTTTTTCTTCCCGCTCGGCACAATATTTCCCCATTTGTTTAACCATAGAATTATCACATTACCGTCCTTGGATCTGTTGATTTCTTTTTTTTGAGTTGCGTTCCTTGAAATGTATGCCACGTCACGTACACGTGTGAACCTTTGAGGCGGTGCAACTAGAGCAGCGGTGTTTGGCAGCGGGTGCCCCTAGGTCACGTGATTAGCCTTTAGAGAGATTGTGATGTGGGGACATGTCTTGACGAAAAGGTGGGGGCTGGTACTTGATGGACGTACTTTTTTTTTTCAGTCAGAAATTATTTTTTTTAACTTACATCATGGACTGAAAACCAGTTGAGGAGAAGACTTCATTTGCCGAGGTCTGCTCCAGCACAGCTCCGGACAAACACGTCACCTCAAGGTCATGCATTCTTTGGAAGGGTTGCGTCAATCAACAGGTACCCAGTAACATCTTACGATTAATGGTATTATAATAAAGTACAATCAAGACATGGGATGTCAATATAGGTCATGGGCTCTTAAACTGCTGTCCAGGGATTTTTTCTGTCTGTGAAAAAAGCTTTCAGAGGGTCCGTTACATTTAGAAAATTTAATATTCTAAGAATGGGTCCGTGGCTTTGATCTTCCTGTCATTGTGGTTCACGGGACGAAAAAAAAAAAGTTTAAGAACCCCTGATCTAAATGGTGGTAATAGTGTCTTTGTAAGTTGGATGTTTTGATGGGATTGATTTGTACTTGCACCAAATTAGATATACGCAAGACTCTAAACGTACTATACTAAACCTACCTCGATTCTCCTTTTTACAGTATACTCTTGCCCTGTTTCCTTTTCCTGTTACGTCGTGAATACGTAATGACACAGATTTACATTGTTCAACGAGAGGAGAATTTCCCCGAGGATTGGACGGTTTAATGGTGGCGATCTGAAGTTAATTTGCTGGTTTCTTCGCCAAGCTACAATTATATTTGGGGGTTCGCGTAGGTGCAGATCGCTTCTGTTTCTTCACCCAGTTATTGTAATAATGGTTCTCCCGTAACCCAAATAGTAATTAAATAGGTATGATTTATTACATATATTACATAATAAGTTCTCTTAAATGTTAAATTTCAAATTTCTTCCAGAGCAAATTACATAATAATTTGTGGCCCATTGATAGTTAATGAACCACTGGGCCTTTCGGTCAAATTATCCTTTTTTTTTTATCAAAGTACTGTATTGTTAACTGCCTAGAAATGTCAATTTCCACGCGCACTTCCTTCCATCTTTAAGCTATGTAAGAAAGAGTCTTGCTCAACATATTTATCTTTGTGTGTGTGTGTCATTACCCCTCAGCTTCAGAAATAACCAGATTTCACATGACAGTCTGGATTTATAGAAGCGCTCAATCTTTTGAGACATTTCTGCTGCGATTCGATTAAATCCCATATCTTCTGATCAAAGATATGCATAAAATGTTGTTGTTGTTGTTTTTTTTTTTAATGTTTCAAGTTAAATAACAGTGGACTAGGCTTCGATGAAAACTTCATAGTTTGACATGCTTTAAAGAACTGAAATGGCGGGTCTTATTCACAAGGCGTGACCCAAGTTGTTGGTTGCACGCTATGGGTGGTCTCAGTTTTCATTAAAAATGTGTACACTGTTGTTTTGGCGATGAGATTTCTGAAATGTTCACAATTTGTTATTATGTTCTTAAAAATTGTTTTTAAAAAATGCGTCATAGTTTTTGGAGCAACTAGCAGTATGCAATTATCACCAGCTTCGTTTCAGCTCGATGCAAAAAAAAACCCTTCTGGAGAACAGCGCCGCTCCACAACCCTGAAGACCCCTTCTGGAGAGCAGCGCCGCTCCACAACCCTTATGACCCCCCTTCTGGAGAGCAGCGCCGCTCCACAACCCTGATGACCCCCTTCTGGAGAGCAGCGCCGCTCCACAACCCTGATGACCCCCTTCTGGATAGCAGCGCCGCTCCACAACCCTGATGACCCCCTTCTGGAGAGCAGCGCCGCTCCACAACCCTGATGAAAACAGTAGACGAGCAAATATTCTCAATTGTGTTATCATCATCACTCCCTACACAAATCACAGAATATTACTCTGACTCGACAAATGAATCGGACGTCTCATGGTTTTTTTTTTTCAGTTGACTTTTTTGTGTGTGCATATTTGCAATGGACTACTTTCCTCGGCATCAAGCACCAATCAGCGCATTGCTAACTAAATGATTGTTTGTATTAAAATACGAATACCTTGATTTACAGAGTGACAAGTTAAATCCAACAGCTTTTTGGGAACCATTGCCCTATTGCAGTGTTCGCACAACTAAATTCCTATCTTAATTAAACATTAACACAAAATAATAAAGTTCACAAGTAGCCTTCGAAATTTAAGTATACTATAGATCTAGCAGGCCTGCACAACGTACGGCCCGCAGGGGGTATTCGGCCCGCAGGCAGTATTCGGCCCACCAGCCCACGAAGATCTTGGTGACAATTCATAATATTATACATAAAAATAATATTCCCTAGCTTATTGATTTACAACATTACGAAAGGTATACATACAGAAAAATAATATATATACTTATTTTATTTTTAAATAATCAATAAATTTATAATATTTTTATTTATTTAATTTTTTTTTCTTTAGGGGGGGGTGGATTTTTCGCCATGTATACTTGAAATTATTAAATAAATTAAATGAAATTACTAAATATTTATCGTTGTGTAAATATTCCCTATATGTTTTCTTTCCTCATAACAATGTGGACTCCATTCGTTCTTTGAGAGCGTTCACAAAAGCTTTCTTAATGACATAGTAAAGAATATACTACTCTGATATGGTAAAGAATATACCACTCTGAAATGGTAAAGAATACACCACTCAGATATAGTAAAGAATATACCACTCTGATATAGTAAAGAATACACCACTCAGATATAGTAAAGAATATACCACTCTGATATGGTAAAGAATACACCACTCTGCTTTAGTAAAGAATATGCCACTCTGATAGAAAGGTATCATCGAACATTTAACTTAAACCTCCAGGGACCCCCCTCCCCCCCAAAAAAAAAAAAATAACAAAAAAAAAACTGACATTTGTTCAAATCAGCAAACATATTAAGTATGGGGTGTAACGTGTAAGTTGGTGCATTAACAAAACATTGTTTGCACATTCTTATATAATAATTTATAATGGTATTTGCGGATGGACAAGGGATACCAATCAAAATGTGTGAGGGCCGTTGCGCCAAAGCAGTAGTCTCCCACCTAATTTTCGTTCAAAAGTAGTATCATAAATAATAAATGGCACTAGCAGCATTTTGACATTAAAGTTCGGTAGATCCAGGTCAATGCGAAAATACCCCAGGCACCAACCACGGCACAGAGCTGAGATGGCATTCCTGTTTTAAGTTATTTGGACACTAGCGCGTGGACAACGCATCCACGCTGTTGCGCGAGTAAAATACGGCTACAGGTGCACAAGCTATAACATTGGTTCCACTCTACGTTTGTTTGTTTGTTTGCATTTGGAGCGCACGTGACCAAGCTTGTTAGAGCCATAAAGCCCACCCACCCCCACCCCCGTTTTTTTCAAACAGCTTGTTGTCTCCAGCATAACGAGCATTAAAAAAAAAAAAAACCTTACTAAACTTACTGTCGACATCATTGGTCTCTCAAGATCCTGGTAGATTGGAAACAACGTTGGAAAAAGGGGTGTGGGAGTGGGGTTGTTGTTTGTTGTTGTTTTTTTTGGAAGGGGGGGGGGGTTGTTGTTGTTTTTTTTTTAGATTACCTTTAACTCCGACCGCCAACTTCTACAGCTGTTCACGGGACACAAAAAAAGATGTTTTATTTATTTATTTAGGCGTTTTTATATAGCGCTTACCATAAAGCTCTAAGCGCTTTACAATTATTAAAAACATGTGAACTAAGTAAAATAAAAAATGAGACACTAGGATAGTAACTACTATACTATAGAAACAATTAAAATGGCTATAAAATGTTTCTAGTTTTCCAAACGGTTAATGTATCTTGAAGACAAAGTTAAATTTCTGAAGGTTTTATTAGTCTTGGTGGGTCTTTTTTTAGTCGATGTTATATAAAGGGTGGCCCAGAAAAGGTGATAACATCTCTTACAATGTCATATAATAATTACATCAACATAATTTGTTAAATTTATTCAATTACTGATTTACTTATGTACCTATATTTAACTAAATGATATCATAATCATGACAGTTTTCGGTGGCCATAAATGACAAAACATTATAGCAATTCATTTGTATTGAATAACCCTTTGCTATGAGATGTTCTCATTTGTTTTGGTCCACCCTGTATATATATATATATATATATATATATATATATATATTAGATATTCCCTGTCTGTCAGCCATTGTCGCGACTCTCATTTGATCGTATAACGTTAATTCATAAAGTAAAGTCGCTACCCAGCTGTGACTGCTAGTCTTAGAGATGACCCAAGCCATAACTGTAACACAAACCTGAGTCATAAAGCCACGAGTCATAAAGCCAGAGTCATAAAGCCACTGGGGTCAATACTCACTCGGAACATCCGAGCTTCAACTGTTGTAAAGGCATAAGCACTGGAATGTAATACTCGCTGGGGGAAATCCGGAGGTCCCACAGTTGCAAGAGCGTAACCACTAGGAACTTTCGGCGTCCCACATTCGTAACGGCCTAACCCCTGGGGTTAGTAGTAACAAGAAACGAAGCCATTTAATACAAAGTGGGGGGGGTGGGAGTGTAATTTTAGTTTTATTGTTGCAAATGTAATAGTTATATGACCACCCCCCCCCTCCAACCCACCCACAATCACCCTGTTGGGGTTAGTAGTAACAAAAAACGAAGCCATTTAATACAAAGTGGGGGGGGGGGGAGTGTAATTTTAGTTTTATTGTTGCAAATGTAATAGTTATATGCCCACCCCCCCCCTCCAACCCACCCAAAATCACCCTGAGAGCAAAATAAAAAAATGTGTAATTGTCTATGTCTGTCTGTTTCAAGACACTTATGGAAAGTTCTCTTCTGGAGTTGGGAACGGGGAAGTGGCGTCGATCCTGAGTATAACTGTAATCGTATTTTCCACTGGTGACTGGCTCCCGATGAGATCATATCATTAACCTGGATTCTTCCCAGCGCGAGTGTTATGTTAACATTCCTTCTTTATTCCTCTTGTTATTAACTCAATTGTTCTAACGCGCAGCTTCATCGGTAGTCATCCTAACTTAGTCGAACGGGACGCCGAGATCATTCTCAGAAAATCCCCGCACTGCGAAGGCCGGGATCGGTCTAGGTGACTCCAGCTAAGAAGTGGATGTCTTGCCAATGTTGTGACTAGAAGAATTGGACTGTTTTCGCTATGGTGTTTCCGTAGGGGAATCCTTATTCCTGGATCACGTCACAGGGGGGGCGTAGCATGCAATACTTTATATACAGATATGGACGCTGTGTAACATTGGAGGTATTTCTTTTTTAAGAAAGTGTGTTCAATTATGGAAGCATTGTAATATTGTGGTAGTAGAATTACGTCACGTTGATATCCTGGAGACGATCTAGCCATTCAGGGACAACCAGCTTTTGATAAAACCACAGTGTGATGCCCGGATTTTCATATTGAAGTGTCTGCTCGTGGGACATCTGTTATGAAAGCTTTCCCGGACAGTTTGATTTCAATATGGCCTTTTGAAGAAAATAAGCTAAGTTTCCTTTACGGAATGAAAGATAGGGTCATTTGTGGCTCTCTGTGGTCAGACAGTCGTTGTTTTGATTATTTCTATTGCAGTTTTCTTTTCACTTTTGCAATTATTCTTATTTAAGTTTAAATTTGTTGTGTTTTTTTTTTCTTTCTATTGTGGCTATTTCTATTACATATTTAATTTGTTTCGTTTTTTTTTTGTTGTTTTTTTTTTGTTGATTTTTTCTGTTGTTTTTATCCCTATTTTAGTTTTTAAACTTGTTTTTAGTTTTTATTGTTTCTGTTTATATCATCTTATGTTTTTTTTTTTCTTTTCACTTTTGTTATTATTTTTTTTTAATTTTTAATTTGTTTTGTTTTTTTTTTTTTTCTATTGTTGCTATTTCTATTACATATTTAATTTGTTTCGTTTTTTTTTTGTTGTTTTTTTTTTGTTGATTTTTTCTGTTGTTATTATCCCTATTTTAGTTTTTAAACTTGTATTTAGTTTTTATTGTTTCTGTTGATATCATCTTATGTTTTTTCCTCCAATCCTCCAGGAGAACCCCCAACAGTTCCTGGCCACAGTGGCCGCTGTTCTTCTCGGCCTCAGCGTGTTTGGCTTTCTGGGCTCGGTGACGTCAGTCATCGTGACGTCGTCGCGGCGTCTGAGGTCATCCACGAGCGTGTTCCTTTCGGCCTTAGGTTTGTCAAACCGCCACAAACTATAAAAAAAAAAATAATAAACCGAATCCAATCTAACTAGTTGTATACTTATCCAACAAACTCTTGCGCCAACAGAAAAAAAAAAAAAAAAAATAACCCGAACCCAATCTAACTATTTGTATACTTATCCAACAAACTCTTGCGCCAACAGAAAAAAAAAAAAAAAAACAGTCCCACACACCCACACATGTCAATATAACCGCACATTTTACAAAAACGGTACCGTCCGTGTCAGGTGTCTACGACGCCCTGTTCACGGCGTCCAACATTGTCTCCACCCTGCTGCGCATCACCCAGGCCAAGGTCCTTTGGCTGTCGTCCGTCTCCAACTGTCTGTGGCTGCTGACGAAGTTCACCTCGGCCTACGTCATCGCATTCATTTCCATGGAGCGGAGTCTCTCACTCGCCAAGCCGTTTTTCGTAGTAAAGTACAAGTAAGACTTCTTTTTTTTTTTTTAAACCAATGTAACGCTTAATAAAGAGAGGGACATGCGCTTCACAGCTCCTTCTAACGAGCCACTTTAATTCAGAAAATCTGCCAAAAAACAATTTTGAAACGTAAGAATTAAATTAATATATTTCGATTTAAAACTCTAGTTAAAAATTGTAATGATTGGTTTTTCATTTTATTCGATGTTGAAATCATCAAATTATTTTTCTAGTTGCATCCCCTAAAACTTCGGAGAAATTAGCATATTAATGTGTATCAGAATGTTACTGTTAAGTAAATTTTAAATTATTGAATTATTGCCCACTTTCAATTAATTAATTTATTTATTTTTAATAAATTTTATATTCTAAATAGTATTTATTTATTTAGGCATTTTTATATAGCGCTTAGCTCTAAGCGCTTTACAATTATTAAAAGCATGTAAAATAAGTAAAATAAAAATGAGACACTAGGATAGTAACTACTATACTATAGAAACATTTAACATGGCTATAAAACGAGGACACTTTGGCACGTTTTGGCCTATACAACAGGATCAACCCGAGACAGAAAATGAGGCAGGGCAAGGAGGGTGCATCACAGGTTATAGGTGGACCTAAACAGAATAATGCATCAATGTTCCAGTCAGTTCACCAAAGTCAGCTCATCAAAGTCCCTCCAATTTTTTTTTTTCCAGATCAACTCGCCTCGCTGTGAGACTCAACGTTGTCATTTTCAGCATTGGCGTCCTCATCAACATACCCCAGGTCTTCAACGAGTTTGTCTACCTCAGTGTGGAGGGTGGCTGTGATGGTGGTGGTGACCAGTACCAGATGAACATCACAAGCTTCGGTCGCCTCTACAGCCTCTACGTCAGCCCATCCGTCAACCTGGTCATCCCGTTTCTCATCGTGGTTGTCATGAACGCTTGGTTCGGCTGGAATGTTGTGGTCTTCAGGCGAAGACAGAGTGTCGAGCTGAGTGAGTTGTTTTTTTTTTTTTGTTTTTTTTTTGTTTTTTTTTTATAGGTCAAAGGTTGCCAGCCTCCAGTAAGTGGTGCACATGGTGTTTTGATAGTGCGGTTGGATTTCTGACGCGCAATGTTTTATGTAAATGGGCCTTAATCCATTTTTGGACTACTTTTGTTTTGTGTTTGTGTAAGGTAAGGACTACATTTTCATAAAGTGAGAAGTTGATGTCAGTTAATGAGTTTCGGTTTATCGTCATTAAAATTCTATAAAAATGTAGTTTTAAGTTTCAAATAGGATCCGATTTAGTTAAGTAAAATAAAAACTGTTATTCATTTTTTTTTTTTTTAAATAGCCAACGTTCTGTACATGTGAAGTAAACTTTTACACTCAGTTGAACTGTCATTAATGTACAGATGGTTATTACGTCACTAACTTTTTTTTAAAAAAAATAGTTGTTTCTTTTGTTTGTTTTTTTTTGTTTTTTTTGCTTACGATTTTAAATTTCAGATCATATATTATTAACATAATAGGTAAATCCCGGAGCCATCTAATTTTCATAGAATGAAAAGCCCCCACAAAAGTAAGCTACATGAAACAGAAATGTAAGCATATCATTGAAGACTATATCAAAACGCAACCAAAAAAAATACATACAAATCGCTAATACAGACATCATGTTATCAGAACGCTGGTAAAAATGCTTTTAAACACAAGCCAAGAAAATTTAACAGGAATGTAAAGAAGTCCGGGGGTTCCCTAAGTGTGGGGGGGTCCCTAAGTGTGGGGATCCCTAAGTGTGGGGGGGTCCCTAAGTGTGGGGGGGTCCCTAAGTGTGGGGGGGTCCCCTAAAATAAATGCAGGTACACCAAGTGGAGAGAATGAGAGTCCATCATTATGTAGCTTTCGAAGCTTTACCTTGTCCCTCTTACACGGGTGGACTACAGTGCTGGTGTAAGAATAGCCGTTCAAGACACTGCTGTTTGTAACGTCCTTGTTGGGATTCTGTTAAAGCGAACTCGTAACATAACGAGTATAATAAATAATTAGTGATTGTTTAGTGAGACAACTGTATGTGCATATTTAATTATTTTAATTACCGGTATAATTGATTTCTACATATTAAGCTGAATTCATAAGTAATTAAATTCTGTCAGAATTGATAACTATGACAGAATTGATAACTATGACAGAATTGATAACTATGACAGAATTGATAACCATGACAGAATTGATAACTATGACAGAATTGATAACTATGACATAATTGATAACTATGACAGAATTGATAACTATGACAGAATTGATAACTATGACAGAATTGATAACTATGACAGAATTGATAACTATGTTATTGGTTGATCAGGTTCACAAACCAGACCAGGCAGATCAGGGCTTGACGAGGGACTCTTACGACTGACCGTGGGTCTCACCATCTGGTACACTGTCTGTTGGCTAATACCAGGGGCCTACTACATATACAGATTTCCAAATGTAAATATTTGAATCTTCTTTTAATTTGATAACAGAAGCTTAGTTTCTCGAAACCTATCAGTAATCAGCAGGGGCGCCTACCCTCCCCCCACCCTAGTGGTGGGGCCAACCCACGGCCCCTAGACCGATCCTGGTCCATTCTGTGGGTCATGGTATTGGTATTTAATTCGAAAGCTTATTATGAAATTAGGCGTATTAGGAATCCAAAAATGGAAGGTTAAAATTTTTTTAGAACCGTGTTCACTATTCAATGATGATAGTGTATTGATGACAAACGATTGCAACTGTTTAAATAGCTAGTACTAGTATATATATATATATATATATATATATATATATATATCTAACTTGGATTTGAAACAAATGCTTCCCACCTCCCCCCTTGTGTAGACGCCCCTGTTCATTAGCACTCAATAATCTGTCGTGTGTCGTTATTGGTTGGCCTTGTACCGCGAATGATCGATTGTACANTTTTTTTTTTTTTTTTTTTTTTTTTATTTTTTTTTTTTTGATTTTTCCTTTAGTTGGTTTTTTTGCCACACTTTTGCTTTTTTTTTTTTTTTTTTCATCATTTTTTTCAGGTTTTCCCATTCTATGTTTCACTTCTTTCCTTTTATCTGACCTGATTGCAGTAACTTCCTCTTAGTATCAAATCAAAATACACGCTGTACCCTACTAAATATTGATGTGTGCAATTGTAGCAATCAACTCTATTGCATTATTTCTAACTGACAGCCAACGATTTTGAACCCGACCTTAGGGATTAAGGTGTGGGCTATTACAGAGATACTGATCGTCACCAACGCCACCATGAACTCAATCTTCTACTTCCTGTTATGGCGTCAGTTCCGCTCTGCCTTTGTCAGCTTGTGCAGGAACTGCTGCGCATCGTGCCCTTGTGCGTACAACGTTACCGGGACGTCTGCACCATCGGAGCAAATATCTTCAACAACGATATCCGAAACTTACATGTAAAATTTAATTATGGTTGCATTAAATATGAGTGTGGTTTTTTTTTATTGTGTTTTGCTAATAAACAATCTTGATTTATACTATTTCATTACTTGAGTTTTGTCTTATTTTGATTGTCAGCAGAATCAGTCCACCCACTGATTATCTAGAGTTTTGGGACGCCCTGTGCGGTTCTTGAATTTGCCAACTCTCAATAGCGAAAAAACTACATAACTAACTGAATTTAATCCACAAACTTTATCCATATGGTCCATATTTAATTTGTGGTAGATCGAAAATACCACCCACGGTCGAATCGTGCCCTATTTGATTGTATTTTTTTTTTTAATGAAAATGTATGAGATGATCGGAAATAAAATATCGAATCTCTTTTCCAATCATTTATATTAATTCGCCTTTTGTGTGTGGATGGCTGGCGGGCTAAATTTTGAACAGATGTAAAAAGAGAAAGTGGGTAAATAATGTGACAATAAATCGGATCCCAAGATCCCACACGATTTGTAGAAAACAAAAGACATCATCACTGTGACAGTATGACTGGACGTCATGAGTTGTTTTTTATTCATGAAAGTTTTGGAACGTAAATGCGTGGACATCTGGAATGAGTGATCTTTGATGTAGAAGTATAAAAAGGTGGTAGAAGGTCAAAATAAAGTCAGTTGTTACACCGAACACTGAAGAGTGAGCATCATTCATTTCTGTTACATGGTGTCAGTATGGAACGATTACGCCCACCACAAGAGCTGGATTGAAGTGGGTATGTTGCTGTCCAGTGGAGAAGATTCAAACAGTCGTTTGACATTTACAAAACAGCCAGTGGGCTTGATACGAAGAGTAAGGAAGTGCAGAGCATGACTCTGTTACATGTGATAGGACAGGAGGCCCGTGGAAATATTCAATACTTTCCAGTGGACTAGCCAAGAATGCGAACATTGTGACATAGCTACTTCTTTTCACACGGTTGACTGTATTTTGAAAAAGTTTGAGAGGTACTGTTCAACCAGGAAAAATGTGACCATTGAAAGATATGTGTTTTTTCAAGAAATCAAAGTGAAGGAGAAACGTTTGATTGTTTTTTAACCGACCTCAAACTCAAGACAAAGCTGTGTGAATTCGAAAGTCTTACAGACTCGTTGATAAAGGACATAATTGTAGGAGGCATTAAGAGTGACAACGTCAGAGCTAGACTACTTAGAGAATCTGACCTGACCCTCATTAAGGCAGAAAACATATGCAGGGCAGCGGAGACAATGGAGTGGCAGCTCAAGATAATGAATGAAGACGGTGGTGTACAGGCAGTGACATCAGATTCAGGGAGATCAAGAAGACCACGCGCAAATACAAAAATACAACTATTGTGGCAAGCAACATCCACCAAGAAAATTTCCAGCATGTGGTCAATTATGTCACAACTGTGGCAAACAGAATCATTTTTCCTCTGTTTGAATATCTATTAGAGCAGTCACTTCACAATCAGAAGATAACGTTAGAGCCAGTGAAGAAACGTTTTTCATCGGTAATGTTTCCCTAAACAACATACTTAGCAATGAGTGGAAATCTGTGGTGACTCTTGAGGGCAGGCAAATAACCTTCACACTAGATACTGGAGCGCAGGTGAACATACTCCCATTTAAACTGTTTAGTCAACTTTGAAAGAAAGGACTTCTGAAGTCAACTGCAAGGCTTACGACATACAGTGGTGAACGATTGCCTATTGTGAGCAAGGCATTGATCAAATGCACAGTAAAGGAAAAAACTGAGATGTTGGAATTTCAAATTGTAAAAACCCAACCCAAGCCAATCATGGGACTGCCAGGTTGCCAGCAACTCAATCTTATCAAAAGAGTGGATGTTATTGGAGATGAAACATTGTCTTCTTATGCAGATGTTTTCAGTGGTCTTGGTTCCATGGAAGAGGATCACAAAATCAAAATTGACCCACTTAATAGGCCAGTGGTACATGCTGCTAGAAAAGTTCCAGCGTCATTGCGAGATGACCTCAAGAAAGAACTTGAGCACATGGAAAATGAAGGTGTCATTGAGAAAGTGGATCATCCCACGGCGTGGGTCAACTCGCTGGTTATTGTTGAAAAAAAAGGCGATGGTTTAAGGATATGTCTTGATCCTAGAGACCTTAACACTTCCATTCAACGGGAACATTACCAATTGCCCACCATTGTCTTGATCCTAGAGACCCTAACACTGCCATTCAACGGGAACATTACCAATTGCCCACCATTGTCTTGATCCTCGAGACCCTAACACTGCCATTCAACGGGAACATTACCAATTACCCACCATTGTCTTGATCCTAGAGACCTTAACACTGCAATTCAACGGGAACATTACCAATTGCCCACCATTGTCTTGATTCTAGAGACCCTAACACTGCCATTCAACGGGAACATTACCAATTACCCACCATTGTCTTGATCCTAGAGACCTTAATACTGCCAGTCAACGGGAACATTACCAATTACCCACCATTGTCTTGATCCTAGAGACCTTAATACCGCCATTCAACGGGAACATTACCAATTACCCACCATTGTCTTGATCCTAGAGACCTTAACACTGCAATTCAACGGGAACATTACCAATGACCCACCATTGTCTTGATCCTAGAGACCTTAACACTGCCATTCAACGGGAACATTACCAATTACCCACCATTGTCTTGATCCTAGAGACCTTAACACTGCAATTCAACGGGAACATTACCAATGACCCACCATTGAAGAAATATCTAGCAGACTTGGTGGCAGCAAAATATTCACTGTGTTGGATGCAAACTCAGCTTTTTGGAAAATTAGACTTGAAAAAAATTGTACAGATCTAACAACTTTCAATACACCTTTTGGAAGGTACAAGTTTATGAGACTACCATTCGGACTCAATTCTTCTGCAGAGGTATTTGTTAAAAGGTTCCACCAGGTTTTTGAAAATATTCCAGGTGTTGAAACTTACATGGACGAAATTCTGATATCTGGCAGAACTATAGAAGAACATGATAAAAGATTGAAGAAAGTACTCGATACAGCCAGAGAAAAAGGGATAAAATTGAAACCATCAAAATGCTGTTTGAGGGTCAATGAAGTAAAATTTGTAGGACACATTATTACGGATAGGGGAATTAGACCCGATAACTCTAAAATTGAGGCGATACAGTCCATGCCATGTCCCTCAAATCGCAAAGAGTTGGAACGATTTTTAGGAATGGTTAATTATCTTGGAAAATTTGTCCCAAATCTAACAGATAGATCTATAACTGCACCCCTGCGAGAGTTGATCAAACAAGATAACGATTGGGTGTGGCTTAAAAAATGTAATCACATCAGCTCCAGTGCTAGCGTTTTATGATGTATCAAAGCCAGTCAAGGTGTCAGTGGATGCTTCGCAAGAAGGACTTGGAGCAGTATTAATTCAAAGTGAGAGACCGGTGGCTTATGCATCTAGGTCTTTAACAGAATGTGAAAAAAGATATGCTCAGATAGAAAAAGAAATGCTTGCCGTAGTATTCGGAGTTGAACATTTTCATTACTATGTCTATGGGCGCCAGGTCACAGTAGAGACAGATCACAAGCCACTGGAAGTGATCATCAAAAAGCCTTTGTCATCTGCACCACCCAGGCTTCAGAGGATGCTTCTACGACTCATGAAATATGAAATCATTCTTAAATACAAGCCTGGTAAAGAAATGTTTATCCCAGACACCCTCTCACGAGCATCCTACCAAGACATAATCCATCAAGTGATGACTGAGAAGCACAGGTTCATCTAATAGTCAACAGTCTACCTATTTCAGATGAAAAAAATGAAATTATTTCAACAAGACACAGCGAACGATGCAACTCTGAGACTTTTAAGGCAACATATTTTAGCAGGTTGGCCAGATAGAAGATCTGAGATTCCACAAGAAATAAGAATGTATACTGGATTCAAAGAAGAACTAAGTGAAAGCCAAGGTTTGCTTTTCAAAGGAGAGCGAATTATAGTTCCAAAACTACTGCAGAAAGAAATGCTCAAGAGACTTTATCGGGGACATTTGGGGCGTGATAAATGTTTGGCTACAGCAAAGGAAGTACTTTTCTGGCCGGGAATGACATCACAGATCATAGACATTGTATCTAACTGCTCAGTATGCAGTGAGTATCAAAGATCCCATCAAAAAGATCCCATGATAGCCCATGAAATCCCTTCGCTTCCTTGGAAAAGGAGTTGACATTTTCCATTACACTGGAAAGAACTATTTACTTCTCGTTGATTACTACAGCAGTTTCTTTGAAATTAGTCTAATTCAAAGCACATTTTGGCGCCCCTAACTAGCTGGCGCCCGGGGACATCTGTCCCCCCTGCCCCCACCACGCTACGCCTCTGATTCCAGCACAACGTATTCCAGCACAGGTGGTGACAGGATATGGCAGGCAAGTGAAACCACCAAGACGTTTCCTTGATAGAGACATGTAATAAGTTACAGTGTCATGCAATGCAAATTGAGTTATTTGTGCATACAAAGTATTGAATTTATGTATTTATTTATTTAGACATTTTTATATAGCGCTTACCTTAAAGCTCTAAGCGCTTTACAATTATTAAAAACATGTAAACTAACTAAAATAAAAATGAGACATTAGGATAGTAACTACTATACTATAGAAACAATTAAAATGGCTATAAAACGAGGACACTTTGGCACGTTTTGGCCTATACTCTACAGGATCAACCCGAGACAGAAAATGAGGCAGGGCAACGAGGGTGCATCACAGGTCATAGGCGGACCTAAACAGATGGGTTTTAAGGGACTTTTTAAAGTGGACGAGGTTTCCCAATGACGGATATGGATATATACGTTTTCCAGAACGTGGGCCCATGGAAGTAGAAGGAGTGTTTTAGTGTTTTAGTATTACTATTGATTTAGTGATGCATGCAGCCCATTTTCTTGATTGACTATTGCTTGTATTTTTA